AACAGAATATAAATAGTTACTTATCAGAGCGAAACAAACCGTATTTTCCTACATATATTTGATGTTTTATTTTGTATGAATTACAGCAATTAATCTGTATTTAAAAACATCTTCCTTCGCTTTGATATGCAACTATTTAATATGGTTTTATTCTAAAGAATTCAATTGAAGGAATTTATAACTGCTGAAAATATTCAAATGTATTCTTTTTGATTGTTAGAAACTTACAGATGAAAACTTTTATTTTTTGTAATTTAAATATTTTAATAGTTTTTTTGTGTTTATAAATAGTGCCATTTAACTTCACTAAAATTTTAAAACCAATAACTTTTCAATTTTAAATTTTAATCGACAAAATGTTCTTCAACACGTTGCCTCACAAACGGGAATTTTCTATGAAAATGTGAAGTCGAGTTGCTTTCCGTAGCTTTATGATTTGTGTGAATTTAAATAGCGAAAATAACTATATTAAAACCGTTTTAATCGTAATATTTTTGATAAAAAAAAGCAAAAAAAAATTCATCGGTATAATTTTGATTTCAAAATTTCTCATATATCGATGTGCAATTTATTTTATGAAAATCTTAAACGGATTCATTTTTGCTGTGTAAAGGGTTTTGTTGAATTCATTGTCATATCTTAAAATATATCCAATCATAAAATTATGCAATATTTATTCATTTTGATTTTTCATGCAAAATCGATTTCAATTTTTTTTTTCTCGAAAATTCAAAATGAATATAAATTGCATAGTTTTAAAAATGGATATATTTTAAAATATGAGAATGAATACAACAAAATTATTAACACAGTAAAAATGTACTTAATTATACCACAATTTATTCTTAAAAATGAATCTGTTAAAAGTTTTGATATTATAGCGATTCAAACGGTTTTGTTATTTCTATTTTCACTATTTAAATTAACTCAAATCACAAAACTATGGAAAGCAATTCAACTACACATTTTCATAAAAAAATTCTCCTTCGATGGCACCATATTGATGAAAATTTGTTCAATTAAAATTTAAAATTAAATAGTCGTTAATAGTTTTATAATTTGAGTGAATTTAAAGGTTTCTGAATTCAATGTGTCTCATTTTTCGTATCAAATTTTTATGATATTTTGAAATATGTTGGAAGTGTTTAAAGTTTGCATTTGGTTGCCACTTTTATTGATATTTTGGGAAAAAAAATCTAATGAGGTTTTAAGGCTTTGAATTTTTTTAAATTTTCCCAAGGGCCAACAACCATCTTTTGAAGTTTACAGTTTTGAACAGTTAAAATGAACGTGAACCGAACGTAAACCGAACGTGAACGAATATGATTGCAATATTTTTTTTTGCGATCAACTTGAACCGAACCCGAACGAACACGAACATGAAAATATAATATTTCTCGAACATAAACTGTTCAGTTCGGTTCAGTGGGCACCTCTAATTTCAATATTGATGTATGGTGCTCATGTGTAAAACATAAAGAAAAAAATAATAATTTGAATCTGCATCGGCGGATCTAACTCATGGAAGTTCAGCACCCTGAAAAGTTTTAATCTCAGAAATAGAAAATATTACGATTTGAAAATAAAATGTAATTTTTACCTCTGGTTGAGTTTTGAAATAACAGTCAATGGTTTGAAAGGCTGTTTCGCATTTGTTTTCGCCATCTAAAATTATTTTGATCCATGAATTTCCATTTGCGAAAATATTACTTTCTAGTTCTTACGTTTTGTCTCACATTCGGCGACGACAATTTTTACTGTTTCCTGCATGCTTGGTGTCAAAAAGTGCCATACATCTCTCCAATGAACTGATCCATCTTCATCTATCATACCAGCATGGTCCAAAAGACAGTTGAGAAAACAGCCCATCTCGGGCACATTTTCTAGATGCCCATTTTTGCTTGCGTCGATATGTTTCTCATCGATTCCTGTTTCAGCCACACATGCTTTTCGCAAAACTTTTGTCGGTGCTCGCAAGTGATCTGGAATTTCTAAAGCCTGTGTAAAAATGAAATTATTTTATGCAAAATTGAATACATTTAAGATGTTTCACATAAAAGAGTAGCATAGTAACTAATGAAGTTAATGAAAAAGTGAGTCTTCTATCAAACTTTAATGCGAGTATCTCACCATAGGACGTTTTCAATAGGACTTTCGCTTTTGCTGAAATTACTTACCGCAAAGCTTACGCCCAACACACTTAATAAAACTAATGTCACTCTCATCTTTTTCTTTAATTTTTTTTTGCTTTGAATCAAATCAACTATTGAAAACTGAACTTCATTATCACTGAGCATTCATTTTATAGCAATGCGATTCAAATGACATTCACCAAAGTCAGAGAAGACACATTCCAATTGTAATAATCAAAAAATATATATATAATAAAATATATTTATATTATTTAAATGTATTTCCCTGTCACAAATGCGATTCATTCAGAAATACTAATGAATAAGAATGATGTATATTGAATAATATGAATTATTATTATATTTTCAACAGTGAACTAATGCCAGCTCTCCGATACACATTGGAGTGGATCTATCAGTTTGTTATTTTCCAAGATGAAACACATTTTATATTTCGGCAATGTGCATCGGCTTTAATAGCATTGCTTGCAACTAGCAATTCAATTCACAGTTTATCGGACAAACTGGGTCTTTGCTTTTCAAAGTGGTTTTCAATGGCAACACAGTATGGAAATCTGGAGGTAGGCGAAAATTATAAAACAATATATAATCATCAACACAAAATAAGTACATTGCATAGGGCAAAGTGATACGCTTTGGCCATAGCTTCTGGAATACAATTTGGTTGAGTACATGGTTCAGGGATGGGGTTCAAATTCCAAAAATTTTCAAAAAGATCATTGATATTTCTTGAAAAAAAAAAATGAAAACCTTCACTGTAACGAAGTATTTTTGTAGGTGTATTCATTAAATTGCACATTAGTAGTTTATAATTATGTACATTTTTATTCCAATGAAATATATATTTCGTCTCTTAAATCATTCTATTTATTTTTCCAGCTATCACAAGTTGTATTGCTCGCCACGTGCCTCAATGCAATCAAAATTCCGGATGCATTTCGTGATTTCCTCACTCCATACTTGTCAAATTTTTTAGCATCGTCATCATATCAAAATATGTGCATATCATTGTCGTAAGTTGAAATTTATTTAATTTACATTTGTCTAAGTAAGCAATATGATGATGTCTGTTGATGTCACCACATACAGGTAAATTCTAATAAGAGTCATATTCTTTTTTAACAGAAAAACGTCGGGACTATTTTCATCATATCGATTTCGTCAGCAAGATCACAAGCCACTGCCACATTTGAATTCGATAGTATACAACACACAAAATACGCCAGTTTTCATTGTGTCGGATCGACCAACCATTTATTTTATCAGTAGTTTAGTTCGATTTTATAATAACACCAAATGGCCTGATAAGGGTTCATGGTTAAACGATGGCATTCTCAAGTATATCGAACAATTTTCGCATAACACTGAATTCAAACTTTCATTTAATTGGTTCTTGAGACATGAAATTTTATTCGTTTTGGACTTGCTGAAATCGACATTGATGCAACAAAAACTTGACAAATCAATTCAACTTCAAATTGCATACAAGGTACTCATTTGTTTAACTGAGTTACAGATCAACGAGGTTCTGCATATTTTTAGTCAATTCATTTTCAACATTGACATGTATGCGCAAAACATGAATTTGACGGTCGAAACAATGGATAAGCTCAAGTCAACGTACGGTAAACTCTGCGTGGAATGTTATCTCAATAATGCCAATTCCCAGGTTAGATATACGCGATTAGCTCGTCCATTGATCGTCGAATTATATAGAAATTGCTTTTTACGTCTAGGTAAAAATTGAGAACTTCGATCGAATTCCGCTATTGTCAAGTGATTGGCCCGGTATGTTACTGCTGAAACTATACCAAACACCCGATGACGGTGAGTTCAAAATAAATCAGATAAATAGAATGAAATTAATTAATTTAAATGTAACTATTTTTTTTTTGCAGGAGAAGATTGGCTATATTTACCGGAAAAAGAGACTATTTGGACGACGATCACATTTTTATCACTTTTAAATTCCAACAATATCAAAGTGCTTAGCCCGACCGAACAATTTGTGTATACCATGATTGCATTTTTGGGAAAGGAAAATGTTTTCCTGGAGTCCGATATGAAAACACTGCTTGCCAACTTTGTCCAGTTAACATTCAAGTCACAGCAGCCATTGAACTTTAATTCAAAATTCAGTGGTTAGATTTTTGAAATTGATTGTGATTGAACATGAAAAATATGTCATTTTTAATTTACATTTTTTGTTTCAGGGAAATTTAACTTTGAGAACCTTTACATATCATTTTTGGACCAGTTTCAAGGATCCAGTTATGGAGATAACACATTTTCTCGTTTGGTCATGGCCCCATTGGCACAAAAACATAACATTAAATGGAGACAAATGATTTGGTCGGAACATGTGCATGTTTTGCGTTTTGTAACCTGCACCGAAGATGAGGTACCATCAAACTAGTAATTGTTTTAAAGATTTTTTATCTGAAATTTTATTTTGCAGTTAATTGGTGAGCTGAATGATTATCTGGAACCACCCGAAACTGATGTTTTGTTGATCAAAAGCTATTTCCAAGCAATAAATTCAAATTGTTTGCTACCAAATTCGGCTCCATTTAGAATTGCTCAACATCATTATAACATGTATAAAGCAAAGACATCTCAAGATACACCAAATGCAATGGAAACATAAAACGACAGCAAATTGTTTTTTTTTTTTTTTGCAATGACAGTCTTATTAATTTCGTGTTAACCCAAAATGTAATAAAATAAAACTATTTGATGCGTTACTCGTTTAAAGCCAATACGACTTTAACTACCCGTATTAGAAGAATTCACGCTTCGTGTACACTCGGCACATCTTCGGTACTTAGGCGAATATCAGCAGTAGAATTCACTGCGACATGGTCAAAAACATCAAGTAGTCATATGTAAATGGTTCCTTCTCTTTTGTGCGAACTTTCTTTGACTGTGTATAGCTGTGATACAAACACATGCATTAGATGCACGACAGTTCGCACTGAACTCAACGGCTGATATTCCGTAAAGCAGCGATGATGTGCCGAGTATACACGAAGCGTGAATTGTTCTAATACGCGTTACTGAAGTCGTATTGGCTTTAAACGAGTAAAAACTAATAAAACACGCATAATCGAATCACGTCATAATCATTACCGTTTTTTTTTATTAAAGAAGTTAGTCTAGGGAATAGACACCAATTTCAAGTATAGTTTCATTTTATATGTATTTAAATTCTTTAAAATTCTTTAAATTCTTTTGGAATTTGATGAAATCAAAAGAGGTAACTTGCTGCACCGATAAAAACATGCGATCGAGCGACCGAAATGATTGTGATGGTGGAATATGCATTCCAAATGTTGGACTTTGTGACCAAAAAGTTGACTGTCCACTTGCGTTGATATTGATGACTGCAAAACTCTGGGAAATATGTTCGCAATTTTGTATCAATACAATTGGGTCATATGAGGTGATTTATTTTCTCTCTAATGTGAAGAATGTGGCGATGGCTATATGCGACATTCGAGACAACACTTTAACTTAATAATATATAGGTTCAAACTGTGAAAATGCAAATCGAAGCTATACGCTGCACTCGAATGATTGTTACAATAACTAAGTCGGATGAATTGTTAGAGTAAGTAATTTGTATCACATTTATTTCTTGATGATGAATTTCAATATTGATGTATGGTGCTCATATGAAAAACATAAAGAAAAAAGTAATAATTTGAATCTGCATCGGCGGATGTAACTCATGGAAGTTCAGCACCCTGAAAAATTTAAACTCAGAAATAGAATATATTACGATTTAAAATATAATGTATTTTGTACCTCTGGTTGAGTTTTGTAATAACAGTCAATGGTTTGAAAGGCTGTTTCGCATTTGTTTTCGCCATCTAAAATTATTTTGATACATGAATTTCCATTTGCGAAAATATTACTTTCTAGTTCTTACGTTTTGTCTCACATTCGGCGACAACAATTTTTACTGTTTCCTGAATGCTTGGTGTCAAAAAGTGCCATACATCTCTCCAATGAATTGATCCATCTGTATCTATCATACCAGCATGCTCCAAAAGACAGTTGATATAGCAGCCCATCTCGGGCACATTTTCTAGATGCCCATTTTTGCTTGCGTCGATATGTTTCACATCGATTCCTGTTTCAGCCACACATGCTTTTCGTAATTGTTTTGTCCCTGCTCGCATGTGTTCTGGAATATCTAAAGCCTGTGAAGGAACGAAATTATTTCATGCAAAATGAAATACATTCACAATATTTCACATAATACACAGTAACTAATAATGGAGTCGTTGAAAAAGTGAGTTAACCATCAAACTTAAATGTGAATTTTAATGTGAGTACCTCACCTACTCCTTTTCATAGATAGATAGATAGAGTCATTGACAATTTGCTGTCATTACAATTATTACAATATTGGAGATATCACCATTTTTTTGTTGTAAATTTATTAGTTGCTTTTGAGTTGTAAGCTATTGCGTATTTTTGTATTTCATTATTGCTGGTTTATTACATCTAATTTGTCATTCGTTTGTTGTTGGCATTTTTGTGGTTTTTAGTGTTTTTTTGTTTTGTTATGTTTTATATCACAGAACTTATTTTTTATAATCTCCATATATTATCTATTCCTATTCGTTATAATACTAACTGTAATATGGTCAAATACATCATTTGAAGAACCTTAAATTTTGCTGAAATTACTTACCGCTAAGCTTATGCCCAACACAGTTAATAGAACTAATGTCACTCTCATCTTTTTCTTTAACTTTTTTGCTTGTGTACTTGATACTTCGAATGAATCCAATTATTGAAAACTGAACTTCATTATAACTCATCGTTCATTTTATAGCAATGCAATTCGAATGGAATTCATCAAAGTTAGAGAAAATGCATTTCAATTATAATAATAAAAAAATATTATATATATATTTATATTATTTAAATGTATTTCCCTGTCACAAATGCGATTCATTCAAAATTGGGAGCACTTCGCATTTCAATAAATTAGATGTAATGATCTGTATTGAATAAAAAAAAATAATATGAATTATTATAATTTTACCAAGTTCAAGATGAAACACATTTTATATTTTGTGCATCGGCTTTAATAGCATTGCTTGCAATCATCAATTCAATTCACGGTTTATTGGACAGACTGGGTCTTTACTATTCACTGTAACACAATAGCAAAAGGGCTATACACTGTAACGAAGTATTTTCGTAGGTGAACTTACCATATCTCAATTTTATTCATGATTATGTACATTTTTATTCCAATGAAATGTATATTTTATCTCTTTAATCATTCTATTTCTTTTTCCAGAATATTCCGGATGCATTTCGTGATTTTCTCACTCCATACTTATCGAAGTTTTTAGCATCGTCATCATATCAAAATATGTGCATATCATTACCGTAAGTTGAAATTTATTTAATTTACATTTGTCGAAGTAAGCAAATAAATAGAATGAAATGAATTAATTTAAATCTAAATTGGAAATTGATTGTGATTGAACATGAAAAATATGTGATTTTTAATTTAAATTTTTTATTTCAGGGAAATTTAACTTGGAGAACCTTTAAATATCATTATTCCCAGTTATGGAGAGAACACATTTTCTCGTTTGGTCATAGCCTCATAACTAGCACAAAAACATAACATTAAGTGGAGACAAATGATTTGGTCGGAGCATGTGCATGTTTTGCGTTTTGTAACCTGCACCAAAGATGAGGTACCATCAAACTAGTAATTATTTTAAAGATTTTTTATCTGAAATTTTATTTTGCAGTTAATTGGTGAGCTGAATGATTATCTGGAACCACCCCAAACAGATGTGTTGTTGATCAAAAGCTGTTTTCAAGCAATAAATACAAATTGTTTGCTACCAAATTCGGCTCCATTTAGAATGGGGGGTACCCATGCACGACCTATATCAATTTTATTCAATTAAGACTAAAAATTCGATCTTTCTCTGTTTACTCGGTAAATGAATAAAGCATATTTTTTCCTTATTTCACTTTATTGTTTTTTCTTCAAAATTCAACTTAAAAGATAAAAACATATGAAATTTGAATGAAAAAACTCAATTGAATTCAGTAATAGCAGAAACGGAAAGACGAGTTTTAGGAAGAAAATCGAGAACTAGTTATTTTTGAATGTCTAGGGAATTTTTCACGTCTTTCTAAAGTCACCGACACAACTCCTTCTCGATCCTGTTCTAAAACTCGTTTGGACAAGCTAGCCAGCAATGGAACGTGTTTTTCCGTTTCTTGTATGTGTAACGGAATTTTCGGATCAGGCAGGGGTAGATCGTTGTTTTTTAGATATTGTTGTAGCTGTTCATAAGGAATGCTTAGAGTAAATGGTGGTTCGAATAAGATTGAATCATCATTCAAATCAATCATATTCATATAATCCACGCAATTGAAGTTTATCATAGGTTTTTTATAAACTCTCAGTTGCATCGGATCTTCCACATGGTTACGGTAGTGTAAAATTTTTTTTACAGCTAAGTCGCGTATTTTTTTTTCATCGTCGAACAACATTGCCAATAAAATGTTTTCTGAGTGAGCATAATACGCGTTGTCTTTAACAACATTATTTACAATTCCTCTTAAATTCGAATCCAAATATTGAGTCCAACGTATGAATTTACAAAATAATACACTACCGTACACGACAGAGTTGTAATGCTTAATATTAAAGTACATCGGCGTATACACTTTCATTATATAGTTTGCCAGAATTTTTAAATTTTTAGATGGATTATTAGTTGTCACATATAACCGTAATAATCTACTGGCCTTGGTGAGCCAGCGAGAATGTGCAATTGGCCCTGGTTTAATGTTAGCCAAATCCGCCGAAACTGCACCAGAAGAAATTGCATGTACCATTCTGTACAAGTAAATTGCGTCGGTAGTTAATTCAACAGCACCTAAATCAGGTATATTTTCCAGTGCGATCACCTCAAAATCGTTTACCGGCTGAAAATAGAAAAGATTAGATGAATTAAATACAATTTTATCATTTAGTATTGAAACATAATAGCTGAGAGATAGAATTAAAAATGGTAATAAATAAGTTTTGACAATTACATACCGGAAGATTTTCACAAGTTTCAATTTGTTTGTTCAACGTTCCGGTTGTTCGTGGTCCAGTGGCGGATGATTTTTCCAAAGTGTCAAACAAATGTCGGAGCGGTAGCTCGTTAAAATGGAGAAGACACACAAACCAATGCAGTGGTCTGTTTAACTGCGTTTCGAATCGTCGTAAAATTCCATTTCTTATGTCAGTATTTGCTGGCTCACCATCACAACATATGCCAATCAACGAATCCAAAGATATTGCTTTATCAACAAAAAATTCGTTCAATTTGATGACTTTGTGTTCAGAATCTTCATTTTCCACTTTTGTGTAGCCCAACAATTGGGAATTTGGTTCTTTCAAAACAACCAGATGAGATTCTTTCATGATTCTTTTCCTGGGATGAAATTTTTTATCGATTTTCTCCATCGTTAAAGAATCATTTTTTCTGCCGTCGAATGAAAATGCTATTAAATTGGAAGCATCATATCGCTTACGAAGCACTTCTTGTCTAGATTTAGCTTTTTCTCTACGAACTTTAGATTTATCCATAATAACAAGATTGCCACGATCATCTTTTTCGCCAATGTCTTTCATAAGAGATGTTGCCAATGCTGATGCTATTCTATCAGACACACCAAATCTGTCACACATCATAGCAAAGTTCATATATGTTCCTCGTGTCGTTGGAGAAAGATCTTGTTCATCACTACCTACTGATTGTTCATCATCAAACTCCATATCGTCTTCTGGATCCCGGCTGTCGTTAGCTGTTTGTATTATTGTAGACGTAGTAGGTACTTGCTCTTCAATTTCTGTCACGTATTCCGGTATCGTAGATTTTCTTTCGTTATGTTGATCCATCATGAACTCTTTCAAGTTTTCTGGAATCAAACCACATGAGCATAGAGCTGCTTTCAAGTCACATTCACATTTTCCAATATAAAATAATTCTTTTGTGAATTGTACGAACGCTGCGTATGTTGAGCTTGTTGTTTTGTGTTTATCTTCGGTTTGATATTTGTCAAGCAAAGTATTCAATTTTTTAGCAATACTCTTTATGTGTGTAATTTCAATATCAAGTTTACTCCAAATTTCAATCAATTTGTCTATCACGTGGGGAGTAAATGTTTTATATGAAAAGATTTTATTTTGGATTTTAGCACGTTCGGTCAAGAAAAAATAATATCTTAAAATATCCTGTATAGTTGGCAGATTGAGACCACTCAAATCACAAGACACACCAAAAGCAGCAACATCGTGAGCAGGCATATGTTTCAAACTACTTTCACTTTCGGTACTTGTTGATGTTGTTACGGCTTGCGACGGTTCTGGATCCATAGTCGACTTTCGCTAAATGTTCTGAAATACTGATATTGAATCAAAGTTAATTGGAATCAATTTATTTTAACGTTTATTTTTTTTTAATTGAAAGTATTGTTTCTTCCACACAATTTTCTTGTCAGTTTGTGTGAAACCGAAATGTCACACGCATATTAAACAAAATATTCTCCGTAGAAATTTGACTCAAAAGAACACAGTTAACACAATAACAAAAGAACGCAAAATAAATGACGCAGACACGAAGAGCATCAAACAAAAAAAAAGCACACAAGCAGAAACGTATAGGCAACAAAATACACGGAGAATGTTTTTTCCCACTCTTCACACACTTCGTTCGCTCAACGGAGATGCTTGCCGTGTATTTTGTATAGGCAACGTCTCTGCCTGTATACATTTTATATTGTGATTTTTTTTGTTAGAGTTTTAAATGACGGCAAACAACACTTATTTTCACAATGCACTTCTTTTTAATATTAATTCCAGATTCATGAATTGTTATTGAAAATAGTAATGATTTAACACATACCTTTTTATTTTCTTAAATAGTTTATTCCTTTGCGGCTGATTTATTTGATTTCGTATTATTTATGTTTAAGATAGATTCTAACTTCATTGTTTACACTTCATTGACAACACAGTATGAAAATGAAAAAGCATGCTGTCACACATGTCATTGTGTGATGGCATTAATATTACCAACTTAATATTTTGAAAAAAGACGTTATACGTATTTAGAAATTGAAAAATTAGAAAATGTTTCTGTTTTTTTATTTAAATTCCATAAGTTTTTTTCTCTTAAGTTGAATTTTTGAAGAAAAAAATAAAGTAAAATAAGGAAAAAATATGCTTTGTTCATTTAGCTAGTGAACAAAGAAAAATCGAATTTTTAGTCTTAAATTGAATAAAATCGATATAGGTCGTGCATAGGTCATCATTTTGGGCTATTTAAAATTTGTGATTGCAATACGTGCTGGCATGGATATCTATATGGCACCGAACGACAAATTATTATCCAAAACAACATCAAATGGGCAAACGGGCTCACACTTGATTTGGTATTAAATCGTATTTATTGGGTCGATGCAAAATTAAATATCATTTCATCGTGCAATTACGATGGATCCGATCGACGTGTGATTTTATATTCGTCAGAATATTTGCGGCATCCGTTTTCAATAACAACATTTAACTGATTGGGATAAAGCGGCTATCTTCAAAGCAAGTAAATTCAATGGTAGCGACATTCAGGCAATCACCGCTATACGCTTGGTGAGTTTTTCCATCATGTGATATCTATCCATCTGGAAAGAATGAGAATGGATATTTATGTGTATTTTATTTTTCGAATTATCTTGCAACTTCAACATCCAATGATAATTCATGTATATCACCCCAATCGAAAACCAAACGGTATTGATCATTGTTCGGGTGTTAATGACCATTGTGTTTGGCCACCACCAAACATATTTCGATTGAGCTCCAAATTGACATGTGTCGAAGACGGTGAGAAGTCATCAGATGGCAGCAAAATGTTTACCAAAATCGCTCGTTCTCTCTTGTAATAAAAAAAAACTTGTTTCTTTGGTCGTGAAATTCTACTGAACTGTTTAACTATTTAAAGCCAATAAAAATCATTCCAAATCGGCTTTAAAAAAATCTTTATTGATGATGAATTTCAATTGCAAATTTTTATATAATAAATGATTTGGTCATCACATAGCTTATAGATAATAATCTACGTAAATGAATCACACTTCATTGCAAAAATATAAGAAGAGAAGAAGAAGCCGATTCATCAAAATTGTAGCGTCACTAATTTACATAAATGGTGTTTTAAGTAAATATCAAGAAATCAAGTGTACAATTATGGTAGTTCCGAGTCCTGAAAAATTGAATATCAATGCGATTTTAATAGCCAACAATCGATATTTTCTTCATAAAAATCATAACATACCTCAGGAGCCTTTTCAAAGAAGCATTTCATTGTCAAGTATGCCGTATCGCATCGTGTATCTCCGTCTAGAATTAAATTAAAAAAGATCAAACATTTCAATTCATGCACCGAATTTGATTACATTCCAAGGATAACTTACGTATAGTTTTACATTCGTTCGAAACAAAGGTAGCAGTTTCGGCAACACCAGGTGATAATAAATGCATAACTTGTTCGAAATGAATTGTTCCGTCATCTTCCATCATGCCAGAATGCTCAAATAAACACAAAATATAACATCTCAGCTCGGGTACGTCGGGTATAAAACCGTTTCTACTTTGGTTTATATATTTTTCATCCACATTTGATTCGGCAAGACATGCTTGTCGCATGAGTCTTACGGGGGCTCGCAAGTGATCCGGAATATTCAATGCCTGTAATTTTTTATGCAAATTCAAGTCCCTGATTCTCAATATTTCAAATAATTTTGATACTCACGGCAAAAGATAGGCAAATTAAACTCAACGAAATTAATAAAACTTTCATCTTTGTACAGATAGTAGACTCATCCACTCAATATTGATTAGTATTGATGGAAATCACAATTTTGTATCTGCTTTTATTCCATGCCGGAATTATTAGTTTAACAGGCATACAATACTGGGACGTTTGAAGAATATTAAAAATAATTATAGCTTTCCTCCATTCAATTCACTGGCTACTTTGTTATGAATAATCATATTGTTGTTTCAATAACAACCTACACATAATTTAATTTGTAATGTATGAAATGAATACTAGATTTTACAAACGGCATACATTGTAATATCAGTCCGTCTATTCATACAATTATTGAAAGTCATCTTCTTAAGTATTGATTATTATTGACTACTTGAAATAATTCATTACTAAATTCAATGTTGTAGATAAACGAAGGACTTTTTCACTTCAAAGCTTCATTCCACTTTATATAGTAAGTTTAAATTTAGCTTTATTTTTTTTAAAGTACTAATCCCTAGAAAAATGGCATTTGTTGATATTTCAAACATTTTCTAAAGTAATTTTTCCATTAATTCGAAATAAATTGTACATTTCATACGATTAAAAGGCTTATGCTGAGAATTTTACTATCACTTTGAGGAACTGCCAAATTTTCAATGGTATTGTTGCAATGGCCTGTACGGCTTGAGTCGAGATACCTCGAGGTTTTTCTCATTCTCAAAGGTAAATTATAAATAGAATATCTCATTTGAAATTTGTTCTCTCTTCTATTTTAATAAATTTCCAGATTTGATAACACGATTGATTACATACATAGAGACTTCTTTCATTGGTTGTTTTCTCGTATGTGTAGCTGTACGTGTACACATTGACATACCATCCATTATTGATATTCTCGTTAAGGTTTCAGTTCGCATCGCAACCAATCATAATCAAAACAGGAGGCCAAATAAACTAGCAAAGGTATTATGCTTATATAACGGCTCGAATATTCGAACAAAGTCTAAAGTTCCATTTTTCCACAAAAATGATTAATAAAAAACGATATAATTTATACAGAACGAATGAAGATTTTATTGATCGTTTGTTTGAAAACTTAACTTTAACTGTACAATTGTTCTAATTCAAAGTTTGTATATTTACAAAATATTTTCTCTTAAAATATTTAGTTTTTAACAAGTAACAGATATGCTGAAACCTAAATAGATAGAACAATAAATAAATTTGTTGTGATTATACTAATTCAAAGATATAACAAATTCAAATACAATATACGTATAGGTTCGTATTTTCTTTTCTTTGTCAAATTGTATATTGATCGAACGCCTCCTCAGTCTTTTTTACAAAGAACATTTCTTATCACCGATGTATGTTCACTGTGTATGGATCCAATATGCTTAACTAGTACACTCGACCGTATGGCAATGAACCACTATACGGTATCAGCAATTTACCACCGAAACGAGAGTTGGAACTAGAACTGAAATTATGAATTTTAAAAAAATGTTAAAAAAAATAAAATATATTTAAAAAAAGAATAAAGTTACCTTGACGAAAATATACTAGTGTTGGCTCGCATCGAATTTGTACCGTGTGTCCATCGACTAGATTTCGATTTGCCCCAAATTAAGCAAAAGATTGCAACAATTACGGCCACTAAAAATATCATGCCAAGAATCGCAAAGGCGAGCGCCAACTTTGATGAAGACATACATAAAATGCCTTCGGAACGTAAATGACGTAATCTTGCTGGATATTCGTCGACTGTAAATAAATAAACACCTCAATAACACACACCTGTTTTCCAAAAATTTTATCATATCATACCAGTGACATTGTATCGACGATCACTTCGTAAACGATCCAATTCAATCTGTGGTGCAATCACAGCCAATGAGTTGAATACTTCAATTCTTCCCAACTGTTGATCAACATCTAAAACAAATGGATCGGTTTCCGAACAGTCAACCTTTTGAAGAAAAAAAAAACTCGTTAGAAAATTAACCAACATAATACACATTAAAATGCACTGCTTACATATGGACATTCTTCTTTGCACAGTTGAACGCCACAAGTGACATGCAGACGCTCACGATCGGGAAATTTAAATGCCGGGAATGTGGCAGTGAATAATTTTTCTACCGTGTCGTCGGCATGTGGTTTTGACCATCCCTCTTCAATTGGTCTTACGCGCGCCAAAAGAGCCGGCATTACCTGTGAATGCAAGAGAAATATTTTTTTAATTTAAAGACGACATCAAATAAATAAATCGGTCAAGTTTGAGGTCTAAGGTCAAATGAAGTGAAGATATTTTCCTTTGCGCACACGTTCACATGATTAGCAGTTTTTTTTTTGAATAAAAAGAAAAACAAACAATTTTCCAACTATTTCATTAACGATTTCAGTAATTACATATATATTTAACGATCATTGGGCCTAATTTACTCGTCGTGCCAGCAGATACCGTGTGGCCGGGCAACATTGTTCGTCTCTTTTTTTCTTTGCGCACGCGCGTCGAGATTCGCTTGAGTAATTCGGTGCCTTGTGCACTGGAATTCAAAGTATGACGGCATGCGTATTTTGGTTTTAATATTGTGAATTGGATTGAAATGCATCGAATCCACTTGATGAATATCCACAATGCTTTATTAAAAACGAAAGTGCCGCAACAAAACAGAATTGAATTTAATTATGCGTTTTTATGAGTTGAAATTCGCCATTTCATATGTTCAATTGTTTTCGATTTTTTCTTTTTACTTTTTTCTATCGATGTGCTTTGTGTGTTGCAGCTCAGTTTTTGTTTCTTTCTGCCTTTTTTTTCTCATAAAATGATTCACGTTTAAATAGTTTGACGAAATGAAATGAAAATGTGCGGCAAGTGCAGCGCAACTGTAACAATAACAATGAACTTAATCGAATAGCATTGAAAAGAGCAAGAAATAGAAGATAAAAAAATGGCAGACACATTCGCTAATACAACGAATGCGTTCACGAAAAAAAAAATCGTAAATAAAACAAACGAACGAACCATGAGCTACGAGAGCGAAATGAATAAATAAATCTAAGCGATTTAGAAGAAATTGCTGTTCAAATTGCTCAACCGCATCGTAATTATATGTAAATGATGTGATTTGCTGTGTTGCTCTCTGGAAGTTGAGACGAAAGAAAATCCATTGCCTCGCACTTGTCAATGGGAAATTAACAGTTGGATGTCTGTCGCATATCAATCACTGTGCCAAAAACGAAACAATTCCGCCCAACCATCGCCGGCGTCGATGTAATCGGTTGGAATTGTATCGACAATAGAATTTGATAAAAATCAACCATTTAGTGATAGCAGATACGGTGCCATCATTATTTGTCGAAAACAATTTGAATTTGAGGAAAACAAACGATGCGGACAATTTCAATGTGAGAATAGACAATGTTACGTATCATCGTTTTCTCAAACAAAATGAAGCATTTTTCGATTCGATATGGCAAAATAAAAGTGCATAAAAAACGAATGATTCATGTGCAGACTGCGAACCGTGGAAAAAAAAAGTAACGAAAGTGTTTGAATTGCCATAAATAACAAAATCGTCAGTTTTTTTTCATGAGTACTTGCGTGTGAATCGCTACGAAAACAATGTGTGCGTAAATGCTAGTAAGTTTTTTTTCGGTATTACTTTCATCAATTGTTGTTCGCATTCTGTACGTGTGTATGAATGAGTGTGTGCTTATTTCTAAATGAGTCCGTTGATTTTTTGCTTTTCAAGTGCAATTTTTCATATGTGCATTATGAATGCGATGGTTCGTTCGTTGCGTTCACGCCAATTGTTGCGATTGCAATTGCGATTGAATAAGCCATTTAAGTATATAGTGTATTTAGTGGGTGCTCTGTGGTTCTGGGCACGAGTTTAAGATTTGGATCATCGTTACAATTAAAATTCACTTATTCATGAGATTCTTTGGCTTGTTTATTCGGTACAAATTACTTCATTACCACGGTCATTGTCTCTTTTTTTATTTATTCCAAAAATTTCATGCGCTCAGTGATTCACATGATGAGATAAAGAAAAATCTCATTACAAACAACAACAAAAAACGGTATGTGCTCACTCGTACCATTTGATGCTTGTTTTGATGAATATTAATGGAAATTATTGAATCATACCTGTTCATCAACTGGGCAGCCTCTTTCGTCGAGCAGCTTTTGAGAGGATTCACCCAAACCGTCCAAAGCTGAACAATCCACAATTCGAACACCAACCGTTCCTGGTAACATCGCTCGAACATTTATCGTTGTCATTTGACCAACTTCAACTATACCAGATCCATCGCTTCCACCCAATTCCAGCCATACTCGGATTCTTGGTATATCTTTCTCTGCATCGGAGCCACTTGGACTTGCATACATTCGACCGTGCCTACTTTTGTGGAAAATAATTTTTTTTTTCGTTCTCAAAAAATCCAACGAATATTTTTTTTTCAAACAATTTTTTCTTCGAAATGTTGTTACCTGTTTACACGCCTTTCATCTGTCATGCCAATGTTCATTTCCATCATTTCATTTGGTAAATTGCATCGTACATATCTTTCTAAATCCGATCGTTGCCGTAATTTTTCATCCATTTGGATGACAAGACGCACAGACATCTCTAACGAACCATCGGCTTGTGGTTCACTGCGAATACCACAACCATTGCTCGGTAAATTGATTTCTACAGCAGTCGATCGATTACCTAACACACACAAAAAACAAACTCCAATTAGCCACGTGAAATGTGACAAATGTGAAAAGTTTACTCTATTTCTCACAATGACTCTCTAATTAAACTAATGTTGCCGGATTGTGTTTTTTTTTTCGACAAAAAGTCACTGTGATGCACATCGATACAGGAAATTACAGAAATGTATTGTAAAGTGGTTACACTCACCTTTAACACGACACTCATCCAAAAAATCTTTGGCAAAAACGATGCCTTTGAATGTTTTGCCCATGTCAATTTTAATGTTGAACACATCTCGTGTGCAATTTATTTTGATGCCATACAGTTTATTTGGTTCAGATGGTGGCGGTCTACTTGACCAACATCCATGCAAATACAATATTAGCATATGATAAATTATACTGATTAAACGGGCCATTTTATCGCTTTTCACTCGGTCTAGCAGCTATAAATCTTGATCTCTTTCCACTTTTTTTTGCACGTTACGTTTATCTGTAATATCTGAAACGATAGAGAAAATTTTTCATCAGAAAATACATGAAAGCCACTAGCCGTTATTCATAGCAAAAACAAAGAAACAACATATTATCTCATTTATGTCAATCAGATTTTTTTGGTTCACATATGAATTATATAATTTATAGTCGTCGTTGATGTTGTGAATATATCATCAATTTGGTCAGTTTTTCGGTGCGCATATGTAGAATAACAATCGAAAGTGGAAAATAGCATGCGATGATCATGTTTGTACACATTAATATTTGTTTTGTAAATTTCATCAAGACGAAAGCGAAACATGAAGATGGACAACAATTTAATTTAACTGCTTCATTTTTTCGGGTGTTAATTACATATATATGAGATTACACATGGACGTCTTCTGTACTAAAAACAAAACTTTTTTTTAATGTGCGTCTACTGTTTTTATGTTTTGGAGCGTGACAACACTGTGAAATACGTTTAGAAACTCGCTGTGATCACATCAAATTTAACGAATTTTCACCATACGAAAGTTCACTTCCGCGATGTGTTCGAAAACCACAAGAACAAGTCTTTTTCTGTTAAATCGCAAACTCTGCACGTGAACAAATTTTATTTTGCAACAAACATAAGCCCTTAACAAATACATAGTTCTTTATAATCAAAACCACATTCTATCGAGGATTTTTTCCTTTCCTTCTTTCACACTATCATTCTCGATATTATTGGCTTTAAAACCATCAAATAAGACTTTTTCCTCATTTTCCCTCTTATTGAACACTAATTTAATGAATGACTTGAAATTCTATATTATGTTTGTTTCCCAACAAAAATAAATATGATTTTTATCCCTAATTGGCACGTACAAAGTGGTGATCAAAAATGCTGCACAGTTATTGGCGAGACCATTGTTATTTGCACCGTATTCAACGAACAACTGTGTTGCTCTTTCAAATTTTCATCTACTTAACTGTTTTGCGGAACGTTCAACAGCGGTTTACTCCACATGCGTTATATTGCAAGCACGAGCGTTTCGTTTGGCGTACTCGGTGTTAGCGAGTGATTCATTTGGAGTGAAAGATAGAGAGAATAAGATGCGATTTTTTTTTGCGTCGCTCAAATAATTCAAAGCATTGCGCACATATTACATAGCCTGTGTCGAAACCAAACCGCAGACAATTCGTGTAGTTTATTGATTTATTACCAAATTAAATTGTGCTTGAATTTTTCACATTTTCGTAATATTTTCAATTTTATTTCATCCCAAGTAGGAAATAACAAATACAATTTTAATGATCATCTAACAATTCCGATTTAAATTGATTAACATCGGTTGATGTTTTTTCTTTCATGTGGCTGGATTCATGCAGCAAATACGATTTTTGGGAGATAAATCCTTTGAGACAAATTTTGCAGTGATAATTCAATGGTATGCCATGTCGCCGTCGATGGCGCAACAATTTATCGGTTCTGGCAAATGCTTTGCCACAAATATCACATTTATGTTCTGGAGCACCGCCGTGTTGATACCTTAAATTAGATTAAAATAGAGAAAAAAATCAAGGGAGATTTCGAATGCCAAATATTGTTAGCATCTTACATATGTTGCTTTAGCGCATATTTGCGTTTGAACTTTTTTGTGCATATTGGACACTTGTGTTTGGGTGCTTCGGTGTGTGACTTCATGTGATCTTTAGCATATCTCGGATGGAATGTTTTCGCGCATATATGACATTCGAACGACCGATCGTTGCTATGTGTTTGCATGTGTCGTTTTAAATTGTATGCATTTTTCGCGGCATGATTGCAAATGTTGCACATAAAATTCCTCGTTTCTTCGAATGGATGTGTTTTCATGTGCTCATGGAGCAGGCTCTTCTTATCAAACTCTTGTCCGCATATTGAACATTTTGGTGGAGTATTATCAGCCCATATACTGAAATCGATAATCACCGACACATTAATGTCGAAAAATAAAATAAAAGATTTTTTGCACAAATTACCCGTGCTCTTTGCGATTATGTCGGAGTAAGTACTGCCGCACTTTAAATCCCTTATTGCAAAGATTACAAAAATGAGATTTGGTCTCGTCCGAATCGTGGAGCTTCATATGACGACTGAGCGATGTGGCGCTACTGCAGAAAATACCACAGACTAAACACAACCGCGGCTGTTGGATGTGCAACTTCATATGACTACGTAGCAATCGACGTTCTCGGAAATTCTTCCTGAAATGTTTATTGTTTCAATATTTATTTGTACACACATCATACACAGTCAAATACATACCGACACAAGTAACATTCAAACGATGTTATCACCGGTTTTTGACGATAATCAATTGGCTCTTGATGCGGTCGATTTTGATTGTTTAGGTCGATACCATGCGGATGTATGTTTATCATGTGCAATTGGTAGAAACGATATTCCTTAAATTTTTTATTACAAAGTGTACAATGTAGATTGGCAAATTGATGTGATTGAATGTGGTCCTTCATCGCACGGAATTGATTGTGTGAAAATTGTTTGTGACATAGGAAACATTCAAATTTTTGCTTTTCATTTTGATGCTTCTCTCTCAAATGGCCCCGAAGGTATCTGATTGTTCGAAATTTTTGCTCACAGAAACCGCACAGAAATACCTTTTCTTTGACGTGTGAAAAAACATGTCTGCGGACTGATGCGGGATTTGGAAATGGTGCTTTACACACCGGACATAGATGTTCTTTGTCGACTTTTTCATATTTGAAAGAATTCAATGACAATGCTGCTAAAAGTCGAACTTCAGCCGTATCTTTTATCGTGCATGGAAATAATCCGTCCACCTTTTCTGCTTTGAATATTTCAAATTTGACCGGATCCATTGCATCTTCGATTGAATCTCTATATTCTGCCAATAAATTTTCGTAAGCATTTGCTACTTCAATCGATTCCAGTTTCATTCGTTTTGGTTTTTTGCACGGTTTGGTGGTCTTTGCTTTTGTTTTGCGCTTTGCCTTTGATTTTGTTGTTGATTTTATCACCAATTCTTTTGTAGTTGCTTGCTTCGCCGGTACCGTGGGTATTTCTTCTTGTTCATCACAGCTGTTATCGATACAAACGTCCAACAAATTGCTAAAATCATCGTCGGAATAATCGATGTCGGTTTTTACATTTGCTTCAATGTCTTGTTTTTGATTGAGTACATTTGATTCTTGTATACTTGTCTCTGATTTTATGGAAGATCTCGAAATGCTATCAATGATTTCCATCTCTGTTTTGATCGACTCGGTGTTTATTGTCTCCATTTCGTCTATCTGAGCGTTCATTTGCAAAAAATGGTCCTGAACATGCAATGTAAATTCAGAGAAATACTGAAATTCCTCCGAACAATGAATACAAACAAGCGCATATCGTTCATTTGGCAATTGAAACACTTCACCCATTTTTATTCGATTCAATAACACCGGCTGATTATGATTCGACAATGAATCACTCTCAAACAGTATACCTTCAATTTGATTCATTGTGTTTTTGTCAATTTTCTTTTAAAATATGAATAAATTTTCAACAAATATCCATCACTGTTGTTGAATGTTTAACTTGCATGATATACAACTGATATCTGTCAAACATTACGAACGACACAATTTTTTCTGACATTTACGTAAAATAAATACGAAATATGCACGGCAAATGCAATGAAACCATACTAAATACATTTGTTATGAATTTATTCAAAACCCTATTTTATTCGGACATACAAGAAGACTTAATGGTAGGAAATTCGGTAATATTTTGGTAAAAATACAAAAAAAAAATGGATCCAAATGATGTATACGAGAGACAAATGATTTTTAAAAAAATCATAGTTGGGCTGAATTAGCACTTGGCCCACTGACCGAATGAGTTTCAATATTCAAATCGGTTGTTTGTGAACTTTCAAAGTTCATCTGTGTGGTATTCAATGGTGATTTAATATCTTTGCAATGAAAATTGACGGGATGAGTTTCAATATTCAAATCGGTTGTTTGTGGACTATCAAAGTTCATCTGTGTGGCATTCAACGGTGGCTTAAGTACTTTGCAATGAAAATTGACATGCGTCTTCACCGAATTCAATTCCATGAAACCTAAACCACAATTTTCGCATGTATAATTCATTGTTTCGGGATGCTTTCTTCGATGTGATAACAGTTTATCACTTCTGCGGAATACCATGTCACATATGTCACATTTAAACTTGGGGTCTTCGTGTATGAGCATGTGCCGATTAAGATGATCGCTCCTATTAAAATAAACAACAAAAAATATGTTCAGATGCTATTGAGCGGATCAAAAAAAAATGTAATGGAACAAACCTGGAAAATTGTGAACCACATTGAAAACAAGTATAATTCCTCTCTTGGGTGTGAGTCTTCAGATGCTTAATAATGCCATTTGGCCGTGAGAAAGTCTTCATACAAATATAACACTGCGATCGTGTTTTATCCCCATTCACCTCATTGCTATAGAGTATTTTTGAATTGAATTTTGACTTGGGCGATATTGAAAAATTATTTGTTTGGTTAACATTGGCAATGGCATCAATTTTCTCAATTTTCAAACGTTTTGCTTGATGACGATCAGGTGTCAAAACGGCCACATCACTGTGCTTCTGTTCAATGTGAAGAATAATGTTTCGCGGTCGGCTAAAATCTTTGTTACACAATTTGCACGAGAACATTTTCACTTCGGAATGCGTAAAAATGTGCTCGCGTATATTGGCTTTGCTGCAGGCCGAATAATCACAAAGTGGACATTGAAAACGTTCATCGATACGTTTGAATGAATACTTTTTGGAGAAATATGGTAACAATTCTCTTGTTTCTGTCATATCTTTAACACGAATCAATGGATGTTTCAATTTGAAGCGCGTCTCTAGTGAAACATTACTATCGAATGTGTCGTCGTTGCCCATTTCGGTGTCTTCATATTCACATGCTCCATCACCACCAGTGTTATCACTGACTCCTTCACGGATATTCACTTTACATTCAACATCCACATATGGTTGTTCACCATTTTCAACCGAATCATTGCTCGAATCACTAAATAGCCATTCAACATTTTCCATATTTACCGTCGCTGACGGCTGGATATCAATGGGCATATCGTTCATTTCGCTTTGTGGTGCGATCCATTGTAATGCATTGTGATAGTGATTTTGAATGTGAGCCGTGAATCGTGTGAATTGTTGAAACTCTTGTGTACAGTGAATGCAAACAAAAACAAATTGATTGTGACGAACTTGAAACACCTCGCCAATTTTCAATCGATCCATCGGACATAGACGCTTTGTACTTGCACTATTGTTGAACTCATCTTGTAAATAAACGGACTCAAAGTCATCCATTTTCGTTACGGTTGAATTTATAAAATTTTCTTTTATTTCGTCCAGTCGGATAATATAAATAACAATAAAAATACAATTGTATCGCTTGGAATTTTCTTTTTTTCTATCGATCTGAAACGAACTATCAATTGATGCTAAAGAAGATGCCAAGCAATACTAATTAATTGTGTGTGTGTGTCAACACCAGTTGATGCGATACCAAAGCTGTCAAACATTACGTATTTCATGTGTGGTAATGGCTGGTTTCCATTCGTAAATTCCAGTCAGATTCCAATCGCATTTCGAAAATAATTTAGAAAATGAAATACTATAATTGTATATATATTTTTTTTTACATTTGAAATTTTATTCAAGCCATTTTATTTTGATAAAACAAAAAGACAAAAAAAAATTACACTCGAAATAAAAATGTATCTATAGTCTATTTTAGCTATGTAGTTCATGAAAACCAAATAAAAGAAAAAAATATATATATTTATAATATGAAAATGAAAAATATTGAGGCATTTAATCTTATCGTATATTCTCTTATAAATTGAAAATAATTTAATGATTGAAATTCACTCTCACAAATGATGGCATCTAAAGATGTATTTTTTTTTGTTTTTTTTTTTTTTGTTTCGATTGTTTCCCTTGGAAGCTAAGATCTAGTAATGTGGGTGCTTAATTTATAAATATATGCGCTTGAAAATGAATGCAAATTATTTTCATAATAATTGCTAAAATTGTGTGTTTGTGTCGGTGAAAAAAATGTGGATTAATTTTACGAACAGATTCTAAATCCTTAAGTCAGTTTTTAACTCTAGAGTTTATGTTTTTTTTTGTTCCTGATGTTTTTTCCTCTTTGCTTTTTTTTCATCTCTTTTTTTCTCTTCGTTTGCAGTTTCTGCGTTCTGAGATGCTATTCCTACTACACGTTTAAGTAGTCAAATATTAATTAATTAAATTTGGGGGTAATGTGCTACAAAATACGTCATGGGATTCGAAAAAAAAGTTGTGTATAAATATAACTGGATAAATGAACCTCAATCTAATGTACGATTTGATCGTTTTTATCTCTTCTTCTTGTGTTTCGTTTATGTTGCTGTTGTTTTTGTTGTTTTTTTTTTGTAATAATTGTTATTGTTACTGTTGTCGTTTCTCTCTCTCTCTCTCTCTCATTTCAGTCCGAATAATAGAAATAAACAAAACTAGTAAAATTACTGGATGGGCATGCCCATAGCCATATGAATTGGGTTTGGTATTTCTGGTTTCCTTCGATCATCATACGGTGGTTTTGTGTGTTGCATTTCATGTGTGGCATACGATTTTTGATCCATGAATCCAAGATTGCAGAATTTGCAGTAGAATTTCATCGGTTCTTTGTGTGTGCGTCGATGATTCAATAATTTATCGGTTCGATTGAATGTTTCATTGCATATGTCACACTTATACTTTGGTTCATTATCATGTTTCGACATATGACGTACATTTTTATCATCGACAATCGGTATTCGAACATTTGCCATTGTTGGACGCCGTGAAATATTTTTATTGCATGCATTACAACAATTCACATCGCCATATGATCCGGCCGCCGTTTTAATATTGCTTCGACGCTTGAATTTCGTGTGACAAATGTAGCATTCGACTTTTTTATTTGTATCATACGGTTCGGATTTGACGGCAATCGATTTACTTCTGCCGGCTTTGTGATCGGCACTTGAGCTACTGCCTTCGTAAAAATTCGAATGATGTTTGCTCTTGATGTGCTCATTCAAATGACGTGCATGCCGAAATTCACGTTCACATTGCCCGCAACGGAACATTTTCACCTTCAAATGATTGGTCAAATGTCGACGAACCGTTGATTTACTGTTAAATAAACCATCGCACAAGGGGCACATTACTTGATCGTTTATCTTGGAGAATTCATAATTCGGCATAAGATATTGTGAGATTTCACGTATTTCGGGTAAATCATTTACAATGATTGCCTTGTTGTCTTTATATAATGCTTGAAGTGCTTCGAATTCCTGTTGAAATGCCGTACTTCCAGCTTCACCAGTCAACACCATTGAATGGCCACTTGACACATTCATAAAATGATTACCAATGTGCGATACATTTGAGATGTCATACGAACGGCTGCTATTTGAACGATTCACCGGCCGTTCGGGTAGATTGGCCGGATTGCCATGTTTACATCGAATATGATCGCGAAGATGGCGAGCATGTGAGAATTTTCTTTGACAACTACCGCATGCAAACACTTTATCAACTGAATGTGTGTAAACGTGACGACGTGCCAATGCCGAACCGTTAAATAGTTTTTCACACAATGGACACTTGTATTGGCCATTTCGTTTTTCAATTGGATAACTTTCGGCCAAATATTGTGACAATTGTCTCACTTCGGGCGTATCATTGATGACAAACATCGGTTCATTGAATGACCGTTTCAATGCGTTGAACTCATCTTCGTATTGTGAATTATTTGGTTTACGACAGTTTGTCATATCTTGATTTGTCGCCGATTGTTGATTATTATCGGATTGAAACCAACCGTTTGCTGGATTATAACCATTGTAAAAATATTGCGGCAATTCGGCCGCATTTGATGGTCCAAACTCATTTTTAAACAATGATAAATCATTTGCAGCTGCATACGCACTGTGCGGTGGCAATGGAAGGGGTCCGGTTCCAGTTGGATTTTCCATTTTCATCGATTTCACTTGAATGCCCCAAATTCGTAATAAATGTTGTTCAATGTGAACGGTAAACTCAGCAAAACGCTCTTGATCAAATTCTTGGAAACAATGCACGCAAATTAACGAATATCGATTATTCCTGCGAAGATAAAAAAATTCACCCAATTTTAGTTTGTCCGAAGTATCTACAGTAGACGATAATCCATCTTGTGTAAAAACACTTTCGGTTCGATTCATTTTACGCCAATAGCTTAGGTTTTTTTGTGTTTTTTTTTGTTTTGCTTTACCAAATTATTCACAATCTGCTCAACAATGAACAGTAATTGTTTTTAACAACGACGGAAAAACACAAACAATAAACTCTCTTTTGGTTTGTGTGTTTTTTTTTATTGGTAGCCACTTATATATCCAATTGACATACACATCGTTTGACAGATTGTAGGGAAAAAAGTTTTTTTTTATGGAGGAGCGTTTGCGAACAATGGTTTCTCTCTCTTTTTCGATATTCGAATTAAGTACGGTTCAGGTAGGAACTTACTTAAACAACAACAACACTTTTATGCTTTTTGAACATGTAATATACATTTTCATTTTATTTAAATCTTTCAATAAATATAAAAATTGAAAAAAATAATGTCAACAAAAATGAGTTTTGTTTTTTCTTTTTCTTTTTTTTAAATGATCGATAAACAAAATATGAATGTTACCATCTGAAATATTGGCGATTGTTGTGAAATTCTTGGTTCATCTATAATAATCTTCAGTGAAACCTATTATTAAAACATTAATTAAAACTATTCGTTTGTTTGATTTCATTTTTTCGTTTGTCCTCTGAAATGCTTCTTCATATGTTTTTCGGCTTCCGTTTTCCTGGCCTGTGAAAATTTCATTTTGCAAATCAAACATTTAAAGAGTGTTTTCGATTCTGAAAATTTTTCCAAAATATTTGCGTGAAATCCTTTTTTGTGTCGTGTTAATGCTTTTTGTTTTTTATATTTGCGAAAACAAAATGGGCATGGTAAATTTTCGTCCGCTGATTGTGGTGTTTTCGTTGTTTTCGTTGTTTTCGTTGTTTTCGGTGATTTCGTTTTCTTCACAGGTGATGAATCAAGTTCTAATGCTTTTGGAAATTTTTTACCATCAGGATCGTATCCAAGATCAACAATTTCGTACAACTCATATACAAAGTCATCGTCATTATTTTGCGTAAATGGATTGGCAGCAATGATATCAACTGGATGCGGATCCATTGGCGATGTTGGTTCCGAAATCGGTTGATAACCATTAAACGGAATATGATAACCATTGGTGAGAAATGAATCTGATTGTGTTGGTGTCGATGGTTGGAAATTCGAATGAACATGGGTTGTTGTGTGGATTGGCGTATCTACGGTTGAATCGCTCCGGAAATGACTTTCGGTATGCCGCAAAAAACTGTCGATGCTTCGGTGTTCGGTTTCGCATCCATCAAATTCACAAACAAACACATAAATATTTGGCCGAATGCGTACTACTTTACCCATTGTTGTTGCTGTTGAATGTCCATTGTTGATAGCTGTTGAATGTGCCATTGTCGTTGGATAAATTCGATTACTTTCGGATGAAATCATCGGGAAATTGTGTCGTTTTCGTTTGTTTGTCACCATTAAACTAATAACCATCAAAATTCCATCAAGTGATACAAAGTATGTTCAAATTGTGTGTGTCTACTTGTCAAATACAAAATCTACTGTGAACACACTAACGGAATGAACGAAAATAATAACAAATCCGCATACAATGCAACAACGCAGCCACAAGCAACACTACACACACCAATGGTAATACTCAACATTTTCGATTGTGAATGTAGTCGGGTCTTAAGTGACCGAACAATATGCGCACATATTTCCATGTCAATCACATACAAAGGCATATACATAGTAATATGGAATTGAAATGAAATGTCGAAGTGACAGGTTGAACAATGCAATACGAACTTTTTATCAACACCATTCTTGTTGGGTAATTTTTGCAAAAAATTGAATGGCATTTTTTCGATAGTTTGATGCAATGGACGAATTTGAGCCATTCGAAATGAAATTACTGAAAATGATGAGCAATAATAATGGTAATAACTGAAATGAATTGATATTTTATCCAATTACAATACTAATAATATAATATTTTGGTCACTTGATTGCGGCAAAACGTTGCTAACAAACGTAAACAAAACAATTTTCCCGCCTAGAAATTCAGCCAAACAAAAATAAGTTGTAAATTGTATTCATTTTCTGCAATTTCAATCGTTTCTCTATGCATTAATCGACTGCATTGCCATTTATCGATTCATATCGTTCAAGTGTCAATTGGCAAATCAAATTAAAAAAGCTAGAAAAAGACATTTTCATTTCGGGATTTGTTTCCATGTTTTATTTATTTACTTCGGATTTTCTTTCTTTTTTCTTAAAAAAGACAACATGCATATGTTTTATTTCGTTCGCCGAACACTTTTTAGCAAGTCTATTCAACTCAAATACTAACCTCAAAGTTATTTGTAAACGCGAATCGAAATTCGAATAAAAATATAGTATTATTCACAATTTTTGTATCTCAAAAAAAAAGAAGAAATTTCCAACATAAAATCTCTATATAGCATTTTTTTAACCATAAAATTTCGTTAATAATAATATGTGAAAATCGTATTCATATCAATATATTATAAACACTATACGACTATGGATTCTAAATTATGGCTTACAACGAAATCATGAAAAATTTGAGAGAATATTTGAAAAAAAAAAAGAATCATTGAAATCAATTTAAAAAAAAATAATGAAATTTATGAACTTTGCTGTTCCCATTTAAAGTGGCTTCAATCGATCGATGGAATCATCGACGGAGTGATTGAAGCTCACTTTAACACTCATAATTTGTTCGACTCGCGATTCATTAAAAATGAAAAGAAACTGTCCATGAATTGTGGTTTTGATTTCAATGGCTTGATTGGGACGACAGTGGATGGTTTCTCCGACACAATTGGTTTGTCCAAATGTGACAAATCATCAATATTATATGCAGATAAATCATTGACATTTGTATCGGGCACAATAACTCTGGCTGATGTTGCTGAATTCGCACTTGCCGAACTGCTTGAGGCCGGAGTGAGCGGCGGCGGTGGTGGCAACGGTTGCTGTTGTGACCTAGATGTTGATGATTTGCTTCGGCTTTTTTGTTGTGCCTTTCTGGATGCATCCAAATCTTCGATGATATATTGCTCTTGCGATAAATCGACCGCATTACCTTGTGTATCGTTTTTCATTAGTGTTGAAGTTGTTTCAATCGGTACAAGTACACCGTTATCATTGTAGGCAAGATAAATGTGTTGTGACGGAATATCAGTAGCATCAACATTTTGTATGACCGTTTGATTCGAATCGATTGCAATCGATTGCGTTGTGTCGATGGTTTGTTGTGCAACTCGCCTTCTTTTTGAATTGGTCATTTTGGTTGCGACTGACGTTGATACAGTTGGCTCTGGCGTTTGATATACCACATTTTCTAATGTTATTAAATCGCCACCGTCATTTGCATGAGTATAAGTTGAATTTTGTTTTCGCGTGCGACGTTTGCGCCCGGTTGATGTTACCGTCGCTGTGGGTGTTGATATCGGTGTAGTATCAACTGCCGGCGATGTATGTGCAATTACAGATGTTGCATTTGTCATTTGTCTGTCATTCAAATCAACATTTCCGATGACATGGTATGATCCATCGCTTGCTTGTATACATCGCAGTGCATCGGTGCCGGATTGACTAAAAATTTGCTCGTCATTCAAAACAATAATTGTGTTTGTGGCAGCCGAATGTTGCCGTTGAGCCTGAATATTTGCCTGATTCTGATGACTGATTACCGCTGTCGGCGATGACTTAACTAAGGGCATCGCATTTGGAACAGACGCAATTGATTGCACCACCGATTGTGTTTGACGCTGTAATTGTTGTTGCAATAGCATTTGTTTTTGTTGCTCTTCCAACTGTTGTTGTAATCGTAGTTTTTGTTGTTGCTCAAGAATTTGACGTTGTATTATGAGTTGTTCTTCTTCCTCACGCCGTAAACGTGCTTGTTCGGCTTGTTCTTCTTGTAATCGTTTTTGTTCTTGTTCGAGTCGTAATTTTTCTTGTTGTTCTTGTTGCTCTTGTTGTTGTCTCAATTGTTCTTCAATATATTCACTAGTTGACGATGGCATCACCCAAAAGCCACGCAACGCTTCGGTGCCAATTTGTTGGCCAGGCGGTTCTGGCATTAGCCAAAGGCCAGTTGTTTTTAGCACCACATTTGTTGACTCTTCGTTGATAACAATGTGTTGATTTTTCGGTGCTTCTACCCAATTTTTGTTTTGCAAATGATTGGCCGCATCATAAAATGTTTCATCTTGACACGTTCGCATATGAATCATAAGATCTCTGATTGTGTGATGACGTCGCCCACCTAAATCAATGAAATTCAAATGAAAAGTTATTTATTTATTTATTTTTTTATTCGTACACAGCACATTGTTCCAAAGCCAGAACAGAACTTACATTGTGCACATCCATATGGAACGTATTGTTCGGTCAGAATATGCGATTTATTTGATGATGTTGAATGATTGATTAATTCTGTGGGTGTTTTCTCATGATACGAAGAAGCACTATTGGAAGATGGCACAATATTTGAGATTGTCGGTGATGGCTGATGGCAATGTGCCAAATGTTCCGATATAATTTCCAATGAATTGAACATCTGTTGACATTGTACACATTGATAAAGTTGTTGATTTTGATTTTGTTGCTCTTTAGCAATGATCTTTTTGCGAATGAGAGCCTCGAAATCTTGCTCCAAACTGATGGTACCGTCTAAGATTTTATTTCGATGCGAAAACGATGTGTGCCGCAATAATTGTCGTACATCATTAAAATCTTGTGTACAAAATAAGCAAATATAATGTCTGATATTCTTTTCTTTAGCCAATTCAGTGTATAAATGCTGAATATAATCGAGTATATCTTGAAATGAATCATTTTGTTGTTGTATGACTGTTGTCTCTTGTGGTTGCATCGCTTGTATTTGACCCAATGTATTTGTTTGTAAATATGCATTCGATTGCAATTGATCGGTTGGATTAATTGTAATTGCGGTGGCTGTCGGTGTGGATGATGACAATACAGCCGATGTTGCTTGAACATAGTGCTGCTCACCGTTATTCAATTGAATCACATACATACTGTTCAGCAATAGTTTGTCTTGATTCGTCAATGTATGTACGTCTGGCACCAAAATCCAGAAATACCAAATTTTTGGTTGCCTTTCACAATCGACGTGATTTATTTAAATTTCTATTCGATAATACGTGTACCCGGAGAAAAAAAAACAATTGAATATTTATTTTTTCGTGAACAATACATTAAGGAGAAAAAAAAAGTCGCGAGAGAATTTTTCTCATAAACGTCACTTTATGTTTGTTGTGCATTGACAGTTCTGATAGCTTTATTATTTTCTATTCGCTCCTTGCCGTCCGTCTTCTACTTCTTCTTCTTCATCAAAGAGAAAGCATTTTGATTGTGTTGATTTGATATGCAGCGCCACCACATTCATACCAGTTTATCAACAATGTTATCTATTTGAGAATTTTGTCTTTTTCACAATCACATTTTGCTTTTGCAAATTAATTCGTTTTTTTTTTTTTTAATTTTATAACATCTCATTGAACCACATAAAATATCAATCGAATTTTTCTCAATTTCAACTATGACATTCGATTGATTCTTTGGTTTTCAAACGCATTTAATGGGCGAGAGATAAGTTTTAATTTCTTTAAGTACGGTAGTATGTGGTACTTATGATGTCTACTCTTTGTGAATGATGTCGCCATCTTTGTTATCGCTTCACTGTCTTCGTTTTTTGCGTAGCATACATTCAGGAGCTTTTTTGTCCCTTTTTAAGAAATATGTAGTGGAAAGTGTACTTACTTCAATTTATGTATCGTTGTTTACGATCTCTCTGTGCATAGATGCCTGAATTATATCTGAAAGAGAATAAAACGATAAACTTATTGAGTTGAGTTCGGTTGAAAAATCATCAAGTTTTACTGCTATATTTCTAGTTTCTAAGAATAGTTTGTTCTCAAATACTCAACAATGACGATTGACGATTGCGTGATATATTTCACTCTATGTGAAACTGATCGTAATAAAGTTGAGATATTAAACATGACGTCCAATTACTGATACATATATACGTACTTGTATTCATTTTGTGCAATGATATTTATTGTTGTGTACCATACATGCTCTCATAGTTTCTGTTGATTTTTAAAATAATTATAGCAAAGTATGTGCGGTGTGTATTTCAAGCCAAATGAAAAAAAAAAGTAAATAACATTAAAAAAAACGACAGAATAAAAGACTTTTACCGCTTTGTATTAGTATCGCTGGGAATTAGTGATGGTGCTACGGATCAGTCACCGGAAGAAAATTAAGAATGTTTTCATTGCTGAAAATTTCTCAGATATATATGGGTAATAATTGCCTAACATGGCATAAATGAATCATAAATTCTCTTGCAGGCAAATTGCATGCTCGTTAAAATGCCCATTTGTTTTGAAGTTGAAAATTAAAAATGGTTGCGCCGCTTTTTATTTTTGCATCGGGTCAATTCGATTTGGCTTGCTTATTAAATTTTACAATTGATATGATATATTCAACTTGCCATTACATATTACGTATATAATATCTGCAGTGATCTTTGTGCGCCGGTACGCAATCTGTACTACACTGCACCACCATACCAAAACCGACCGAAAGAATGATTAGAGATTAGAAATGATTGCAATTTAGGCGTAACGTGTAAGCTTTCTTCAGTTTTTTTTTCTTCTTTTGAACACATCTTAATTCCGCATATTTGCCCGAGTCAACAAGAACATTGTTGCGCACACGGTAAAAGTCACGCAAACTGATACGAACAACAACAGCACATGCACCAAACGATAAATAACAAGACTGTATTTATATGCAATTAAACAATAGTTATGCGCGCGTGCATGCTTTCGATGCAATGGTAAACTCACTGGCATGATCTTACCGCATTTACCGTTAATAAGTTTCAACTATTATATCTAAAATGTAAGTAGATAGCGTTTTTGTTTTAAATTCTATTTTTTTCAGCATTCGATTTCGTTGCGATGTTAATCTAAGTCACAATTTTAAAGGAATGTTTTTTTTTCGTAATTGGTGTGCGTTATTATGACTTAGAACACGGCCGGCCAATGAAAATTCTGATTAATTTGTTTTCGTTGATCAGATTTTCTGCTGCAATTTGACTCGAGAGCTTAATCATCACAGCCACACGATAATCGCCACTTGTTATCAAAATGTTTACTACAAAATGTTTATTAGAGACACACAGAGAGAGAGATAGCGTGCAATCTGTCCAATTAAAATATCAAAACATGATGGAACGCAATGAAATGATGATAAACATGCTCGATACCATTTCATTGGACTTCTTTTTGTTTGTTCTCAAATGGATTATTATGATGGAATTTATGAAATTGTTGGTAGAAAAAAAAAAATCCAAAATGTTGCAAAGAATGAATTTTTGTGTTTAATCATTTCAAACGAGTTTGCAAAAATGGTTTATCGTGCTCTCAAACTGGAAATGAATTTTGCTGGACCTGACACAACTGAATTCTGGATTTGCCTGTTCAGAATTCAAGCAGTGAACGTGTCTACCTTTGCGTATACAAACCTGTTCATGGCAAAAAAAATACGATTTAAATTCTAAAAACAAAGAACACATTTCGTGCTTTCACTGATGCACCATCAATTGCATGAAAGTAGACTTTTAATTGTTTATGCTCACTATCTTTTGGCACAACGGAGCCTTTCACTTTGTTTTCTTAATGAATAAAAGAATTATTCTTATGTAGAAAAAATTAGCTGCTTTCACATTTATTTTTCTTTTTGCATTAATTATTCGTACAAATTCATTTTGAAAAAATTATTCAATTAAGAATCATCACTGTGATTTCAGGTGTTTTTTTAGACATATTTTCTGGGAAGATTTTCAAAGAAATTGGACACAGGTATTTGTTTGTATAACATGCAATTTGCATTTGTGCCGTTTACAATCTATCGAATAAACAAATTGACGGTCACTATCCGCCTCGGTGCACTTGAACTTCTTATCGCCAGTGTGTAAATGAATGTGCACTACGGTGGGCTTTTGTATAAAATCGCTTTTCGCAACCGTGGTACGAACATTCAAATGGGTTTCCAACCGATATGTGTGTTCATGTGCTTTCTCAACAGATGATTTTTCCGCAATGCTCTTCCATAAACACTGCATATAAATCGCGTTGGCTCTTTATTATGGACGTATCGTACATATTAACTGAGACTCGATTCACTTTTATAAATGCCACCGCAAATCGGACACCTAAGCTCTTTTACTAGGTAATGAACATTGAAATGAGCTCTCACTCCATTTTTCGATGCCAACATTCGACCACATATATCACATTCAAATTGTTCATTGGTATGCGTTAACATGTGCTGCTTTTTATTAATGGCACTCACACAACCATTGTACTCACAGTTTAAAAATGTATTTTTTCTACTCTTGTCGGTCTTCGATTTTTGGCGTGGTGATTTTTCAGCAGATTTTGTGACTTCAGATTTTTCAATATTCTTTTCCATATTTGTTATGTCTCTTTCGTTGCTTAATTTTTCGGTGGATACTGATTTGAAACTTTTTCTAAGTCATTTGTTCTATTTGGATCTAGATTTGGATACTTTCCGTTTCCCGTTCAATGTCAACTTTGAATTTTAAAAATTCTTTGATCATTTGTTGAATTTTAATGTGGATACAAACAAATAAACTACGTTTAAAACAGGATACACGAATGTACTCCACTTCATTCGATTTCGACAGTTCCCAGTAACCCAATAATACGCTCCAATCTGTGCAAACAAATGGAAATATTCAATTAAACCGTTCAATAATGGATTTAGTGTTCCAAGTATTGAGCATCTAGCCTATGGATCTTTGGTATTCCCGTGGAGAAAGATCAACTTCGTTGGCATCGTGATTGTTTATTTCCCGGTTGCTTGCAACAATGTTATTGTATTAATTGATTTCCGTGCCGTCAATCTCAGTTAGTTTGTTTATAATATTTGAAATGCCATGTGTCAGATTTGCGCACTTAAAAAAAAAATACAATTGTTGGTATAATAGTGAATTGCGAATTTAAATGAAGCACTGGCACACGATCTTCGGTAAAAGTTTGAATTGTTTACAGTGGAGCTCGTGTGAGATGTCTTATAAAATGATGTTCCATCTCACGAAGTGAGTGCATATAGATTCATATTTGGTTTGTATTGATAATTTTCTCTGCATTCTCATGAAGAGTGGTCTAATCTGATTCAATGGTGTCAATGGGAAAAGAATAAAACCAGTCGATTGGAACTTGTTCTGTTTGCCATATGAAGAGGGAGCCTGCAAATGTCATTTCAAGCGGCTAACGGTTTTCAGCGATAAATTTGACCTAAATCCAGTCAGTTCAAACTGCAAGCCGATGCATGCAATTTGATATGTTGTTGCCTAACTGTTTTACCGCTCAGGCTTGTGCTCGCGTCATGCTATCATGCATTGGCATATTGAAATTGAAAAGTAAGAACGATTCTGGCTCTTGTTTCTTATATATCAATGTCATGTTCATGTTGTATAAATGTGCCAATGCCCACATCTATCGGCAGCCAGAGTGAAACCCGGCACTTGAGTATGGTACTTGAATTTATAAACACAATTCAGTTTATTTTAAGTTGTCTTTTTTAACGACACAGAACAAGATGCGGAAAATAGATAGACGCAGAAAAAAAAAGAAAGAAAAACTAGGGAAAATACACATACGAAACATTGCATTAAATTCCAGCATGTTTCATGTGCATATCGAAAGCGTAAACAAATTTTATTCGAAATGAAAGCAGTCAGCATTTCGTGATCGAAATTTGCAATTCTGACGCGCGTAAAAAACGAAATCGGATTAACGACTTCGAGTGAATCGAATGCCAAACGACAATTGTAAGTAGAACGTTCTGATACGATCGCCTCGAATGTGAAAGAAAAACAAATGTTTGCATCGGATTGCTGTGTGCTGTGTTAAGAATAATAACAACAAAAAAAACTAAATTAAATCGCATTTCGTGCTCTTTTCCATCAAAGCATCAATTTCATGTGGCCGCTTACACTCACCGGTGGCCCCGTCCGACACACATATTCCCAGCACATCACATCGAAATAGAATCATATTTAATATGCACAATGTAACCGGTACGCGTAGCAAGTTAATAATTTAGCGAATGAATGAATGAAAAAAATGAAGATACACACAACGACCGAAAGCAATAATAAGAACAAAGAAATTATACGACTGACTAATAGCGACCGTATGGACGAAAGAATCATGGATAATCATTTTATTTATTATTATTATTATTTTCTATGCTATAGAATCATTCTGTTGAAAAATCATTTCCCTTCCCGTGTTTAGCATTTCATTTCACGTTCGCGAAATCATGGTCAGTGGGTCAGTAATATCTTCATTTACTGAATTTAAAATGATGTGTGTATGCGCGCGCACACACACATTGGGTGCCAGTTCCATGAAGCAACTGTTCAAGATTCACCTAAATATTATTTAATTACACTGTATCGGAATTTGTTTTTTTTTATTCTGTTCAACGTCACGACGACGACGATCTCATCATTTCTATCATCTTCATTTCATGCGCTCATTATCCAAATGAATGTGTTACGCGCCGTAGAAGATATCGATTGTAGCAAATGAATAACAAAAAGAAAACACCACCAACATAAAAGCACGTAGAATGAAATTGATAGAATGTGAGAGATATTCTTTATGCCGCATGTAAAACTCGTTCGACGCCGAATGAAACTCATAGAATGCAAAACATTTGAATGTTCTACAAATGATCATTATTGTTGACTAAATCACCATTCATGCTGCTTGTTGCACACAGCAGGATCACCATCGTGCGTACCACAGATAATACGCTTGCACTGCGACCGCGCACAAACATCTCAATGAAACATTCGAAATGAAAATAGATAAAAAAAGAACATGGCATAGATCGGGCTAGAACATCATTTATATTCAGTTAATTGATACACTCTCGCAGTTGTGAATGTTGTTCCATTGCTTTCGCATTCTACCTCAAGCATTCAATTAAAACGAGAAATCGCGGCGGTGGCGGCAGCAGCGGCGACAGTGTTTTTCATTTGTGCATTTTTTTTATTTATTTTTTTTTACTGGAAATCAAATGTAGAAAGAATGGGCGAACGCATCAATTTTAGCGCTACAAAAATGGTAAACATGGACATTCACTTGACAGTGTTTCTTGAATGGATATTCATTCGATCTAGTCCATGTGCTAATTGTGTGTATTTGGAATAGGCTATAGTGGATGTCGAAAATACGAATAATATTACAGAGGCGGGAAAATTCAATTGCATATCTAGAACATTTTGCCTATTAAATTATGCTCGTTGGCCAATTAATAAAATGATCTATTTCAAAAGAACTGCATGTTGATTTGGTCAGAAGCAGAACATTCAATGGCAATTTCAATGGAAAAACATATACCAAAACGGACGTTAAGTCTTTGGTTTCTACCTTTGTTTAGAATTTTTATATCAGAATTGGTCAATCGTTGAAACTTCTCGCAACGGGTATCATTTCTAAATAGCAATTATATTTGCAAATGCCACTTTATCGTAAATGATCAAAACAAAAAAAAAGTGTGTGTGAGTGTATTTGTTTGTACTGTGCCACCGCAATGTGACATTCACACAAGATGATCGTTTTCTAGATAATTTCGTTGTTTTTTTTTTATTTCACGTGCGCATAGCAATAAAAAAACAACCGAACAAATGAAGCGCATAGCCTCCGTTAGCGGGCGCAAAAAGAAAGCAAAAGAACAGTTAACATGCACTTTTGTAAGTTCAAATATTTGCTATAGATTTTCATGCTCTATAAACAGATGAATTGAGTTGAACTTTTTACATTTCATGGTGCGAAGTATATTCATTTAAAATGTCTTGCTATTGGCATTCTGGCATGATTACGGTGCTATAGACCGCAGAACAATTGAATGAACAGGAAAAAAGCGAGTAGTAATAATGAAAAGGAACTGCGAATGAACTAACGAACGAACGAACGAAAAAAAAACAACAACAATAATATCATAAAATGACGTTGAAAAAAAGGTGAAAAAAAACAGATGATCCAATGCGCAGTAATATGATGCCGCGAACTCAGACATAATGTAACCCAGCCAATAAAATAAACAAAACGATGATCGCAGAGGAATGAAGCATCGCCAAATAGGGAAAAAATACGATTTAAAGAAGAAAAAGAACCGAGAAGAAAAAAAAAACAAAACAAAACAGCAACACAAGTATGAAGTAACATCACAAACAGTAATGTGCAATGTTAGTGCCTTTTCCGTCATCACAATTGCACACATGTTGTCGATTCAACACCTGAAAGAAGACAAACAAACAAACAAAAAAACACAGAGGGAAACAACAACAATAGACACAGAGACTGGCGCGATCGTAGTACGAAAAGTCATAAACATAACTGAGCATCGCGTAATTACAAATTAATAGTTTTGACTGTTAATCGGATGTAAAACTTTGTGTACTTATGCTATTACCGTGTTGCCGTGATGTTGAAACCAGCTGAGAGCTGGTTAAGAAAGAAGAAACAAAAATTGATGTGAACAAATAGTATTGCACATAAATACATGCTACACAATGAACTTGAATGAATTCCATTTGCGCTTTTATCTCTCTTTCACTTCAAAACGTTCGATGGAAAACACTTTTTGTTATTTGACACACGTATGTTGTGTATGTTTTTAGTCAAAATTAAATGCTCGTCTCTTTCACTTAAGTAATTCCTCCGAATTTTGCGTGTTATTCAACACCTTTCTTTTATCTTTGTCTATGCACCACATTTCAAAACCGAGAAATAAATCGACTTCATGTTATTTTAATTTGAATAAAAGAGAATTCATGCAAAAAAGAGATAAAAAACACATCGTGCGATTTATGATTGCAAAAAAAAAAATTAAATAGTATTTTTTTAAAGTAAATAGAAAACATCATCATATAAGATTATTAATTTGTTTGCTTTTCATTTATTTTGACCGAATATTGTTGAGTTGTAAATTGTGTATATGCTTTTTTTTATATGACTGCCATACAAATTATACCGTTTGAATTTTGTTTGGACTACAAATTCCGAAGATGCTTCGATAAAACCGGATTTTTGTCATTCAAAAGCAATGAATGCCAATCAAATTTTATTGGATTCATTTTTATGTTTTTGGAACAATGTGATCGAAATCTTGGACATTGAGCGAACAATCTGCATAAATGAATGCCATCAAAGCTGGTGATGTTCAAGTACAAATTTGTATTCATTGTTGTAATCAAAGATCTTCATTCTTTGTCGTTTTCTTTGGTGTGAACACTGATCATCTTTTTGTATTTTCTTTAGATCATCGGTGTAAAGATGGTCGAAAAGAATGTCTGGTGATTTTATCACGTATCGATTACACATATGATTTAATGAAGTGAAATTGATCTTTTGAATGGTCGATGATAGGATTCGTGACCATTGTCAAGATTCGATCACTTTTCACTCCAAAATGTATGCATGAAAGTCATTTTGATCACAAATGAAAAGTCAAACATTTTGTTATATAAGATGGAAAAGGTGCAAAAAAGTGTTGAAACTCATTTAACCGTTACGTGTAACATTTATTCTGTTTTTTTCAACTTATTAGTAGAAAAAAATTCTCAGCGATTGTATGCCTCTTTTTTTAAAGAATCAATTTAGTAGCAATTTGGAAATATGAACAAACAAATTCTTTACACAAATATGCCGATATCAATTCAAAAGTTACTCAACCATTGAAAGAGAAAAAATGGGAGAGAGAGAGAGAGAGAAAGAGAAAAGAAAGACATTATCTCATTTTATATCTGATATAAAATCGTAGTCCCGCTGTGAGATTGTCTTTTGAAATCGATAATACAATGTACATAAATTTGCAACTGAAAGCATAAAAAGAAAGCATTTCACCACCATTTCCTAGTATTCGCTGGTTTTTTTTTTAATAAGTATATTAAGTGCAACATTTATTCATTTTGATCTCATCGCTTAATTTGCTAACGGTGTTAAAAAAGAAATCCACACTGTAACGAACGCCGACCATATTTCTCTACATGCATACGATCAAATCGTTCGGCTATTTTTATTATTTTATTCATTACACTTCACGGTCTTTTTTCTATCGAAAATTTTTATTTTGTTTGATTAGTGCGTAACAAACAGAATGTTTTCTCTTCTAAACAGTTTTTATGGTGTCCGATTTATGGTTGCCGTAATATAGAATCACCGTATCCACTATAAAACTGTATAGTGTATATAATCATTTCAGAACTTTGTCGTTTTTCATTTTCCGTTTTTTTCTCTCATTTTCAATTGGCTTGTCATCAATCATTTCACACAATAAATAAAATACGCTTGAAAACAGTTTGCAAAACGGTAATATTTGCTGATCATCAAATTTTGTGAAAAGTAAAATTTGACAAGCAGAAAAAACGATCGTTTATGTTACTTTTCGCTAATCCGATCAATGAAGAGGAAAAAAGTTAATCGGATCAATTTGAAGTGGCCCGTAATTAAGATGATGTTTAAATCCGTGTTCCAAACAAAATAATAATTATGCCCTAGATTTCTGTTGATTAAAAAAGCAGCCCATTCTAGGCTGTGTCGAATATCTTTGATTAAAAGAATTTCAGTTACGTACTTACCGTTATGAAACCAAACGATATCCACTAATTAAGGTAGTATGATGCGCAAATCTGTGTGCATCAATGTTGATCTTGGTTCGCGTTTCGCTCTTGGCCAATTAATTATTACAAACGCACTTGTGCAGACAAAACACCAATTTTGTTCTTTTCTTTTTTTATATACGACACACGACCATTCAGAAATGTACTTGTGTTCTTATTTATTGCTTACATTCTAATTTGCTTCATAAAATAATTAAAAAGTGACACTCAGTAATTTATCACTGTAACGGCTATCGGACTCGGGCCGTACACAGTGAAAATGTCAAGCAATGCGGACAATTTATGCAAATGCAATACGACACTTCAATACACAAAGTCTGCAATCAAGAACTTGAATGTTTTGTATTTTGTATGAGTCCAACACAAAATTTATAAACACCAAAAATTGTAGAGAAAAGAAAAGAAACAAATGATTTTTTTCGACCATGAAAAATTGAAAATCAACTTCGGTTATTTTTTGAATAATGCGCGCCAAATATTCAACCTGTACGAAGATGGATGAAATTGATGTTGCTTCGTTGAGAGCTCACGTTATACTGTGCCGAATGATATATTCAGCTGGCTCCATATCGAACGCATTGCGAAGATAGTGTGTTAAATAGTTGTAGTGTTGAATCCGTCGCGGTTTCCATCGGTCTCTTTCTCTCTATCATTTCTCTTCCATTTCTTCTTTTCCATTTTTATTTTTCTTCCTCCAAGCACTGTGGACTCCAAAACACAACGTATTTGAAGACCGTAGTTCAGAACTACTAGTTCTAATGTTCTATGTCATTCGTGCTGATTTTTCAATCTCTCAGAGCCAAGTGAAATTATATTCTATTTTCTTTGTGCGCTCGATCATTTTTCTCAATTTTATTGAATCAAGTTGCGTTATTGTTGGGCCTTTTTTTGCACAATACCCGCTGATGTTAACGTTTTTAACGAAGACATGTAATTATGGTCATGAAATACAATCAACAAAATGAACTTAAAACTATGATTTGTACTTATGACCACAGTATTTCAATGAACGTAAATAGCCGCACAATACAAAAAAAAAAATTGGAAATACAATGAGATCGACGTGTTATTTATGGCAAAATCAGATGAAAAAAAAAGCAAATCATAAATTGTTTTTTATATTTCTGTGCACGATTTTAACGGAAAACGACAAGTGCAAAAACAGTATCGACGTGTCGATGCTTTTCATACCCGACGAAATGATTATCTCACTTTTGCACACGGATTTCGGATGACCAAAAGCACCAAGTATCGCGTTTGCGTGTAGCAAATGATTTTCATCGCTACGGAAATCGCTGCTTATTTGTTTTTATACCCACAATTAAGTGTTGAATCGAATATAGCGTACCATACAAATGTTTTCAACCGAATGAAAATGGGCAAAAGATGTAGAACTTTTTTCGTTCGTTCAGAGCAACAAAAAAAATGGTTAGAAGAACGCAACACGAAAAAGAAAATAAAGTTAGGAAAAAGACAACGTTGACAACGGATCTGAAAATTGCCTCCATATCCAAATGGAAATCATTTCGAAGAAAGAGTGACAAAGAGAGAAACCGTGATAAAGATAAAATTGCACCAATGTGGAAAATCTGTTGTTGTTTTTTTTGTGTGTGAAAAGAACTTCCATATTTTGCGTTCAATTATTATGTAATTTTCAGTGACTTTGGAGCGTACAATGTGGTTTCGGTTGCTTGCGGTTGTCTCTTTATTTTGTCATCGTTTATTGAATTGACGGTGCGCAATGCAATCGCTTGATGCGCGGTTTCCCGTATTTGTTTTAGATGTGTAACTAATGACGATTAGGTAACTGTGATGAGAAACACTTGATCATCATACGCCAAATGCATAAGAGTCTTATTTGACTGTGTGTAACGGCATTTGTCGTGATGCATCTGTTCAAGTTCAAATTATATATCTTTTTTGAAACAACGAAATAATTTGGAGAAAAAATTCTCATTACAAATAAAATAGGTCAATCTTTTTACATTTTGACCGTGTCGCCTAACCAATTTAACGGCACCTCTTACTTCTTCGACAACATATTGTTCTTTGTTTTTCGTTGATGACATCTATTTAGTATAGCTTTACACTGGATAGCCGCTTCAATTACAACTCATTTTTTTTCTCCATTTCCGATAGTAGTACATTAGTAGTAAGAACTAATGAGTTTTTTTCCCAGTCAATTGTCTTTGGACGGTTTTTTCATTTTCAGAACTTTTTTTTCGTCACTCGTCAACACAAAATTCGTCAAAGTTTTCTTAAACAAAAAAGAAATTCAAATGAAAATGAGGTAATCTAGATCATAGAAAAACGCTTTCGTGAATAAGAAGAAGGATAAATGAGTATGCTTATAAGAACAATATTAGATCAGAAGAAAAGAACTGGTACCAGTGACCTATTTTTGTATACGTCTGATTACCATTTGTGATCGTTTTTTTTCCTGCGTTTTAGTCAATCGTCGAAAAAGAATATTCTGAGACGGAATGAAAAGAGAGAAAAAAAAAATGACAAACAAAAAACAAACATCGGTAAAACATTGTCTACAACATAATTTATTCGAATCATTGGTGCTTGACTGCTCGTTCGTGCATTGAGCTAAACCGTTTAAGTATCATAAAAATGTTGAGATCTTTCTCTCGCTCTCTCTCCTGCTCTCTCTCTCTCTCTCTCTCTCTATGTCTTTCTCTCGCACGCAAAATGTACCAAACTACACAAGATAACATAGCAAATGAGCAAATTCACATGGCCTTACAAATGGCAACATCAACAACGATAGAGAACGAAAAAAAACGGCAAACATAAATACAGTTTATGGTTGTACTGACGCTGACGTTCTTGTTGCTTGCGCATTAGCTTCTCGTTCTTTCATCGATGTCCGTAACATTGACCATAGTGCTGTCCCAATTTTTCGATATGAAAAGTCAGCGCCAATGAACAATGTGGCTTCGTTTATGTTTTTCTTTCCCATTCGTTGTTCGTTCGTTCGTTTTGTTTTTACCCAGTGGAAGTGTTATCTGATCATTCACTTTTTCTCCACACGGCGTTCCGTTTGTACAAATTCGTTAATGGTAGTATCGATCAGTTCATCACACTCGACCACATTTATCTCTGTTTTGTTGTTGGTTTGTTCTTCGCGCACATGATGCCTACTACACGCGATGCTATTCAAACTATTTAATTTGCTTCTTGAGCATTTCTATCATGATTATTGGTATTAACATATTTCGATACATATTTGCGTTTGTTGTGTGAATTTATGTTGGGTCTTGTTGATCGAATGTGTTATGTGTTGTTGTTTCTATTTATATAGTTTTTTTGTTATGTTACGGAATCGAATTGTTTTGCTGTTGATGTTGGTTACGATCACGGTCATTGATTAAATGGAATTATTATCGCATACGTAAACCGCAAGCAACGATTTGTACGATTCATTGTATTTTGTGTTTCATTTCGTTCAACTTTTCTCAGTTGAACTGCAAATCAAGCAATGAGCTTTCATATTTTTATTCTTTCGTTCTTCAAATCCGTGCAGCTGATTGACTTCGTGTTAAAAACAATGCAAACTGAATTGAATATGCAGAAAACAAAACGAGATATACTATACATTGGAGAAACTTTTTTTTCATTCCATGTTTTATGCTAATTCATATCACTGGCCACTACAACAAAGTGATCTAATAAAAGTTGAATGCATCTCTTGGGAAATTTTTTTCTCAAGTGATCGCTTCAAGAAACAAACAACCGTCGGACACACCAAACAATGGCCAATGAACATGAATACCACATAGAGAGAGAGAGAGACAGACAGAGAGAGAGAGAGAGAGAGAGAGATAGAAGGAGAGAAAGAGCTCCAAAGCACTAAAACATCAACAACAGCAAATTATATTCATATCGAGGCTTTCACAAAAAAAAAACACGCAAAAATCCATGAATCACAATCGGCACATTTTGACGTCATTATATTCGTTGGTTACCTACACGAAATGACGGAAAGATAATTGAAAATAATTTCGATTGGCTGTGGTTTATGGGCATGAATTCCATCAGCATATAAATGGAAATTCTTGTGGCCGCGAAAACTTCACAACTTTGACACACATTTTGGCCATTTCGTCATCTCATTGTAACGTAATTTCTCTCGATCCCCTCCACCTCAATTTTCAGTGGACGAAAAAATTGGCGGAAAATCAGAACCAAGATTACCAATAAATCCATTATAAACGGTTGGTTTTGCTGTTGTATATATACACACACACGAAATAAAATGAGAATGTTCTGCATAAAAGAATTTCTAAGAAAAAATAGAGAAAAGAATAAAAGATGCAAATGTCCGAAGCAAAATTAGCATCAATTTTAACACATTCTAGCATACACACAACATGGTAACGTCACAATAACAAAATGAAAATAATTCATTCTATAAAAGCATGTATGTGTATGTGTGTGTCGGCTCATGTGAAAAATTGAAAACGTTAAAAATTAATGATGAATGGTATGCGCGCGCGAGAACATTTCAGATTAAGAAATTCATTTGCGGCTAGTCTTCGACAAAAAAGCGTGCACAATGAAACAGTTACGTTTTTATTGTTACAACCGACACTGCCTTTGTTAGTGCACCTGACTGAAGATATTTACGCCATACGATACAATTAAAATCATTCTATCGTTCACCCGGTCCCGTCGCTTCTTTTTTTGGCGCTATTTCAATTCATTCGTGTGTGTGTGTGTGTTTTTAATTCACTTTGGCCCAAAACGAAAAGCTCCAAGTCACGTTATTCGTTATTGTAATGATTTCAATGTGCGCGATTAATTTAATGGAATCAATGTGTTCAATAGATTGAATTCAATACATTCGAATGTGTGCTGGACATCGAATAGGTTCTTATGGGCCTAGAAACGTGGCAATTGTTACAAAATAATTGCACAGATTCGAAATTCGCGAATTCACGCCATAACAACACAAAAGATCAAATAATTCCCATTGTAAAGGTAAATGACAAAAGAGTACCATCGGCTAAATTGTCTTCGTATGTTTTTATTTTGTATCGTATCTTCTAATATTACATGAATGAAATTAATTTAATGGCCGTTTACTCTATCCATCTACAGTTGTTCATAGTGGCAATTGTTCTTTGGATCGCGACGATAACCACAACTCACCGCATTCTTTATTACCACTTTAAAGTAAAAAAGTAAATGACGAATAAACTAGTCGCGAACCACGAAATTATCATGATGTTGGAGAAATTTCTCTCCGCGAAATACGTAACCCAAGAGGGGTCATTAGAAATGTTAAAATTGCATTTTTTTTGAATTTAATGGCAAATGCAACTGAACGGACATTTCCAATCACTTCAGTCGTCTTTTGAGGAAGAAAATATATTGCTCTTGAGCCCACACGTAGTGTGAAGTGAAAAGTTATGTAAGTGAGGGTACCATAGATGATGACGAGGGATCGGAATACCCCCCTAAAATATTTTTAGGAACCTTCAACATGTGAAAAATTCTTCCGTTTTGCTAGCGACTTTCGCCAAAAAAGTGAAGAGCAAAATAAAAAACGAAAAAAGGTACTGATTTGGATAGAAAGGAGATGGAATCGTGAAAAAATCCCTATGAATCGTGACCCCCTATGCAATTTTGGATGTATATTCAAAATGCTGGCAAGGTCGAAATTTTTTTTTCAATCATTGAACTCTACCTGAAGGCTCCTTAAGTATACTTTGCCATCACCCCCTAAAATCTATGTCATCATCTCTATTGGAAATATCGAGAGGAGAGTATGTTTTTATTCAGACATTACTCAGACATAAGCGCTGAATAACCTACTCTCTTCTCGATCTATGGATGGTACAGAAATTTTAAACATATCATCTTCAATAATACTTACAGTTTCTGTGTTAATAAAATTGAAAATTTACTTTATTTACACAATTGGCATAATGGGGGTAATGGAAAAAACCACGATCAAAATAATAATCGATGATAAATTACTTGTGCTAGAGACCGAAGAACAAAATTCTAATTATCATCTACATATATCAACACACAAACTTTTGGAATTCAAATTTTTTTTCGCGAGTTAACCATGTTAGTTGTTTTGTTCGTTTTCGATAATGGTACATTCTGTATAAAAACAGACGTAGAGTCGAGATCAAATCATTCGGGGTTTTTATCTCTCAGTATTCTTCAACATTTAGCAAAATGTTTTATTTTCGTAATATTCTGGCAAGTTTATTGATCGTTTTGGCGGTTGCCATATTGTAAGTATTAGAGAAATTCTAAATAAATTTTGATTCGGATGAGAAAAAAATGAAACAAAATGTTTCCATTTATTTTACAGGTCAACAAACGCTAGTGAAAATAATGGCGCAGGGTAAGTAGGCACAAGAAAGATAGTATTTTGTTATCAGCATTAAATTCAATAAAAATTATTTCAACAGTTTTAACAAATTTCAAGAAATGTGGTAAGTATTTTTTATTAGACATCACATTTGATTTTGTAAAGAAAATGTTAATTTTTTATGATTGTGGTTAACAGTAGAAAATTCGAGAGAGACTTAAAGTAAGTCCTAAGGTCATATACAAACCAAATTTTTTAAAATTTAAATAATACATATTCTTTACTACAGATCACTGCCTGATAATGAAAAAGAAGCTATGATACAAGCAATTAAAGACGAAAAACTTTCTGAGTAAGTCATTTTCATTTAGTACAATCAATAAACTGATCAGTTTTTTGTTTTGTTTTTAATCAATTGAGTTAGATATTTGTTCCCATGGTAATTTAACTGAAAATATCTATATTTTTCCTCAAACAGACTTCATCCTAGCTCAAATGTGCTAAAAGTAGTTGAAGACATATTGAACAAACGTGGCGGCAGTAGTAGCGAGCGAAGATAATATTAAAAACGATTTAATTTGAAAATGTTGTTTGACTTTTGTGACGTTACTTTATACTTCCCTTGTTCGATCTATGATTGAATATGGACGATTAGTGTGGGACAATCATCTCGACAAAACCACAAAAAGAATGGAATCATTACAAAAACAAGTTGTAATATATGCTCTCAAAAATACCGAAAAAAGAGACGAAAATCATAGACTGAGACCGTACGTTGATCGCTGCGAATTATTAGGACTACAAAGCTTAGAACGACGTAGAGCAAATAATGAAATTGTGTTTATCTATGATATAATTGTTGGAAAACTAAACACACCTTTCCTAGCAAACCGAATAAAATTCAACCAAAGCTTCTACAACACTAGAAACGTCAGACCACTCATTGTTGAGGGCAAAATAACACATAGCATTCAAAACTCAGATCCTTTAAGACATGCATTAATATCATTTAACAATATTTACACAACTTTAAACAGACAAATATTCTCTGAGAGAAATAGACTTAAAAACATGATTACACTTTTAAATGACGATATAGTGATGCCTAAGTAAACTTTTGACTAGTAATTTTTAAATTTTTAATTTATATACAATATATACTCAATACCTATATTATATTATATTATAATTTAAATATTGTCTAAATTTTGTACTAGTTATAAATTAATCAAAGAAAAGAGAAGAAAGAAGAAAACATATATAATATAAATAATAATAATTATAAAAAAAAAAAAAAGAACCAAAACGTATTAACACTAATAACAACACACCAAAGCAACAATTTCCAACAAAAAATTTTTTATTTATTATTTTTATTCACCGTCTGATCACAGACTGATTTTATCACAATTATTTACAATATCATTTGCAATGAAACACTACCCGATCGAATACCAGCCGCCAGTCTTTTCGACTTCGGAGCAGCAGATATCGACTGTGTCCATTGTATATTACTATTCATAACACAATTTTTCTTAGTCTATTTTACCGAATATTAAATAACAAATTGTCCAATTCAACAATACTATTTCTAAAAATGTGTCTCGATGCCGATTCCAATTCCAAATAACAACATAAAATAAAAAAGTAACTAAAGAACAACTATACATACAAACAACTTAATCATTAAGATAAAAATGTGATAAAAACAACAATGTTTAATTATTGTAAAAGACAGCAAATTGTCAATAAATGAATTTGAATTTGAATTTGAATTTGTGAAACTTGTTTGACATTTCAAAACATTGAACATATTGCCATTGTGTAAAATGAAATAAATAAAAACATTCATTTCTATGGACACATGAATGGAAATTAATTGAAAAAAGTATGAAACTTTTATTTTATTTTTCAACATTAATACACTTTATTGGTATCAAAAATACTCATATACGTATTTCGAAAGCAATGCTTCCTTCTTCAGTGAGTTAGATGAACAGACATGTGTGATTTTTCTATAAAAATACCTCAAAAAACTAACGGAATATGATAAAATTTGGCGGCTCCATTGAAATCGTTATCTCTTCTCTAGGAATTTGCTTAGTATGAATTCAATTGATATTTTATTGGGTCAACAATTTTATTGTCTTTTGAGTTTAATCATTAATCAACTGTCCCAAAATAGAAATGAATAAAGGAAAAAAGCACGTGAAATCATTCGATTATCACTTATCAGCATTGATTACTCATTCAATAAAAATTCTATGTTTAAAAAAATTCACTCCAATTTCTTCTGCCAATTTATGAGTCTACTTTTTAAAAACTGAACGATTTTCATAAAAATAATTCATCTCGTAAATTCATTCAATAGTCAATCATTTCATTAATAAACAAGCAAGTATTGTACCCTGAACGATTGCATCGCCATCTGCTGTATTCCGTGTTGAACTTACGCTGATATGCGTGTTTTTTTCTTCTCTCACTCAACATCGAAATGTCAAACCAACAATGAAAACAAGAATAACATTACAAAACTTTGGATCATTTGCACAACAAACACACTTGATTCCATTCACAGCAATCAGTCAGTGTTGAAACGTCATTTTATCACCAAGCAATTATTCATCATCGCAAAGTCAAATACGTGCAGAAAGAAAAAAAAGGAATGAAGGAGAAAAAAAATTCGCAGGCGAATCGGAGAAAAAACGAATTTTTTTAACATGATAAAGAATGTAATTTAAATACAATTTTCATAGAAAAATCGAAATTTCGATAAAATTATAAAATGTAAGTGGAAAATTTGCGTTCGGATTTTAGTTTTTAAGTGAAACAAGTGCCTAATTGAACAACAACAAATAACAAAAAAAGAAACAACAACACGCCAACAACAACAAAGACTTGACACTTTTTTTTGTCGTGAATTTATTCAATAGTTTTAATCAAAAAAAAATTTCGTGTCTGCGTCGAACAAAACGGAATTAAAAACGTTTGATTAATAAATATAAAAGGTAAATGCAATAAAACGACGACGGTCGAAGTTGTTAGTGATGAAAACAATTCGAAGAAAATAGTCGACCTCAACGGCAACAACGACGGCGACAACACACGAACGAAAGAAAGAAACAAGTAAAATAGAACAAATATCACGAGATAAAGAAACCAGCGAAACGACACCAAGCAAAATAAACACACAAGTACACATATAGGAAGAAGAAGAAAAAAAGAAGCGAAAAAGTGTTGTTGTGCTTTTTATTTTCTCTGTTTCGATCTTTCTTCACTTAAAGCAAACACATGTGAGTGAATGAATTGACGATAGACGTAGCAAATGTGTGCAAAATTCATTCCATTTCGTTATTATTATTTTAATTTTGCAATTTTTTTGGGCATTTGTATCGCCACCATTTCGCTTAGAAAACGTCAAAACAAAATAAAAATTCACGGTATTTTGATTTATGGCGAGGATTAGATCCATGCCATAAAATTATTTATTTTGTTTGTGTTGTTGTTGTCAAATTCGTCATGTAACAATAAAAGATAAAAGTGTAATAGCAACAACCATCGCACCAATATAAAAGAACGGACAGAAAAAAATCTTGAGAAAAGAATTTTTTAATGGTGCATGTTTTTGTGGGTAAAAACTAATGTAGGCCAAAGTGCACGTAATTATATAAAATGAAAAAAAAGATGAATTGTCGCCGATGAAAACAGTGTATGAAAGTAAAAACATATAGGAAAAACGGAAATTGAAATTATTTTAACCTTGCTGTAAAAATTGTGTGTGTGCCTGTGCATAGAAATGACAGTTAGCATGGGAACGTGAAATAGTGTACAAAATAATTTTTTATCGGTGGAAAATTATCGAAGGCAAAATTTGTTATTTGAACTACGAGCCGAATGTAAAGCGCTCAATTTGACACTTATGTATATTAATTCATTGAAAATTCATGGTTTACATGTATCGTGTGCTAATGTGGTGGCGCCTCGCAAAATAAAATAGAAGAAACAAAAAAACAACAACACAACACGGAATAAACATACGAACAATTTTTGCCAAACAATATGGGCGCAAAAGACTCAAAACCATCGTGTATAAGTTATGAGGATGCGATAAAACGCGGTAAGTGTAAAATAGTATTGTGTTTTTCCTCATTTATGAACAACAACATACCGGAATAGAGAGAGGAAAACAAAATTGTAACAACAAGGAGAATTTACACACAATTGATAGGCACGAGCAACCGTTAAAGGGACTTAATTTACTTAAAACATTGGGCTGTGTCGCACTATTGCAAACATGTTCAGTTAGAGTGGATTCAACTCGTTTATAGTGATGATCACATGAATATATTAAAATAGTATTGACTGTTTGGAGTAGTGACAGGCAGACAGAGCGAGAGATAGATAAATTCACAGTAACTGGAAACAAAAACAAGAACCAAGCAACGGCAAAACGTTCACGCTCATACATTTGCGCAACGCAAAGTATTTTATTTGATTGAATTCACGTTCTAGTGTTTATTTTGCATGTGCAGCTTTTTCTTCTCGTTCTTCGTTCGCTTTACCCACTGTCTGTGCGATGTGTATACTGTAATGAATATTTTTAAACTAAACAAGATAAATAAACAGACAAAACGAATGGAAGCGAAGCATAAAATCAAATAATTTGGTTGTTAGTGTGTGCGAGAGCTCTACATTCAATTCTCATACATTGTTGATTGCCGCACAAATCCAATTGCGCACAACAAAATCACTTTACATTTGATGTGTGGCTTTAACGAATTGTCTTGACTTTATTGTTGCCAATTCGATCTTTGTTTTATTACCGGATTAACAAATGCACATGCGCCGCGATATTTTATATTTCTTTATTTTCCGGAATTTACTTCTGTTTCTATGTCACATTTCGATGCTAATAAAAAAATAAATAAATCACGTTTTTTGAATTATGAAAGTATTGATGCTGAGAAAAAAAACGGTGCCAAGAGATGATCGCACTATTGAATAATACTTCGATGTGAGTCAAGAAAGATGTCGTTATCATTTGCTGGAGTCCTTGATTATCGTTCTACAGCGGCAACACATATATAGAATATATATAGAATACGAATTCACATACGACATAAATTTCGTATCATTTTTGCATTTTTTGCTATTGTTATAAAAATGTTGATAAAATTATGTGATAAGTGACGTCAATGCGTTTGCCAATTGGCAGATGGTAACCAAAAATATCATTTCTGGAGTCAATGAATTTTCCTTTTTTGTTTTTTTTTTTCTTCTTTAACTAAACAAAAAAAAATCTTCCGAATACGATATAAATATGACGCACATCACAATTTACTGATATTTGGCGAGAATTTATTCGAAATTCTACTCATAGCCATTAAGTGGGTTGCTGTTCAATATATAACAAACCATACTAGAGAGATACTAAAATCATCGAATACAACAAAACGAAACGTTAGTTCACATCGTGAATAGCTCATTCAATTAATTCCATTATTAGTTTCTATTTTATGAAAATGCTCTCATTCATTGCACGCTTTCTATTTCGAATGTTGTTAACAACAAACAAACACAAAAAAAGAATGTTTACCTCATACTGTAGCACGTTTATCGAATGTTACCATGTTTGTGTGTTCACCACGTAATCCACTTTACAAGCTCCATTATTACGGATCATCGATATTCTGCTACCTTTATCAAATAAAATTACTCGTGAATGTAAAGCTGCATTGATTGATACGGGTGTACGGTTCCAAATCAATGGTGAATCTAGTTCAATTTCATTCATAATTTATCACGTAGAAAATGACGATAAAATGTCCTGTGTTCACATGGTTCGCTTTCCATAGTTTCGATTGTCATTGAATAACAACGAATAACGACAGGTAAAATTGGATATATGTGAGTTCAACTAGTTGTTTCAATATCGCTATGTAAACAATAGAATAAATATACTTATCAGTTAGTTGATGGTTGTAAAGAAGCTACCGAAAATTCAAAATGCCATTTTGTTTGGTCAGTATATGTGATACGTTTTTATTTGTTTGTTTGCAAAAACTTTTTCTGAAATAAAACAAGTAATCAAGCATTCTTTTTCATCAAATAAAAATTTATTTGATCATATATTATTAATAAATAATATTATTCTCGTGAAAGCCAAATAAAACGTGGCTATTGTTATTGTTAACCAAGTGTTGTTGTTGTCGCTGAATGTCTATATCTCTAAACAGTAAATACAGTCACAAACATGTGTTCATATTCGATGTTCATCCTCTATTTTCCGCTTCATACGATTTTTTTTCCACATTTCATAATTTAAATTAAGTAAATTACTATATGATAACCGAATGTATTGTTTGAATTCATTTGTCATACTGATTTGTCATTTGTATCTCTTTTTTTATTTTGCTGTATTGTTACTTTTCCGCACACACCTAGTGTGAAAGGGGAAAGTATTGCAATTGGTCAAAATTTACGAAACTTCAAAAACATGTTTTCTGGACGTTTCTGAGGTCAGAGAACCCGAATCAGGCCGTTTTGAGCATGGTTGTTGTGGGTCTGTTCCACGTCGTACGTCGTACGTCGTACGTCGTACGTTGTCCGCCGTACGCAAAATTTGTCCATCGATTTTCTCACCACCCAGAAAAGTTATTTGAAATCTGACTTCACGGGATGATTGGGGGTCCCCAGGAATAGAAATCATCAGATTTTGAGCGACTTTGGTTGATGGAAAAAAATTCCATGCCTGGAGTGATACCTATGAAAAAGAGTCCAATTTTCGTCCAAAAGTCATACTTAATGTAGACTTAAACACTCAAAAATATGTATTGGGGGGTTTTTTGGCACGAGAAAACCGAATCCGAGGTTATTTTTGAGATACAATCAATTTTTGATGCAGTTTCCTCAAAAAAATCAAAAAGAATTTGGATTTTTATATGGGAGCCATGCCTGTATGCTACCTTAATGACGTGAAACTTTGCACAGACTATTTTTTACACAAAAATATAACATCCCGCGTGAACATGCCAGACCACCGTACACTTTATCTACACTTTGCTCACACCTTCATTTTCATGTTTATTTCTTAATGCTTATTTTGCATTGAAAGTATAGCGAGAGTGTGACGAAGGTGTAGCGAACGTATACAATACTCTCTCACACTTTGGTCAGACCTTTGCTTCTTTTAATGTATACAAAAAGAAATGAAGGGGAACATGCGGCGGAGAAGTACACATGCACAAACGTTACCTCTTTGTTCAAAAAATCATCTAATAGCCTACACATACGAATATTCATGTTTTATTTAATGAACAATGTTTGTGTCAAATGACACAATTTTATTATGAAAATTATTTTTCAACAAATGAATATTCGTATGTGTGTATAATGTTTCATCATGAAAGTGTGAAAAATCTTTTCTCGGGTACTTCTGCTATTAAATTAAAGAATATTTTGTTGTCAAAGTTGAAACATATTTTTTGGTCTCGAACTTTACGCCGCTTGAAAGGCTTGAAAAATCGAAAAAATATTATTTTGAACTTTCTTAATAAAATACGCAACTACCACCGTGCGGAAAAGTTCGTCTTACTCCCGTAAGACTCTTTATTCTGAATTCATTCGCATGTCATTTTGATGAACAGTAGCTGGCGCGTTGAAGTTTTACGTTTGCAAAAAAACATGCGATATATAAATTCGAATGTTGTAAAATGAGAAATTGAAAATACTGTTTGTAAATTTTATGAATGAAGTCATCTTAGCTTCATTTTAATTGGAATTTTTCGCATGGTTTTGCAATAGAATAACCGCTAAATGCGAGCGGTTTACGATGAACTCGGTAAATATTTCAACGAATCCTAATTAAGCATTTCACAAATGTCCGGTCGGCAATTGAGTCTGTTTGTTTGAAATAATATAATAGCCATTGACCTTGAATGCGTTTGGATTGTATGCCAAATATATGAATGGGTGGATTTTGTCGTTGTATGTGGGAGAATTTCTTATCGAAACATTTGTATCGATAACATTCACATTAGAATCAATTTAGTTTGAGCGATAAAACTTTTGTGCCATTTTCAAATACCATACCAATGAATATGGTGTACGATTCGTTTTTCAATTCGACACTGCGCAATACTGCGCCTTAATGTAGCAAATACAAAATCGTTTTTTCTTAGAATAATGTGCGCTTCATTGTTTCGACAACGAAATTGCTTTATTTTCATCTGTTATATGATAGCATTAGCATTTGAATGCACGTACAGTTAATCTGTCAACTGTCACGATATGTGTGTGCTTGTGTATGTGACAACTTTATTTAATATATCTCATTTTTTTCTATTCACCGAAATGATACCGAACAAATCATCACATAATAAAGGCACGTTTTATCTATTCTAGAAATATTTTACACAATTTACCAACATTCTGTATTGTGTTTGTAATAATAGATTTAGTGCGAGAACTATACTCACAATCATGAAAAAAATACTTTTTTCTATCGTTTTCTTCTGATCTTTTTACTTAATGTGAGTAAAACTATGCATTTTGTTGTTCTTCGTTTTTCAGTTGTCAGTCAATTTCTTTGTAAACAAGTTGTACTTTCATCCCTTTTTTCACATTGTTTTGTAAATTTTATGAGGAATTCACTCATCCATAAATACCGTCATTAAAATTTTAGAGGTCAAAATGCACCTGATGAATATATGGCTGTGCTGTGTGAAACAAAAATCCAATTTCAAGAGAAAACTGCATTCGTTATTAAAATGTATAAGCGCTAACAACTCGCGTCTGATAATGTCGCTAATAGTGTTTTGGATTTTCAAGGTCACCTGTCAACATGTTACGAATACAAAAATCCCTGTGACTACAATTCATATGTGATAGGACGCACACACGAAAAAAACGCATTTGATATGACATTTTGTATAGTTTGTTCGAATATTTCGAATTGATTGCTCATTTTTTATATTGATTGAGATTGATTAACTAAAGATTACCTTGCCACTTTGTCTGCTTCACTATCACATGCGTGACATTTTTGTCAATGTTTATTTACTATCCAAAAACGAAATTTGAACTTTATTTTCATGACATCGATTTAATCGTAAGTGTAAATCAAGCGACAATTTCGGCTATCTCGGTGCATTTTTATCGCCATTTATCAAAGAATTTCCGGTTATATGGAATGGTTGCCGCTTCACTACAAATTTAATTTTGTCATTTTTTTATCGTTGGCCTGAAAATGTACCAAGTCATATGTACACAGATGCGAATTTTTTCCATTGTTTTTATGTAATCCATGTATAAAATAATTATTTATCATCTTTGCTCTATTGCTCTCTTCTTAGACTGCGGAAATTTGAATGGTGATATCAGAGATCACAAATAAGTACTATTTGTACAAATGCTTAGCATTTCAGTGAATTGAAATTGCACCGAAAAGGTATATGTGCATATATTATTATAAGATTTTTATTTAATATACATGTGTGTATAATGTAATACGCAAGCGTAAGCAACATTCTCGTTGTGGTTTCATTTAAAGTGTGCAAAATAAAATGGAAAAACTTTTGTGAATAAAATATGATATAAGGTCAGGCATTGTGTTGAAATGCGCGTACGCTTAATATCGACCATGCAGTGTTTTATCTTTTCCCTCTTTCTGCACAATATTGTTCCGTCAAATGTGCGCAGAATGATAAAATCGGATAAAATAGTGTTTTACACACTTTTTTTGCGTATGCAATGCGTTTAGGCGTGCGAATGTCACCTTTACTTTTGGCATATGCGATAGAGCAAACAAACAAAAATGTGTTAATGGAAAAACCCATTGCATTTGGAATTGGTGACGCGGTTTTTGCCTCGATTCAGTCCAATGTTAATTTTTCTCTCTCTCTCTCTCTCTCTCTCTCTCTCTTTTTATTCATGGAATTTTCATCAAATCTAGAATAATTACATTCCATAATATTTTATTTGAATTGTGTAAACATAAATAAATAGTTGTTATTTTTTTTGTGTATGTTAAAATTTCAGTGAATGAAAATGAGTTGCGACGCATCAAAGAGGCATTCAAACGATCGGCTGGATCGAATGGCACGACGCTGAGTAAGAATGCATTTTTCCAAGATGTCTTATCCGAAGGTATACCAACGGTATTGGCGGATTGGTTGTATAACGCTTGTGGCGGCACCCAAAAAGGTATTGCATTCAAAGAGCTTCTTTGTGGCTTGGTGCTACTTACACGCGGCCTGTCCGATGAAAAAATCAAGTAAGTTCGATCAACTTTTATCGACATTCTTAGATATATAATCTTTAATAAACAAATTAGAAGTCCCATTGACGCGCGCGCCTCGTTCGTCATTCCGCAATGAATTAAATAAATTATTCCGAATCAACATCTGGACAAATGAATCGAATCACTTTCGACGTAAATTTCCGCAAATAAATGAATGGTGAACAAATATATAAGTTATGCAAATTAACAGAAATTGAATTGTTTGGCCTGATTCAGTTCAATCACGATTATAAATTATTATTTGACATACATACAGTTTATTCGGAAAATAACCACATTTTTTTGTGGGATTTTTTTATAATTCTTCATGTTAACTAATATGGCAAACAAATAACTACTTGCCTTTTGGAACGCAATCACGTACAGTATACTCTTGAATTTTTAGTGTTCGCACACAAATCAATACTGTTCAAAATTCAGATATATCATTCTCACGTGTCATTTCTTGCGAATGTACCGAATGCATATGACTTTATGCAAAATACGGCTGGTTGCATATATATGGTCATACGAATCACTGTTAAGACCCATAATCTGATTTTTAAAATAGGCTTATGACCACCCTTGAACTAAATTAATGCTCCATCAAATGGTTTTATGTGAGCAAAGTCAGATGTTAAGTGGATAAATCACAACTACAAAATAAGACCTCAACAAAAACCTTTGAACACACAATAATACAAGTTCAAAACCGATGAACCTCGCTAATAACTCAATAGCAAATCCTCTATTCATAAAGACATTGTTAACAATCATATCTAATTGAATCGTTGCTGTCTCTGTAGTGGTATTCATTAAATATACATTTGGTCATTTCTGTAATCCCGAACAAATCTTATTGTTGAAATCAATGAGTCTCGTTTATAATGCACTGTCATGCAATTAAATTTGTTCATTTGACATTTACAAACTAAAGACAGACAATAAAAAAACTATCTTCTTTTTAGATTTCTATGGAATGTCTACTGTAACGATTCCGGGACACACATTCTCAAACAAGATTTTGCAAAAGCATTGCAAATTGAAGAGACTTATCAACAATCCGTGCCCGGTAATGCAAACAAACCGACAGTCATTGAACTACAAGTGAAATCGCAAAGTGTTCTACTATCACTATTTGGTCATTCCGATCGAGTGAACTTTGATCAATTCAAACAATGGATTATCAAACATGAGCGTGCAACAGTTCTATCGCGATGGCTCCTACTGGAGTCATGTGTTAATTTGAGCACTGAATTGGAAACGCCCACATTTTATCAAAGTTTGGCCGGTGTAACTCATCTCGAGGAACAGGTAACATTCTAATTTTGGTTTCCTCTAAGTTTCTAAAGTGTCTTTTTCTTTCTTTTTCTTTTTAAACCAACATATTTTCTTGACCTTCCAGGACATTGGTGATTTGGAGAAAACATTCTGGTCATTAAAGGGGTTAGCAAAAACCGGACAATTGGATTTAGAGTCATTGGCACCCCTCATAAGTCCACCTGTTCCGTTGTCTGCGTTGAACGGTGTATTTTCAGCATTTGATGAAAATCGAGATGGACACATTGACTTCAAAGAGTTGTGCTGCGGTGTGAGTGCTGCATGTCGTGGACCAAATGTTGAACGAAGCAAATGTATGTGTGATACTTCTGGCGTTAATTTTATCCGAATAAATTTAAATTCGTTTTTTGTTTGTAGTTTGCTTCAAAGTATTCGATATCGATCGAGATGGAGTATTGAATGTACAAGAAATATCGGAAATGATAAACATTTTGCTATTTGTTGCCAAAGAAAGTTCGAATTCAACGCAAATGAAAAATTTATCATACGTTCAGATTTTCGATGAATTACGTGAAAGGGCCAATGCAAATAGGATGCCAACCAAAGTCACGGATGCGGTCGTTATTGAAGATGCCGATGCCAAAGATTTTACATTTTCACTCGAAGATTTCATGATGTGGAGTGTTCAAAGTCAAACAAGTCTATTGCAACCATTTATGGATCTATTGTTCGATGTTTGTCATGTAGTACTCGGTTTGAAGCCGCAATGCCGTCATTTGGAGCACAATATCGGTATGTAGTTTAAAATATTAATTTTTCATTCAAACATATGATTTTAACGGGGTTTTCATTATTTTAGTTAAAGGTTGGTTGGCCCGTGAAGTTCGACGCGGCTATAAAGTGGGTCAATTTTGGTATTTAATATCAGCTGATTGGTGGCAAAATTGGTCACAATACACACAATCAATATCTTCATCGGTGCCATGTGGATTTTGTAAAACGTCTACCATGTATTCAGCGAGCCGTCAATCAAGCTCCGGCATTGGCCGAAATAGTTTAGACGAAGCGGTTGTTTGTGATGAAAGTTTTACATCAAATTCAACCGAATCTATGGGTGATTTATTATATGCCGGTGATTCATCGAGCCTTGGATCCGGCAGCAGTGGCATTTCAGTTAGTGGTCGAAGCGGTGTTATGCATCCAGGTCCAATCGATAATTCAAGCTTAGTCGAACCGCCCACTTACAAAAATATTCGAACATTGACCGGTGAAGGTGGACGACTCAAACGAAATTTAATATTGTCAGAGCATCGTGAATACGAACTTGTGCCAGATTCATTGTGGAAAGCACTGTCACAATGGTATCGATGTACGCTGCCATTGCCGCGACAAGTAATTCAAGTGCATCCATCTATGCCAGTTGAATTGGAATTATATCCATTGAATCTGCGCATTTTACGACATCAATCAGTGAATCCGCCTATTGCACAAACGGTTTCATCGTGGGGCGCTGTTGCTGGTAAATATTCACCGATTGCTTAAAATTTGACCGAAACAATGACGAAAGCAATTTCTCTCATTTCAGGTGGTTATGGAGCTGTAACGTCCAGTGGGAGTTATACAGGCAGTAGCGTGCCGTCAGTGCTTCAACAACCAAAACGATTTCTAGCAAATACAGCCGCCTTCAGTCGTCTGGCAACGGTCAAACAGATTGGCGAGTTTTTGTGTCAACATTTAAAATTGAAAATGGAAGATGTACGCTTGTGGCACGTCTTCAATATGGAAGATAGCGCATGCTTGCTTGAAGATGACAATGTAACGCTGCAAGACTTGACAATTCGTGATAATGATCAAATTCTCTTGGAAGTTCGAAGTAAAGATCTTACATGGCCAGAAGAGCTGGGTTCATTAACTCTGTCCCAATCACATAATGCAGCCCATGAACGACGTGCCACAATCATTTCGGTGCAATCGGTACACGCGCCTGGTGCAACTGGATTGCACAATTTGGGTAATACGTGCTTCTTGAATTCAGCACTCCAAGTGCTTTTCAATACACAACCATTGGCCCAATATTTTCTTCAAAGTATGCATTTGTATGAGTTGAATACGACGAATAAACTTGGCACAAAAGGACAACTTGCATTGCGTTACGCTGAATTATTGAAAGAAGTGTGGACGGCGTCAACACGTTCGGTGGCACCGTTAAAGTTGCGATTTTGTATGACGAAATTTGCACCCCAATTTTCTGGTGGGGGTCAACATGATTCTCAGGTAAATTCACACATGACTTTTGATTTGGATGATTTAATCAAAAAAAAAAAAAAAAAAAATACAGGAACTCTTGGAATGGATGCTGGATGGTTTGCATGAAGATTTGAATCGTGTGATGGAGAAGCCGTATTCGGAATTAAAAGATTCAAATGGTCGAGCTGATTGTGAAGTGGCCGAAGAAGCATGGACCCAACATCATGCTCGAAATCAAAGCATTGTCATCGATCTATTTTACGGCCAATTGAAATCAAAAGTGAGCTGTTTAACGTGTGGACATGATTCCGTTCGCTTCGATCCATTCAGTTTACTCAGTTTACCGTTGCCCGTTGAAAATTACACATACTGTGAGGTGCTTGTTATTCGGCTCGATGGTTCTGTGCCAATCAAATACGGACTTCGTTTAAATTCTGAATCAAAATACGTTGATTTTAAGTTTGAACTATCGAAACTATGCCAATTGGACTCGAAGTTGATGCTGGTGTGTGAACTATCGAATTCGCAAATTCGTTGTTCACTCTCCGATTCACAAAAGCTCAAAGTATCCACGGCAACCGAATTATTCGTTTACGAAATTCCAAAAGGTGATTTTTGGAAACCACGAGTTAATACGGAGAAAATTTTCAACATTGGCCAAGGATTGAAAGATATTCAACGAAATGCAGGTAAATTAACAAATTCACTTTCGATTCAAATGTTTTCGATCATTTTTACAATCATTTTTACACGCATGCAGCTCTTCAAACACTGTCAACTGACAATCAATTAACACATACATCGATTTCATCGACCACATCCGATGACATTCAATTGATTGCATCGAACGATAATAATTCACAAATTCACGATGCAAGCAATCCAGTTGCGGTGACCAGTCGAACATCGAAGGTAAGCCGGTGCTTTGGAAACACTATCTGCATGCCACAGAATCTGTTGTGCTTTAAGGTACGGTTAAGTACTAATTTTTGTATTTTAGTTATTAGTTATGCCTTATCAAAAAGCAAAAAAAAAATGAAAACGATTATCGAATTTGATTTCCCAATCATTTGAGGATTTCATAAATTTGAAATAATCGATTCGCAAACATTACCAAGAAAAATTTGTCCCATTTAAAGAAAGAAAAAAAGGCGAGAAATGTCTCACATTTTCACAATCTGCCTGTTCCGAATTGGCCATTCATTTTGGAAAGTAATAACAGAATTACAAAGTTCTTGTACACCATTTTCTGTGTCATGCAATTGTTATACACCATTTTCTGACTTCAACCCCCATATTGAACTCTGTTGAAACTCTCATAGGAAAAAGTGAACAAATTTCATTTGATTTAGAAAATATTAATCTCTATATTGGAATTGTAGTTTTGGATGGTATTACATCACATTAGCTTGCTAAAATTGTTCTTTATTTTGTTGGTGTTGTAAGTTTGTAGTATTTGTGTACGAAGTTAGATTTTAGCTCAATTGTGATGCATCGTTGTTGTTTTATTTAAAATTTCGTAGATGTACATGTACATGTATTTGTCCATTTGTTTATTTGCACATAAATATATAAATAGATTAATAACTTTGATAGTATATTAATTGATTCGTATTTTGAACGGCACATTTGTAGATTCATGGATTTTTTGTTTTTTTTTAATTACATTCTATCAGAACAATATATATCTAGTTTTGTTGTCGTTTAATAACAATTTGCATTTTGTATCGATCACATGACGAAGATATCGAAAGATACTACGGATTCATTATACTTAAAAATTAACGAAAATAACTAACCATAAATTCGTAATTAACTGTTTGCTCAATCATTTCACATATTTACAATTCTGCGATAATATCAAATTCATTATAGAAAAAAAATCGAAATCATCATATCCAACGAAACGTTTAAAGAACCAATTTCGATGCAAATCAGTCATTTTTCGACCTTAAAACGTTTAGTCATCATTGCTTCAGAATATAACCAAGAACTCATTTGGCATGTATTTTAATAAAAGAAATAAATGCGCAACGCACTAACACTGACATTCATCATCCATCAATAATGACACCGTCGAAATGCAATTAAATTCATGTCGCAAAATAAAACACTATCTGAACGCACATTTTCATATATTTCAAAAACTACAAGATTATAGAGATGTTTTCAAGAGCATTTAATCTTGAATTGTCTTACAAAATTTCCATACCAAAAATTAAATGTTTCCGAAATTTTTTGGAAATTGTTGAGCAATATGAAATCTCCCGATTGGTCAATTTCAATTTTATTTTCGCTTCGAATTGTTCTATAAACATAATTTGGCTTTGCGAGCAGTTTTTCACTTTTTCTTTCGAAACCATTTGGATTTTCATTTTATTTAATTTCTTCAGCGTGTGTTTGAGCTTCATGCAAATTACCGATTTTAAACATTTTTCTAGTGTAAAATAGCTTGAATACCAATTAATTGAATTTTTTTCTTGGTAGTGGTTTACCTTTAATTATATATATACTTATAACTCATTAAACTTTGAACCATGTTAATTAAATATGCACTTGTAGAACATTCTAATATGTCGAACGGGTTCAACGTTTAATTGGTTTTTTTTTATCAACATAAACAATTTTACGATTTATTCAAACAATGATTTTTAATTTTTTTATTTCGATTGTTTTGTTTTTTTTTTGTTTTGGAAAATGTCGTTTATCTCGTTATGCAGCATAATAGTGGACATGCCGATTTATCGACAAGTCCGGACACAACGTTTACACATGCAACGTATTCATGTCATCGCAAATTCAGCACGGTGCGAAACTTGTTGCCCGACACAAATTCGACTGAAAGCAGTATCGATGATGTGGGCGATGCAAATGGCAGCAATCGTGTTGAGAAAACGAATGAAATAGCTGGTGATAGCGATGGAATGGCAGCTAAAACTCAAGCAAAATGTGATAGTCAATGTCAACGTGACACAAAACCGTTGACAGAAACACAGGATTCATTAGCTTTTAATGAGAACAATCGCAATAATAAGAAATTAAGTAATGTGGATAATTCGAATAGAAAAGCTGGCGGTTATTTGATTGCTGTGCATAGAAAATTGAGCCGCATGGATACATACTTTTTATCGTATCATAAAACTCGACCCAGTTTATTTGGTGTGCCACTGCTGATCCCATGCTATGATGACGGAACAAATAAAGATTTATACTGTGCGGTTTGGGTACAAGTAGCTCGATTATTATCTCCACTGCCCTCTACTCCACCCGATCAATCAGCCAATCATGCGACAGATTGGTAAGCAAAACGATTTTTTCCTACCAAAATTTTTGATAAAAAATTTGGTGAACTTTTTGTTTTATATTCTATATACTAAATCAACTTGAAATTGACATTTTACAGTGATGACAGTTTGGGTTATGAATTCCCTTTCATACTGCGAGCAGTCACAGATGGTGGCCGTTTCTGTGCATTGTGCCCGTGGTCGAAATTTTGCCGTGGTTGTGAAATCCCATGCAATGATCTACCACTATTAGAAGGCATGCTTCCTTCATCGAGTAAGTTAAATTATTTAATTATGTTTGCTTTTTGCGTATGTTTCATTATGTTTATCTTGGTATTTTATTGCAGACACGTCATCGCCGCTATTAAACAAAGATGAATCAATGACAAAATACCATGTGAAACCGAATTACTTATTTGGCGATGGAATAAATCCGGGTGCAATACAAATTGCAATTGATTGGGACCCAACAGCATTACATTTACGCTACCAAAGCACACGAGAACGGGTAGGTGTAATCTTTTACATTTATCTAAATTCTTTTTATTCTGATTTTTGCTATTACGAAAATGTCTCATTCAGGTTTGGACCGAACACGAATCAGTAGCCATATGCAGGAAGCAACAAACAGAACCAGTTGATTTGGATCACTGTTTGCGAGCGTTTACCACTGAAGAAAAGCTTGAAGAATGGTATCATTGTAGTCATTGTAAAGGCAAACAACCGGCAACAAAAAAATTACAAATCTGGAAATTGCCACCCATTTTAATCGTTCATTTAAAGCGATTCAATTTTGTCAACAATAAATGGGTTAAATCACAGAAGGTGGTCAATTTTCCGTTCAAAAATTTCGATCCAACGCCATACCTGGCAAGTGTGCCACAAGAAACAATTCTACGTCACAAAGAGCTCATTGAACATGGCACAGCGACAACGGTTACAAATGGATTTTCAGAAAATGATAGTTCACTTTGTGAAGTAACGCCAGAACATTCAATCATGTCGTATAGTATTAAAGAGGTCGATACAATTGACGTTGAAAGTGCGACAACCGATTTGACTACGGACATGATTCACGAAATCACTACCAAACCTGATGCAATACAAATTCTAAATGATGGACGCACGCAGTCAAACTCAAGCAACAATCAAACGAACAACCACAATAAGCTCAACAATCATTCGGATGGTAAAATTGAACAAAGTCCGAGCTCAAAGCAATCAATACACTCATCAAGGCGATCCATTCCAAATAATGTCACAACAAAAATGCGGAAACGCCTGGTGTCCACGAGTCTAACTAAATCACCGGTTATTGATGGTGCATTTGTTGACTATCACCAACATCATCTAAACGACGGACAAGACCTCTTCGATTTAAAGTATAAACTCTACGCAGTTGTGGTAAGCATTGCCTTTTTCAGTTCTTCGAAAATTAAAAGAAAGACATCTATTCTATTTTGTTGTTTTCTTTTTCACAGTCACATTCCGGAATGCTTAATGGCGGTCATTACATTTCATACGCTTCAAATCCGAACAATTCATGGTATTGTTACAACGATAGTTCATGCCGTGAAATATCACAACAGCAACCAAATATTGATCCCAGTTCAGCATATTTATTATTTTATGAGCGTCAAGGGTTGAACTACTCACCATACTTGCCAAAAACTGATGATAAAACTGTACCAATCAATAGTGCCCTTGAATTAGATGACAGCGATACTGATCTACGAAAAATGTGCGTCTTATCGTAATTTGATTAATCGTCGTTGATTTTTTTTTTGTTTATGTTATGTATATTTTTTTTCATTGTGATTCGCCTTAGCAGGCCCGGGTCTGAATGGGGTTTTCAGAAAATAAAATATATTATTTTCTCCTTTTTTTGCCATAAATTTATTGTGAACTGTCAATGTATTTATGAACGAAAAACCGAACTTAAACCGAAACGATATATCCTACGTATGAATGTAACTTTCAATCATATATTCGAATCGTAAACCAGTTTTGAAATTTATTTAACTTTTTTCTCGCTTATTTTTGTGTACCACAAATTGAAGAATTTGTGAAACAACATAAATGAACAACCATTTTACTGATTTAGGGAAGAGAAAAGAAATACAAATGTCAAAGAATACTTCTTTATTGTTTATTTAAAAATAAAAATTATAATTTAAAAATACATATTACGCAGCGTTTCATTGTAATACATTTTGATTGTTGATTAAACAATTTTGGCGATAATTTCTTCTTTGGTTCGATGATGCAACAGATCGAGCCATTCGGTCGCGTTTAAAGTGATCGTAACTAATTTTGGATGCTGAAACTGGATATCTGGCGTGGAGCAATCAACAAATGCCACCCTGAAATTGAACACAGAACGATTGAAAATGACGAACAAAATAAAAAAAATATGATAAAAAAGGTAAGACTTACAAACACTGGTCGACATCGCAATTAAGTGAATTCAATGTTATGCCTTCGTGTTTTTTAAATGGAACAATACTTTTAGAGTTGATGTCAATCTTCAAGAGAAGCGGAATAAGAGAACCATCACTAGTACGTATTAATAAACGAATATTATCACCAAAAACTCGCTTTAAATTCGATAATGAACTTCCAATTTCTACTCCAATGATTTTCTCAAGCTCCAACGTCTCCAGTTCCGCGAGGCTATCGACATTGAATTCATAACTAAAACGGCGTTTCAAAATACAGTCATTTAGTCTCTTGTGATAAATTCCATTTTGTGATAGTCGCACCGCCAAATGTGCCCAATCGAGTTTGATAGTGTGAAAGTGTTTATTGAAATTCATATTGGCCAAGGTGGTTGCAAGAATTTCATGAAAAAGTGGCGATCTGTAGTTGCCAATATCACATGCAATGAAAAGTGATATACAGTTATTGACTACATTTTCATCCTCAGCCTGAACGTTCAGGTTCTCAAGCAGAAAGTCGATGAGTTGTGAGTTGATGAAACCCTGAAAATAAATTGATCAAATCCTTTGCAATGGAAATTCGCTGTTTTTTCTTTTGGAAGATTTTTCTTACCATGTAATTGAATTGGCTTTGAACTGCGAAACATTTTTGTAAATCTCCCGATTTGATGGCAACCTGAACGCATTTCTCCAAATATCTACTGTCATTATACATATTAAAAATTACTGACGAATTTCGTTTCGTTAAGAATGTAAGCGTTTTTTGAACCATGTCCATTGTCACATCGCTGGATTGCCAAACATTTAATGCTTTTTCTTTGAGCCTATCAAAATATTCGCATTTTTCTTGAAAATTCGATAACAATATAATGGTAATTTCGGCTTCATTGGCAGTAAGTATATCGATATCATCGATATCATTTTTTACCAAACAATTTTTCATATTTTCAAACACGTTCTTAGTGATCTCATTTCGATTTCGAAGTATAAATTGCAAAATTCGTTTGGTATTTGTAAAATAACTGAAATTAATTGGACTTGAACTAACTTTTATATTGAATCGGTTGACAAAACATTGTGTTAATTCTTTGGTTAATACAGTTTTCTGTTGTGGTGCCAATAGTGCGTCAAAAACCAAAATCTCGTTCAATGACATATTGAAAACATTTTCTAGCAATGAACTTATAATTATATTGTTGACACCATCGTCGATTGGCACATCAAGAATTTGTGTTCTTTTGAGCACGTCAAATTTATCCATGGTTTTTAAGTATGGTATAGATTGTTTTATTGCTTGTCGTAATATTTCAAATTTTTCATGTTGAATCACTTTAAATGAAGTGGCGGGTAGCAATGAGTTTAGATTCTTCGATGTTTCACTCAAATGTCGAAATATGTTTATGGTATCACTCGGTGATAAGGCTTCTGCTTCCGGAGGTAAATTGTTTAAAATTTCTTCTAAAGGATTGTTTGATGTCAAAGTGGAACCTGTTAAAAAAGTAAAAAACAAATTGGATGAATTTATAATTTTATTCATCGGTGCATGTTAAAATGAAACAACCTTGCGATCAGCGACAGAATATTTACACTATCACTTGTATACAAGAACATTTACATTGTGTACAATAGGCTAGATTTGTGAATGTAGTGTATATACAGTGTCTGACAGTGAATTTGTCCGCCTGGTTCTTCTATTAAACTTACTGTATTTTTTATGTGACAACGAGATCCATCTCGACGAATTAAAATTGCGGAGAAATAGTGAAAACATTTCTATTTCTCAATGTTGACGAACAAACATTTCATTTATGTAACAATAAATTGAGGTTAAATTACCACCAGTTTCAAAACCAAGTTGCCAAGTAGAAATGTCAAATTGTTCAGTTGTCATACACTCTAAAAATTCAATCGTTCATGTCAAAAAGTCTCGTATATACTAACTATTGTTTTGACAGTAACATTCAAAATTCCAGTTGTTAAATGTATATATTTGTTTTTTAAAATTAATAAACAAAATTCGCTTGATAAATGTTAAATCCAGCATGGACAAGTATCTAAAAGAGCATTATTATGATCAGATTTTCAGTTTATTAAATGAAGCAAACGATAGAACGCACGTTGCCTTAAACGTAGAGTATGTATTTTGTTTATTATTCGTAAACAACTATCGGAAGTTTTAAATTTTTCATTTGATTTTCAGCTTGAGTTTATTGCAACAGCATAATTTTGCTTGGTTCCATGCCATTTTGATGAATGTTTATGCTGAGCTGATTAAATGGGATGCGGCATTATTGGCGGCGCAAAACTTAATTGTATCAGAAGATCGCATATATCTTGAGGCGGACTATCAAGTAAAAGGCAATTGTCATGTTCGATTTTTCCATCTACCACCATCTGATCACAATTTCAAAGTTCCATTTCCAAATGTCGATCAAATTGGTGAATTTCGAGATGTTCGTGGTACTATAACACGTATGACGCGAGCCAAGCTGCTCGAGATAAAAAGAGATTTCGTTTGCTCCAAATGTGGTTTGCTAATGCTTGTTGAAGCTGATTATGCGCTTATGTATCGATTCGATCTGCCGGAATGCACAAAATCTGGATGCAAAGGTACAATGCGCCAAAAAGATACTGAACCAAATCCACTGTACTGTGTTAACTATCAAGAAATAAAAATTCAGGTAAAATGTGATTATAAATTTTTGATTTCATGTTAAAATACAAAATAAATACATTTGTAGGAAGCTCTTAGTGAGAAAGTTATCCCACCAGCACTGATTATTACGCTCGAATCAGATTTGGTTGATTGCTGTCAGCCCGGTGACTGCGTAACCATTTGGTAAATACACCTTTTTGTCGTCGTTCTTATTAGTAGTGCGTCATGTCTTTTTCATTTGCAGTGGAACCATTGAACGTCGTTGGTTTGCATTCAGTGAAGCAAAGTGTGAAGCTGTGATCGTAATGCGAGCAGTCAGTTTGGTGCGAGAACGGAACACTTTGATGTTTGACGATAAAGCTATAGAAATGGCGACATTGAAGTGTGATTGGGAGGAAAGTTTAAAGAAATACGGTGAACTTGGTTTACGAGATTTAATCATCAAATCTGTTTGTCCGGATGTTCACGGTTTGCATGCGGTCAAATTAGCGCTTATTTTAGCCATTTGCAGTGCGAGTGCTGTTAACGATTGTAAATCAAGTGATGGTTTGCACCAACGTGGACAGAGTCACATTTTGATGATTGGCGACCCTGGCCTAGCCAAATCCAAATTGTTGCTTAGCGCAACTTCGATTGCTCCCCGTTCGGTACAAACAACAGGTATGGGCTGTTCAAGCGCTGGATTGACTGCTGCCGCAATAAAGGTAATAATCAAGGTCTTACATTAATTAAAAACGCACTTTGTTTTTCATTAAAATAAAACATTCTTAAATTGCAGGAAAATGGTGAATGGGTGTTGGAAGCGGGAGCCTTAGTAGTGGCCGATGGAGGTGTTTGTTGCATAGATGAATTCAATTTAATGCGAGAGGCGGATCGAGCTTCCATTCACGAGGCAATGGAACAACAAACTATAAGTATGGCAAAAGCGGGAATTGTTTGCAAATTGAATACACGTTGTTCGGTGCTGGCCGCAGCAAACCCAAAAAATTTGCACGCAATGAGCGAACCTGAAGGCATGAATTCCATAAATATTGGCATAGCAACACCACTACTAAGCAGATTTGATTTAGTGTTTGTTTTGAAAGATGAACGCATACCTGAATGGGATGATGCAATTGCATTACATTTATTAGGACAAGTTACAACCGGTTTCCAAAATATCAATATCGAAAAAGATGCCGAACTTTGGGGTCCGAAAAAATTACAAAAACATATTGCCGCCGTAAGCAATGTTCAACCGAAAATGACACCAATTGCAACCGCTACGTTGAGTGCTTATTATCGACGATGTCGATCGGATCCGGAACGTGATAATGGCCGAACAACAATTCGTTTACTTGACAGTTTAAACCGTCTCGCAGAAGGTCATGCTCGACTATTATTCCGCGATAAGGTGACTGTCGTTGATGCTATAGTGGCTATTCGGTTGATGGAATCGACATATGGCTTTGGTCGTACGGTGAAACCGTACGATGTGATTAAAGAAGAGCTTCCACTCGGCCCTGAAAATGAAGAAATCAATTGTATTTTGAAGCTTCTGGAAGTAGATGAAACATCATTGAATGAACACGATGTGCAGAGCACTACAAATCAAGGAAACGAAAAATCATTGCATGACAAACAAAATGTATTGCAGAATGGCCAAAGTTTCAAGAAGCCATTGCAAGTGCCTGCATCACAACTAAAAATCAATCTAATTAAATCGCATGCATTAATTTCAAAATCCCAAAATGTACCTAATAAACCAAACACATCAACCATACAAACAGCGACACAAGCGACGACACAATCACAAAAAACCCCATCGTTGACAGCATTTCAAAGGCCGAATTCGAACTCAAATCAAGTAAATTCGAATTTTGAAGCGGTCATCAATATGGATCCCGATGAATTGGATGAAATACTGTCATTTGACACTGATGGTGAGTTTTCAATATTCGAACTTCGCAGTTTTTCGGTTCAACAATATTTTTTTTTTACTTTACTTTACTTCTAGATAAACCAGCGAATGTGGACGACAAGCATCCGATTAAAGTCCAATCCAAGACATCGCCAAAAATTGAAAATAACAGCCACACGATGTTGTCAGACGACGAGGACTTAGTTTTGTCACAAGCATTGGATGACATTGAACGGTCTCAGATTGGTGAACCGATGCCAAAAATGAAAAAATTTAACTTCAAACCACCCAATAGGCTATCGTTGAATTTAAGCCGTTGTAAAGATTCAAGTAAAGAAAATATGAATCACTCTGCCGATGCTTCAACATCGACTGCCAATCAGTCAGCGGAGCCTAAAGAAGTGGGAACAGTAAATCGACCAGTAGTTAAACCTCGAATTCTTTGTACACCGAACGACGATGAAAACTCTCAAAACGAATCTCAAAAACGGAAGATATCTACCCAAACATTGAATAAATTGCATTCATTTAAATTCAAAGAAAAGGCCGTTGATGAATCGATTCGACAACAAAATGTTGATGCTGTTGCAAAAGGTGATGTTTCACAGCCTGAAAATGATAGTGCCTATGACACGATGCCTTTAACTAGTTCAACTTTACCGAGCACAGATCCAGTTTCATGCCGAAAAACTGGCAAAACACCACCATTGTTCCCGTCTCCAAGCGGCGCAACGCCGAATGATATCGACAATGAAGATTTGAGCTTCCTTGACAACATTTTTTTTTAGTATTTTATACATAACACGAATTAAACTATCTATTGAAAATTTCATTGTCATTACAAGTGATTTGTTTTAGATTAACAAATGCCATTTATTAATAAAACAGATACGTAAAAATGGAATTATTTTGTTTCGGCATTGTTCCACAAAATCCAACGCGCAATTTCTTTCAATTTTCCAACAATAATGTCTTTCTTCATATCACACATAGAGAGAGGCAGAAAGTAAGTTAGAAGCAATGCTAAGAAGAAAATTGCAGGTGATTTGATTTAGATGTTCACATAAAAAGAGTGTAAATGGTAATGTGTGAAAAATGAGCCGATTCCAAATCCTTTTTTTGTTTGTTTTATTGTGTGATTACAATTTCATTTATTTTAATAAAAATGATTCTGGTTTTTCTTTTGATGAATTAAAAATGATTAACTTTTCCTTTTGTTTTGTATTTGTATAAACGTCTTTTTTTTTGTTTTTGTTTATGATTGCGGATTTCGTAGAAAACACACCAAAGCCGAAAACATAATGTGTTTTTTTTGTGTACGTATGAAATTGTGAGAATATAAAATTAGAAAATAAATTAAAAACGATACAGTTAAAAAAGAGAACAAAATGCAAAAAATTTAGAATAATAAATTTGTTGATGTATCCAGTTGAGTTGGACAATAAATGTAGATGGTGAATCGGTTTTTTTTGCTATCGAACGAGCAAAATCGATGACACAATAGAAAAAATATTAACGGAACAAACAAAATGGTTTTCTTTTCATATATATGTATCCGTTATCGTATGCAAATACTTTTATTAATATTTATATGTTTTATCGATGGTTTTGATTCGTTAACAAAAAAACTGATTCGGAAAGAAACACAGAAATAAAGAAAGAGAGAGAAAAAAACGATTGAGTTCAAAATTAAGCGTAAAATTGCGCATTACATTCATTTGAGCAACAATGCGTCTCACATGTCTCATCACTCTTCACATTGAATTATAACCTTGTTTAGGTATTATAAAGTTGGTCTTTTTTTCTCATACACTTTTACTGCCGTCCACTTTTTGTCAAGTGGTACGGTCACCCTATTCACTTACATATAAGTTTGTTTGTTTTTTTTTCTTTAAATGGTAGTTTTACATTTTATATAAAAAAGGGAAATAAAAGAAACGCGTGAAAATGTGTGCATTTTGTTGAGTTGAGAGTTTCTTCGGTTTGTTTTTTTTTTTTTAAGAAAATTGGGCTTTTGCCAGCCAGTTTTGCACATAATAATAGATTTTGGGCTTCTTTTACTTCCTTTCTTCATCGATAATAGTTGATATTTATAAAGCTGTGTGGTCTTACTCCACGCCGCCATAATAATTTGAAAATTGTTTTCAATGCAAGAAATTTGCTCTGATGTTTGTTTGTTTTGTTTTTGTTTGTTTGTTTAGAAAATGGCTAAATAGGTTGAAAGTAGTTGGTTAAATAATTGTTTTGTTTGTTGTTGTTGTGTTGCTTCTTTTAGCCGAAATATGTGGCATTGAATTTTATCGCCAAAAATTGGAACAACAAACCGCATTAATCACAATCGAATTCCACATTTCCATCTTCATCGCGGCGAGACGATGTGCGACGATCTCTCCGTTGTTGTGGCGGCGAATCCGATGGTGATGATTCACGATCACGATTTTGATCCGGATTTGATTGTTCTTGCTGAAGTTGACTAGATATAATCTGTAAAATATTACCATCCGAATTTTCGGCTGATGCCGAAACACTGCCCAACTGTTCGCTGTCTCCGTGATTGAAAAAATTGAAAGTTGTTCGATACACATTTCCTGTTTTTTTTTTTTTTTTTGGGAACAAGGATTATAATTTAGTGAAACTCGTTTTAAAAAAATTTCTACAGTGCCTTACCTATTCTATTTGTGATATTTGCTATGTTTCCCATTGGCATTGCATGTGGTTGTTCATCAGATGCGTCTTTGTCTACAGCCTTCCGGCAAACTGGGCATGTGCCATGTAATTCAAGCCACGGGACAATGCAGTGCTCATGGTACATATGCTACAATGGAACGGAAAAATAGTATTTAAACTTTGTTGAACGGTTCTTAAAATTTAATTCGCAAATAAAATACGTACCGTGCATGGTAGCTTTCGAACCAATTCCATTCGTTCAAAATTATCCCAGCATACGGAACATTGCATTTTATTTTCAAACTGTTCATCGGTGATTTCAATACGTGGAATTTCTTGAATTTTGTCTTTTGATAATGGTGGCGGACCGGAATTTTCCATTTGATTTAACATTTGCTAAAAAAAATTGTTTAAAACAGAACAATAACAGAACATCATAATTAGCACTTGTGATTTCTCGACCCTTTCGCACATTTCGGGAGCGTTACAATGATTTCGTTTGGCATTTTTTTGACATTGGTAAGCAATTTCTAAACGCCAAATACACATTTAGGAAGGTGAGCATTATGTTAAAATGCCAAACAAAATGATTGTAACGAAGCCCGAAATGTGGACATAAACTATGACACTTACTGTAATCACAGAATCTAATCCTTCACGTCCCCATGCATAGTCACCTGGATTGCCCATGAAAAACATTGGCTGTGATCCGCCGCCAGCAACATTATTTCCAGCACCACCCTAACAAACAAACAATGACACAAATTACAATTAATACCAAGAAATTATTGTTTTTTTTTTTTTATTCAAAAGTCAAAATATTTACCGAAATCGATATTAAAAATTCTTGCATGATGTTTTCAAAATTTGGCATATCTTGTGCACGACGACCTCTACTGCGTCTTGCTCGTGGGGCACCTAACATAAACAGTAAAAAACGTTACAGTTTTTATTGACCTACAATGATTCACAAACAACCGTTATGAGTAACAAATTAACATACTTGAAGAGCTTCCTTCTTGATTTGATGACTGATCACTGTCGTCGTCCATTGCTCGAAAACCACCGCCGATGGATGACATCAGCAATGATGAAATTCGTTCATTTAATCGGTGATCATTAAATTCGCCTGGAACATCAGCATCGTCATTACTGCTTGAGCTTCGGCTTCGGTCAGCCGAACTGTTTGAGGGCAACTCTTCAATGAAACCGCCTGCACATAATGGACATGTATATTCCTTCGAAAAAAAAAAAAAAACATATATTTTTTTAAATTTCGATTAAAAATATTTGCAAGATTTTACATTTCATTTGCATTAGTCATCATATTTGCATTCAATTTGTGTTGACAGAAAACGCGTGTTTTTACTGCACTTTTTTTCTCACTCGTTCAATCAATCGCAATTTACTTACCGTAGTGTTCACATTTTCGATTTCCACATTACATTTGTGACAATAAAATCGTAGTGCTGGTGGTGCAACAACACTTTCAGCCATCTTTTTGTATCTGGCGTTTGTGAAATTTAACGAAAACTACAACAACAAAAATAATAAAATCTCTAGTCTTTTTATTCTCAGTAGGTGATACTGTATAATTGAAATTTGAAAAAAAAATTCAACTAGAGTCTACGCCGAAACTTCTTTTTCTCTGATACCGCGCGTTGTTTGTTCTTTTTTTACCGTTGCGCGTAGTACTTGTCGTGAATATTTATGGTATGGTTTAAAAATCAAATCATCTCGATTTGTGCAATTTAAATTTGATGATATTTTAAAAACAATTGATTTCGATTTCGATTGGGGATTTTCACACTTGTTTTTCTCGTTTTGTACGCTGTTGCTGCTACAATTCTTTTTAACTCTGTGGTGACAAAAGAAGAGAGAGAGAAAAAAAACCTCAACGATTGACTGACATGGACGATATATTTTAGTGTGTATACATACTTAGAATTTTTACACAAACACAATCCAATAATTTGACAGTTGCCCCGTGTCTGTACAGATACCCGACTGGTCTCTCTCACTCTCTTTAAATACTTGCACACGGATAAGCAAACGATACGGTCGCTACTTTTTTTTCGTTTTTAAGCAGTTGGCACATATGACATGAGTCAGAACTGTTGATTTTTAGTACATGTTTTGAATTGAAAACGATTAGAATTCGGAGATTCTATGCCTTATTATCTTTGCTTGTATCCTGTCTCATATGGTTTTTTTCGTAAATGTCATTCTTAATTTGACAAACGACAATTCAAAACGATATATTTATCGTGAATATTTCAATTTTCGTCAATTTTCAACGGTAGATGGCGTTATCCCCTTAATGGAATCAAACAACATGAAGAAACTCTTATTCAGAACAAACAAAAATCATTCATATCGCTTCCAATTTGAGAAAATTTGCCATTTTTATTCCTCCAGATGTGAGATATGATCAATGTCCGTCAAAAAAACGCAATTTTGGTTGTGTCGCATTTTTTTAGAACGTTTTGTCCCTTTAACATAGACACCGACTGACTGTGGAAGAAAAAAACACACTCATCTGTCATTCGCGCGCGGCTCGCTATTTGCCAGCATTATTCATATGGTTAAACTGTCTACAGTCACTCTTATCGCTTTAAAGGAAGAAGACGAACTAATAAAAACAACAACAATACGGACACACAAAGTTCTTACGTCTATAATTTTTTTTTTGCGCAATCACAGTCTTTTACAGCAAACAAAACACCTTTGGATAATTCGAAATAAATTGTACGTCTTTTATTGATTAAATCAAACAAACAAACAAAAATTATCAATAAAATTTAGTGTTTAACAAATTGAACAGCTGAATCAATTTTTCGTTTCGTCTCCGCAAAAGAAAATGACGAAATATTGGTGATAAATTGTGATGATGACAAGTGAGAAAAAAAATGTTCAGAAAATCAAATGAGTGCATTCTAATTGGAGCAAGGAAAAATCAGCAAAAACACATTTGGTGCATTTCGACGTCATTTCAATTTTCGTATTGTGCAAGGTTGTAGTGTTCCAAATGCAAGAAAGTCGCCAATAAATCGATCGATTTGCAACGAACCAAAAAAAGAACAACAACAGAAAATATTATGACACATATGTTTTAGGCACATAGATTTTCTCTAAAAAAAAACAACAACAACAGATTTTAATTAAACGCACACAAAGTAATCTAATGACGGTGAATTTAATAAATGCGCGCGTGTGTGCGATTCTGGATGGATTTTCCCATTTGGCAAAAGTGTCAACAAAACTTGTTTACTGTTGCGTCAGATTCAACAAAGAAAAGTTACTTTCATTTGATTTCCGAAAGTTGTAGTCTAAATCGTCTCAAATCAAAAAGACCTTGAATTTTGATTTTATTCTGTTTCGAAAGCAAACACACAAATAAAGTCCAAAGAATGTCAGACTGTTGCTAAAACGTAGCCAATATTGTTTTTTTTTTTCTTCATTCATACCAAATGCGAATGAATGAGATGATTCTTTGTTTGCTTCTTTTCGATTCGTTTCGTATCCAGTTTGTTCATGAATCGATAGAAGTTGACATCGAACCATCATGGATTTTTCCACAAATGTTACGATGCATTTAACATTTAAGAATCAATTCAAAATACAATAATCAAACTCTGTGTTTAAAAAAAATCCCCCAAAAAAACTAAAATCAACTTAGAAATATTCAATTTAAAGCAACATCAACTCGATCATAATAAACATAAGCACGTCATGATTGCTAAGCAGAAAAAAAAGGTCTACGGGTATTTGTCTATTGTACGCGAAATTTGGTGCTTGCAACAGTGTGTATTCCGTGTGTATTTTGTGTGTGTAATGGAAACAATGTATATCACACACACACAGCATAGACTTGGTTTAAGCTCAAAATGAAACACAAAAATACGGGGGCCCGAATGACATTAAGAGCTCCATACACTTGACACAGTGCATATTCAGACGAAACCAACAACGGCCGCATTTCCATACTCGATCCGAATTTCTCGCTAATTTTTTTTTTATTCACACGAAATAAAAAAACACTTTGAATTTCGCTGTGTTTCAAATCATTTGATGTGATAAAACGCTGTGCATCGGTTTTATTTTAATTAATTGTGATTAATTCAATATAATTTTTTTAATTGTTGTGATAAAAAAAAGTACGCGATAGAAGAAACGTACGTTCAAATTTTGTGCATTTATATTTTCACTTTGGTCAAATGAGAAAGATCGCCGTGTTTCAGCCAAGAAAGATCGCAAAGTGTTTATCTCATTTTATGTCAAGAAGCAAAAAAACAGATAAATAAATTAAATGAAAATTGTAAAAATACAGTTGCCAGCTGATGTAGTATTTCCATGGGATGAGATAAATACAGAGAAAATGTGTTTGTTTTTCTCTCGAATCAATGTCAAACCGTTTAATTGCCATTCGCATGCGAATATTATTGAGTCGAGTACAACACAATAAAACCTCAATCAAAGCGAATTTAGAAATGAAACGCAATTTCAGTGATTGGGATCACAAAACCGTGATAGAATTGAAAGTCAAAATAAGCAACATTTGAAATAGCATTCGTGTCAACGACAAACGAAAGATGCACACACGAACACACTTGCACATTTTATGTTCCAATTGTTTGTTAGTTTTTATTTTTATTTATGGGAGTCGATCAATCAGCTGTTCTTCGAGACTCAAAAGATAATAATGACCGAAACTGAGAAAAACACTTTTCTGCGTTCAATTTTTTTTTCTTCACAAATTGACTGTGCTAACTTGTTTTTTTTTACTATGTCATTTCTATTTTGAAAGCGAGAAAAAAATGTTAAGTCTTTCGCCGTGTGGTTTGTTTCTTAATTGATATTCGAGCCAATAACAGTAGAGAACAATTAGAAAATCAAATAAAAAAAATTAAAATGCTTGAAAAAAAAGTAAATAAATAGAGATAATGAGCGAGAGGTAGAAATGGGCAAAAATTAACAAAGACGCAACAAGTGACTATAATAAAAAGATCAAACTTGTTCAGAAGTTCAGTAGACGGTCGTATTCAGATACATATCGATATAATTGTATTGAAGACACGCTGTTGTTGCTAGACAACGTCAACTCGATCAAGTTTAATTATTTTCAGAATATATTTATAGATAATTGCATTTGTAACCCAAGACGATGACATCGACCGCAAAAAAATAACATATATTAATGAATAATATAAAAAAAAAAAAAAAAAATAAAATATTGGAATTCTTAACAAATGGCAGACATGTATCTAAATAAATATGAAAACAAAAACATATAGGCTACCAATTGTACGGCCATGGTAGCATTTGTTGTTGTTACTGTTGAATTGTGTTTGCTTGCGAGCACGCAACGTTGATTATGAGATCACAACAGAATAAAAATACCTTGAAATAAAATCAATCCTGTGTTATTTTCATACGTAACACCATACGCGACCGTTTCAATATATTCATTAACGCTCCGAAATTCGAATATTGTTGCGGACGAAATGCTAATGATGACGGTATGCGGTTTCGATTCAAGTTCTTGTTCGAATTCAGATCCCTTGTGTTGGCAAATGGCTAGACGAAAGCCTATTGGCGATATTCCATAGATATGAGAAAAATACGATCATAAAAAGCGTCAAGCCATTTAAGCAAAAGCTTATGCATTGATCGATGGAAAGAGATGCTTAACGTTATATTCATTGATTTGCATCCAAAATCATCATCAAAGAGCAACATTAACTGCAGACGATGACGCACACGTGTACAAAGCACATCTGCGCTCTTGTATACTTGCGGCTACTCTATCTGGCTGTGCTTCATTTGCTGCTTTTATATAATATCTCTCGATTTTAATCCAAGTCATCCAATTTTTTTGTTGGTTTGGCGATTCGTTCTGCTTTTTCTTCCTTCGCTTGTCTTTGAGACTACATAAAATTTTGTGCTAAGTGCGGCGCGATGGCGACATCAACCGTAGCATATCATAAAAAAGTTAAATGATGTGAAATAACAACAAAAAAAAAAACATACCAATTGATAAAAACAAAAAAAAACACAAACGTTCGCGATTCACTAAATCAATTTGAAGAGCTTGTGATTGTTGCTGATTTTAACCATTTTTTTCGCCTCTTTTTTCCCACAGCATAAACATACACAACAACGCTTCAGAGAATAACAATTACTTTGTGACGTGATTAAAAAGTATCTATATATATATAAACGATTTTTTTTGTTCGGTTTCTGGAGTAAATAGTGAAACAAGATTATAACAAAAGTGGAAATATAAAGTAGCATCTAAATTGAGCGACGACAATCATGCAAAGTGTTAAAAATAGTCTAACAATTGGACGGCTAGCCATCAGTACAAACAAAGGACTCAAATTTCGTAATGGTAAGTACAAAACTGCTTTGGAAAGAAAAGCATTTTATCTGTTAATTGATCAGTGTTTCAGCCATTTTGAACTTTGGATATTCCCTGTCGTTTGCCATTTATAAAATGTGTAAATACCCATTGGCATAAAAAATATAAGCAATGTTTGACCACATCGATGATGATTAAAGTTGAATAAAAATGTGTGCTTGAGTATTGGCCAACAACAAAAAGTATCAATTCATTGTGGCTATTTTGCTACGATGCAAACAACAGCAACAACAAAGAAAAACAGTATTTTTCTGTTGCTAATTCCTGTGCAATATATTCGAGTGCACACGAATCGTGTTATGAGTGAGTGTGTGACCCGAGTGTGATTATTTATAATTTCTTGCTACCTGCTCAACCAGATTTCAATGCTTCATTCAATTCGTTTCGTCTCTATCATTTCTATTGCAATGTCATTTCTTTCTTTCTCTCTCTCTCTCTTTCTCTCTCATATACTCTCTTCGACACAAAATTGGCGCTTAGTTCCTTGTTCGTTAGTTCATCCAAATCGCACTGTTGTTGTCGCATTGAAAGCATATAAACTCTTTCACATAGCGAGATCGTAACAAATTGCTGGGCGTTTAGTGTGGATATCAGATAAAAATATGATGCACGGCTAAACAAATTTTTTTTAGTGGACAAGCTAGTTTAATGCTCTTTGACGTAACCATAATAATGAACGACTCTGGTGAACGATTGGAAGACGACGACGATGATGAAAAAGAAGAAGAAAAATGCACGATTCAAAACTTTATGGATCGAAAAAGCTTATTGCTACATCTTGCGATTAATTAATTCCAATCTCAAGTCAATTGGTTTGAGATGAATTTACGTTGCAATTCACATTTATGGCTGCATAATCAAATCGTAAAATCATTAATATCTGCCGGATCATAATTTTTTAATGCATACACCGTTTTATCGTTCTTGGAGCGATTTTCCAAAGCGTATATCATTCTATGCGTTGTAAAATGTGCAAACCTTTCAACCAATTTGGTATCGTAGAAAAATGTGCACAATTTTAACAAGTTTGGTAAAACATACTATCAAACAATATATCCATAAATACATGCTTCTCAAGTCAAGCTTTTCAAACGATCTATCGATGTTTGCAAGTCATTCGACTGAGTGAGTTCGTAGGCCAACAGGCAAATAAATTAAGACTAGGAAGCCGCAAACAACAGTTTGGTCGATTGAATTTTGCTGAAGAAATGAAAAAAATATGGCTACAAAAAGTGAAAGCCGCCAAAAACTATTTGATTTTTAACCTCTACCCACTCGGAAAACGAACACCTAATGCGCGAATATTTCTTCTCTACGAAAAATGCATTCCAGAATTCTTCGGATTGTGATTTGCCAAAACAATGAAACGTACATAATATAATTAATATCAACGTCGAATTTCACAATATGATTAGTAAAATGTAAAAACAAAAGAGAAAAAACTGGCAAAAAAAAAATCTCAATGAATGTTGGGAATTAAATCTGTTTCAATTTGGCGCCTCTGCTGATTCATACCAATCACCTTAATGGACATGCTGTCCTCAAGAAGTCTTGATTTCTTATCTTTTTAATGGATTCGGTTACAAAATTCAGTTAACATAACTTGTTTTCAACAAACGCAAAAAAAAGACCGAAATCATACCACAACACTAAAGTTGATTCACAAAATTGCTTACCGGCTTCAGTGATTTCAAAGTACCTTCACACGCGGTTTGTACCAATAAAATCGTTTCAATTTTTCTTGAAGCGTTATTTTTTTTTTTTAATGTCGAATGGTTTCAAACGGTATGTTGAAAAATAGTTCCATCCGGTATGGTCCAAAGACTTTGAATTTTCTTCATCGATTTCGTTATTTCCCGTGGTATTAGGCTGCACTATTTTACTTTTATGCAACAGGTTAACTGGTTATTGACACCGTGTGTCGTTTGCATGCAGTACCTTACATAAATCAGACAGTGCCGAGGTGATTTTCGATTTGTTACAGTTATCAAACGGAATAATCGAGAAAATAGAAACCGGAAATAAAGCGTACAAAGATTTTATAACCCGTGTAAAACCGAAAGACACGCTCTTTTCTCCTATTCCCAATCGATAGTTTCGAAATGGCTTTGCCATGGCGTAAAAAAAGTTTCGTTTTCTTTTTTCTACTGCCGCAAACACAATGGAACAATAATCTTTTGAATCGATACCAAATACTGTTTAAAATAAGTTTGGCATTTATCGAAATATTGCGCGACATTACTTTCAATCGTTTGGTTCGATTTGAAAACAATATATTTATATATCGATAAACAATTTGGATCATTTCCAAGGCAAAACATGTAATCATTTTTGTAATTCGTTTTAATTGAAAGCTTTTAAATACAGTACATAATTAAACCAGAAACACCGCCCGAAAAAAAGAAGACAAAACTAAACTTGTAGAGGATCGTTTTCCGTGCCCAAAACAAGATCGACGAATTTTAAATCGAGTGCAAAGAGTTACCTTAACAGAATATACACGCTCACATATGTTATGCTGATAGTAGTTGATCAGAGTTTCGAAATAATTCATATGTGCACGAGTTATATTTGTGTGCCAAAAAAAAAGAAAATATGAAGAGAAACAATTTGGCCGCTTTGCAAATAACAGTCTGAATGCTCGTAGCATTGCTTCAATGTTGTTTTCAATTAATGTTTTTTCGTAGATTGAGCTAAAGTGCGCATAAAAGCCAGAGACGACAACGATGGCGAAGAAATAAAAAGAGCACAGAATAACTAAAGCAATCAGTATTGAAAACCGCAACAAGCGTGCAGCATACAAAGTCATAAAGTTGCATGAAAAGAAACCATACCAAATGTTTTCGATTTCGGCAATACATGTATACACATATATTGGTGTTTTACAGTCGGTAAATTTTTATATCGCTTATATATATATATATATATATATATTTTGTTCATTCGTTAGTGACGATGATTGCATCACATTATTTTGAATACGGTATTTTTGTTGTCTACCCAATTTCAATCGTTCAACGTGCCCTGACTTTTGATAATAATGCTTCAGTCATGCTCGTTTCAAACGTTTCATTGGCCATTACATATATGCGCAACAATGATTCACCTTGTAATGAAACAATGACAAAAACTGTTGACACTATTGGTCAGATACTTTCTGATATTACCTATGGCACTCGCTTTAACCTATATACTTCGTGGTTCATACCATATAACTCAAGTTACAAATTAGAAGAATTGTGTTTGCAAAATAAGAAACATTGCTGTTCGAGTATCATCTTGGATGGGTCAACGTAATATACGAACGACTAATTGTCCACATTCAAGCAAACACACACATTGCGCAATGTGTAAAATGAAATAAGAGCTTGCTCGGTTCATGATATGCATTTGCTGCAATTTGTTCAAAGTGTGGACTCGCTACAGGGTTATTTGACATGTTTTTTTTTAATTACTAAAAATTATCCTGAACGTCGCATTTTTTGTTGTTGCTTAGACAATGTTTACAATAAGTTAAAATAATGTTCAAAAAGTGTTGACATTAATGAACCGCTCTTTTACTTTGTATTCTTCTTCTTCGAAACAAAATCGTTGCCAAACAAAAGACATCATGTTCCAACTGCGATTTCATCAGATCACTGTTCGACGATGACTGATTGATTTGCCTTCATTTCCTAATCTAATGCTTGAGTGAACGGTGAAAAATTGCAAATCTAATTGAACTCTCATTTTTTTTGACTGCGCAAAGATCACATAAGTTATACATATTTCTTTTTTTTTGTTTCGTTTGTTACTTTTTGTTTCATTTGGTGCGTTGCAATCATCAGACTCCGAGATAGAAATAGAGAGAAGGCAAGAGCGAGATATAGAGAGATCATAAGCATTATTACATCATGTGAAAGCATCGTAGTACTTGCATGGTTAAATCATGTCGTGTTGAGATAACTATGTAATTTGGATATATTAGATTAAATGGTAATACGGCGCAATCTCTGCTTCTATGTGTGCTTGTGTGTGTGTCGGTATGCTCAAGGTGTAGTGACGAATTCATGCATTATATTAACGACATAACTGGAATTTCATTCAAAATATGTTTCTCTCTCTCTGCTCGGGTCGTCTCTTTCTCAATCTTCTCTCATTTCGGCTCAAATTAAATCGTGGCTATATGAAACCAATTTTTTTTAATGAACGGCTATACATAACGTGATTTATTTTGTGTAATTAACACGATTTTTTCCATTGTGTATGTGTGTCTTTTATTGATTATATCCACTATTAATCTAGTTTTTTTTATTGTTATGATTCGAATTATGTAATTTCAAAGCTCATCCCAGAAGTCTAAAGCTTCAACTTTTTATTAAAAAGACAAACATTTTGGACTCATAACAACTGGCGTCAATTAATCAATTTTTTTAATTAAATTACCGTTTAATTAACACATGATCTTTACCGTTTGCCATCTAACAGCTGGTCAGATTTATTTCTCCTTTAAAAATAAATACGTCCAAACTATCACGTCTCTGTCGATTGATTTAAAAATATACATTTCAAAGCCATTTTTAACAAATTCCATTAAATAATCCATGGTGAGATTATAATTAGATTTTGATTTTATCAAAATATGTGATCAAATTACAAACGAATTAAGCTCATGAATACGGTGTAACAGACAAACAAATCAAACTCTTACTGTCACATTTGAAACGAAATAAAAAAAAAACGCAGACCAAAAGAAAGAGAAAAGTTAATGTGTTGTTTCCATGTAGTTATTGTTGTTCATATGGTATAGTCAAAATTATGTGTGGTGTTCGCTAACAGAAAAATGTGTTCAAGGTCAAGGTGAAAGTTGATATACAGAGATCGTGTTTTGTGGACATTGGCTGTGTTCCGGCTTTTAATATGCTCGATAAAAAATTCGTTGTCATCAAATCCGTTGGTTATGGTGACAAATTTGGATTATGCTTGTCAAAGCGGCAACCAAAACTAGAAATCTAACTATTGAAATCTTTCGTTCTGGGTTTTTGACAACATTGTAACAAAGACATCATTAACTTTGAATCCATAAGTAACACACACACAGATACATCATTTTTTATGGTTGTTTTTTGGTGTTTTGGAATTAGCGAAAAAAAACGACTTCTTTGTCCAACGGACAATGAACAATTTTAACAGCTTTGCCTCTTTTCAGATTCACGAAAAAAAAATTGCCCGCAAAAGAAAAACAAAACGTTAACAGAAGTTTTGCTAAAAATAAAATTGCTTCACGTACGAAACTGAAGAAATTGTTCGTTTTTTTTAAAACCGAATAAGAGACTTCGAATGAAATGAAAAAGTTTATATACACATTTAACTCGGCCTACGATTGCATAAGCATTAGCCTTTTCATGTGTAGTATTTCTTTCAATATATGTACATACGATTTATTGGCTCAATTACGATTGCGTTTGTTTTTTCCTTTTCATTTCTTCTGTTGTGTTCATTTTCTTGATTACGCTTTTCATGTCAGTACGAACATGCATTTGAAATCTAAACGAGTATTATTTCGCACGATTTATATCGCGTTAAAATGAGTCAGCAAACAACATAGATTGATAAATATCAATCGATAGGCCTTTAATATATAATATAGGCATTTTTTTTAAGTTCAGTTATTTTCGTTTTGCTTTTTTTAGAAGAATGAAAAATACCTATTGGTGGTTAAATTCCAGACATAATTTAAGTGGGTCGATGCAATACTTCAAATGTCAATGTGACAAACAAAAATATATAATGCTTTCAATTGAATTGAATTTAATTACCACGAAAATGTGGAAACTTGTAACCGCGCATACGCACATTTCTTTGTATTACATACAAAAGCGATTTACATTATTGTTGATCGTCTGTTTCTGTTTCTTCATTCAACGCCCGTGCAATTCTTCAAATGAATGCATTACCGTGGATGTGGCGTAAGTTTTTGACTGACTGACGGTACGACGTTGATATCCACGGAATATTCCATATTAGAATTGTAGTTCATAATCAAAACGGCGCTGTTCCACTGGAAAACTGAAGAAATTACTATGGTCATACATGCGCAATTTAATCGATTGATTGATACTTGACGCATTCAACATTGCGCATAATTTTTAACATTTTGAACGGAACGATAATGCTGACGCGAACAAAATGGCGGAACAAAATAGACAGTGTTGTTTTTTTTATGGAAACTAAAAATCAACGGTACTTTTCCAAAGTAAAAACATATTCCATATTGACGAAATACCGTTAGACGTCATTGCAAACCGTTCAATAACATTCGAACTATTCGCTTTAATTGCTGAATATAAAAAATTGACGATAAAAAATATATATAGTATAGATGTTGTGTTCAGTTAATTTTGTTCAATCGGATTTTATTAGTGCGGAATTGCATTGTGTGTGCACACATCTTTTTTTTTCATGTCATATTTGTTCATTTTTTGTATTCATCAAAATTGAAAGCGTTGCTGAAAATGTACAATATATCGAATGATAAATGCAAATACCAAAAGTGATGCATGATGGCCATTAACCGTTGCATGCGATCGCAAAATAAATAAGCCAACAAAAAAAGAAATCGTTTTTGTATTAACGAATTACATTGGTCGTGAGTGACACTGCACACACAAAAAAAATCAGACTGTCTAGTTAAAAAAAAACTTCTTCTCAGGCCTCTCTGACGTAAATAACGAGACGAATGAAAACTAAATCGCAATGATGTGTTGTCTCAAGCGTCCGAAACCCAATGACCAAGAATGTACAAAACGGATGACGAATAAAAAAAGCGTATCCACAACAGAACTGAGAATGCATAGACCAATAAAAACCGTAGTTTTATTGCAGCGTCAACATTTAACTCAAGTTATCCTCGGCACAATTACCTTGAAATGAATATTATTAGCGTTTCGGTTCTTGATTCGGTTTCAATCAAATGTATGAAAGAATGAAAGAAAAAACAAACAAACATTATACTATATTTGCATCAAATTGTTGGTGTTGCTGTTGTCGCCCGTCGGTCGTTCACATAGTTCATGACCATCACCATTGAATTTGCGCATTCGAAGCGCTCATACGCCGAGCCAAGGCAAAGAATTCAATTCTAATGTCGAAACAATTCGCTTCGAAACACACTCTGTGTGTCGTACAATAAACCAATGCATTTGACACATTGGACGACAGACAAATGTCTCAAGATAATACCATCTCAAGTTCATATATAATATTTGTCATAGCCCATGTATACACGTTTTGGATCGCCTTACATTTTCACATTTTTGAATGCGAAAAAAATGTCGGCTCATTTAAATAATCGTGAATATTTTCACTGATGAATTTCACATCATCTTTTCTCCCAATAACAGATAATTCCAGTGTCAGTCTCGAAACACTGTCAAAACTGTCAGACCTTGTATTTGTTTAACAAATAACAAAAAAAAGCAACAATTAAAAAAGGCTTACTTTTGTATGCGTCAACGCAACTTGTTTCCCTTGATCAAGTTTATTTTTCGCTTGTATAGTATCTGACATTCAATATATGGCTCGTGATACCGAGAGAGATTCACTGCAAATTAAACCAATATCATAAGTGTAAAGTCAGTAAAAGTTTTACAGTTGAGAATGTAAAAGTGCTGATTGTATTGAGAATTAAAGGCTTTGGTTTCAGTGCTGGTTGTCAGTTGTTGACACGTTTCATTGATTATGTTCATTGACTTGCAAAATGCATGGTGATGTACATATCGGTTAAGGTTTCTGTGTTTGTATTTGACACAAAACTCATTTGGCTGGAAACAGAATCCGAATTAACGAAACATTAAACTAGAATTAACGAAACATTGTAATTTATTTTGGTTCGTATGTAAATAATAATGATAATAATGTTTGTATTCTTTTCTTTTTTCTGTCACAGGTCTCTTGTATGCATCAAGCTTGAACGCGTACAATAATAGCAATGGAGCTTCAACACAATTTGATATGCCAACACATCAACAACATAGATCGGTACACTTGAGTCCTATGCGCTGCAAATCTACAAAAGATACATCGAATACACCGCCACCACCACCACCACCGCCCACGGGTGGAAATAGAGGCAATGGAAACGATAAACCACCAAGCGACACCGAAAAAACCACATCGACGACCAAGGGCAGTGGAAGTGGTGATAAAAGTACAACTATGAAATGCCCACGATGTGGTGATCCATGTTCACATGTTGGTACATTTGTCACATTGTCACGGTTTGTGAAATGTGTTAAATGTAATCACTTCTTTGTGGTATTGAATGATGATAAAAAAATGAAAAATGCACCATTAAAAGATAACACAAATCTAAAAACTGACCGAAGGCAACCACCGCCTCCCAAGAAAATTATGGAATATTTAAATAAGCATGTAATTGGTCAAGATCTCGCGAAGAAAGTACTAGCGGTTGCCGTTTATAATCATTATAAGCGCATTTATCATAATGCACCTAGTTCGACTGGTAATCAAACAATGGGCGATTTCTCATCGGCCGCGGCAGCATCACGTGGCGGTGATCTATTACATATATCAGGTATTGGACACACAATGGTCAGTTCGCACCAGAGTGAATTGCCACGATCTGGCCAACAGCAACAAACACAACCGCCCACAAATCAACCTGCTTCCGGTTCCGAATTGCTCGATCAAAAAACCCATGAACTTAAGCTGGACAAATCGAATATTTTAATGCTTGGACCGACGGGTTCGGGAAAAACACTTTTGGCACAAACCATTGCCAAATGCTTAGATGTTCCGTTTGCAATTTGTGATTGTACCACATTAACACAGGCTGGATACGTTGGTGAAGACATCGAAAGTGTCATTGCGAAATTGATGCAAGATGCCAATTATAAGTGAGTTTGAAATTTACACGTTTATTCAAACACACCTCGCAACCGAAAATCATTTTTTTTTAATTGTTTCACCTTTAAATAGCGTCGAACGAGCACAATTGGGTATCGTTTTCCTTGATGAAGTTGATAAGATTGGAGCTGTGCCAGGTTATTTCCAAATTAAAGCCTTTTTTTCTAAAATTTAATTTGCAGTTCGTTAGTTTTAACGTTTCGTTTCTTTTTTTTGTATTTGATCAGGCATTCATCAATTGCGTGATGTTGGTGGTGAAGGTGTGCAACAAGGAATGCTTAAAATGCTTGAAGGAACCATTGTGAATGTTCCAGAGCGTAACTCACCTCGAAAACTTCGGTATTTATACAATAATCGCAAACACTCAATATCCTTATTTAATCGAATCCTTTCTGCTGATTCATTTCTCAAGGGGCGAAACAATACCTGTTGATACAACAAATATTCTCTTTGTGGCTTCTGGTGCATACACCGGTTTGGATCGATTGATTGCCAGACGTCTTAATGAAAAGGTTGGTGGCACCGTTCTCCATTCAATGGTCGAATCTTTAATGGAAACATTGTTTTAAAACAGTATTTAGGTTTTGGTATGCCTACCATTTCGTCAGAAGGAAGACGGGCTGCTCAAGCGTCTGCGGCTCCAATGGAAAATGATCAAACCGAACGAGATGCATCGCTTCGCAAAGTGGAAGCTCGTGATTTAGTTGAATTCGGAATGATTCCGGTATGTAATTACAAAACCAAATTCAAATATCAAAATGAAAAACTAAAATTACGAAATTTGTAGGAATTTGTCGGCCGTTTTCCGATCTTAGTTCCATTCCACAGTTTAGACGTTGATATGCTGGTTCGAATTTTAACCGAACCGAAAAACGCCTTATTGGAACAGTACAAAGCACTATTATCTATGGATAATGTTTCGCTTAAATTTTCCGACGAAGCTTTAAACGCCATTGCTAAATTAGCTATGGAACGGCAAACTGGGGCACGTGGCCTTCGTTCAATATTGGTAAATAATCATCATTCTATTGTGATAATTGTAAAAATTCAAAAATGTAATTATTTTGCCTTTGTTTGTGATTTCGACAGGAAAAACTGTTGTTGGATGCTATGTTTGAAGTTCCTGGCTCCGATGTGAAAACGGTACTGATAACTGAGGACTGTGTCAAAGGTGATTGTCCACCGGAATATATTCGTGGAACATCCACTTCAACGAGCACCGATGAACCACCAAATACACAAGCCACTTCCACCGAAGAAGAAGAAAGTGCACAAGTTCGTGTGAAACAATAACCATAATATGCACGATGCTCATTCATATTAGACGTTTTGTGTTTGAAGAGTTTTTATTAGGAAAATAAAAAAAAACGAAAAATTCAATATATAAAAAAACCTACAAATATTCAAATAAGTTGAGAGCGGTTGAGAGTTGTTGAAAATATTTTTTTTTCGCTAAACAGAGAAGAGGAATTTTATTCAGACATTATAATATCGTCGATTTGATACGCTGTAACGATTGCTATAATCAATTAAATACATTAAACACATTTTTAAAAAATGAGTTAATTTAAAAACGGAATTGTATTCTGCAAAAACGTGTCCACAAATGAGAGCGATAGTAGTTTAAATATTCAATCGAGAAAATGTTATCCTAAGATTCTTTTTTCTTGAACAATTGAAAATTGTTCAAAAGTTCGGACGGTAAGGTTTTAAAATAAATGTTTTTGCTGATTTAACTGAATTAACAAACTTTGGGTTTTAATTCGTTTCTTTTTTGTTTTGTATAGTCGTTTTCAATAAGATCTGTTACAGCGAACCGTCAAAATTTTGAACAAACAACATACCCTCAACAAAATTCAAACCAAATTGACACGTTTAACTAAGGAGCCTTGTGTACTTTTGAATGGAAATGCGTTCCGAAATTCATTGTATTAGTTTGACAACACAGATCTTTTTGGAAACGACTATACAATATGTAAGTTTATCAACAAAAACTTATCTGATATGGTCGCTTAAAGTGCAATCGCATTGCAATATTTCAGTAAATTTGAAATTGATATAAAATTGTTGACAAGTGAAAAAGTGTCTTATCTTCCATTTTAGTGTGCACAATCCAAAGGTCGTTGAATGTTCCTATTTTTGCACGTAGTCGTTACTTTATTTCAACAAAAGTATGCACGGGTTTGCCCGTTATTGATAGACATGCTAGATTCTTTATCAATAACAATTTTCTTGATGATTTAATTTGCAAAAAAAATCAAACATTGGTCGGTTTTTTGCTCAGTTTTATTTGACATTACTAAAATAGACAAATTGTATAATGTATACACCATTATTTAGTGGTAGTTCCTTAATATTACTAAAATCAATTTTCCATGGAGTATATATTTATTATAATAAAATAAGATAAAAATATATATACCATGTTGACCAGTTTGAATCACTTTATAAACATTTGAGTATACTTTAAATGTGATAATAGACTCTGTTTAATTTGGTTGGTTGTATATCAATATTTTGTTTTTATTTCAGATGAATACTTGAACACATATTCACACATTCAATTGATGTTTTGTTTTTTCTTCATTCAATATATAATAGACATTCAATGTGGATGAGTTGTTAGTGTCATAGACGGTTTGGTTGTTATTAATTTGTTTTTTTTTTTCTTCAAATAAACACAATTTTTCTCATAAATTCATTAATTTTTATAAGATTGTAGAATTTTGGTTCAATAGAATCATCATACCATGATATAAATGCTATCTGTGATAATCTGGGTTTCATACTTCCTTCACAATACACATGGTCGAGCTAATCTATTTCTTCAAAAATTAATTCTATTTTGGACGTATCTGCTATATATTTTTTTCATGCAAAATTATCCTCTTTCATTCAAACTGTGAAAGGTGTTTTAATCGAGGGGGAAACCACGGATTCTAATATGTGCTAATTTTTTCTAATATTTCTAATAAAACGCCATATGACATGTACATTTGACATCTTTCTAATATGTTCTAGTTTTTCTAGTATCGAGTTCGTGGGTAACCCCAAGGTTTTAATGCACCCATATCAAAATCATTTGATTTTTTTTAATCTATCAATTGTATGATTAACTCTACCCAATGTGTTCAAAACCATCAATTTTTTGTATGACTCTTGTCTGTAGTATATTCTTTCTTTCATTTATTTGATGATAAGGCGTGATATGTTGATGTTGCACCCATTTTCAAACATTTCAGAGAAAATGTTTCTTATTATATTATTATTATTTTTCTCACTTTTTTTCGTCTGAAACCATTTTATCTAATCTAGATTAGTTAATATCATTTTGCAAAAAAAAATAAGAGCCTGCGTCGTCCCACTTTTCATTACTGACTGACTTCATACAATATTAATCATAACACTTAATAAATAATGAATATAAATTAGAAAACAAAATAAAAATATAGCTTAATATAGAAGAGAAAAAAAGAGTGTCAAGTCAGTGTGTGTACATATATAGTGATGCTTATTGTGATATAGTCTGTGAGTGCGAGTAGGAGATTATATGTCCCCGTTGTCCATTGCGCTGTTCAAATCTTTTACAATAGCGGCAACCACTTCTTGATAAGGGGAATCGACGCGGAAACAAGTCTCCAGCAATTTGGGATCGTTAAAAAAATCAAATACTTCATCGATACGTCCAAGTGATTTTTCGGTTAAATGCCGTTCAACGATGCTTTTCAGTGCTGCCCGTGATTCTTCCAACGACTTTTGCAAATACGGCAAATCAAAACTGAAATCAACTTCATGGAAACTGATAACAGCCATCTGGGTACACTGGCGAAAAAAAGAAGAAGAAAAGAAAATAATTGAAATTATTCCAAATAAATTACATTATTGCATTAAAACCATGACAAAACAATCTAATTGAAAAGTTCCGATGGTAAAAATCTAATATTACCTGAAATTTACTGCGAAACCGTTCAACAACTCGTAATTCCTCGGCACTGAATTGGTTATTTCGGTGAAGGATTCCGATCTTGATTACAATCTTAATGATATTTTTCACCAAACGTTCCGCCTCCTTCTTATTTCCACTCTAAAAATTGTAAATAAATAAATTGGATTTTATAACTTAATTTCAAGTCTCAAGTCTCCACGGATATTACGATAGGAAATGTAATCAAGAGATACTTACATGTAACTTTGCCAACCGATAAATATTATCGAGCAATGAGGCTGTGGTTCCGTCGATAAAGGTTTTTGCAACGGTCTTTGTGGCCATTCGAGATAGGATTTTCTTCTGTGCCCGCAACCCAATGTCTCGAGCTCTAAACGCATTTTCCGTCATGACTAAGTGACAAATAAATTGTAAAAGAGAAGAAGAAAAAACGTTTTACATTATTGAAAACCGAGATTCAATTATTTCATGATGTACAAACAAAAAAAAATGTTTTGAAAACCATGAAAACGCAATAAATTACGTTTTAAACTTTTGAATAAAGATGGTTTTTTTGATGTTGCCATTTTAAAATTGCGTATCGCATAAAAGAAGGTGCTATACCAGTGACTACTTGATATAAACTAAATTGATGACAACAACTTGTTCCGACGTACTTGATACAAGAAAAGTGCACCGTTTTTTTTTTTCTTTTTCAGTATTCATCAGAATTTTAGTGAGTAGTAACCAAGGATACGGTTGGAATGTGGCTCGTGTAATGATGTTGAGACAGGTGCGAATTTATAATGAACATTGTACGTTGATAGGCTGCTATAGTCCCAAAATAACAGCTGTACACAATTTTTTTCGTTTCGTTTGAAATTCCATTTTGAATTTCATCTGTTTTTTTTTTTATATTGTAGCAGGTAGAACTTATTTTTCTTCATAACATTACAATGGAAATAGATAAAAATACCACATCGTCGTCGCCGTTGCCGTTAGTGTCACGAATATCGATTACTACAAGCAAATAACTACTCAATGAGGTTTTTTTGTCAATCAATTTACATTTTCCCTTGCAAGAACTTTTGAAGAAAAAACAAGAATTGAAGAAAAATAGGAAACTTTTGTAGTTTACATTCAATTATAAAGTGATAACGAATGCAAATAATTTGTCGGTAAACCTTGAAACTTCGAAAATTGACAAGTTTCACCATTTTTCTTTTATCGTTGTAACTTTGAAGGGGAACTTTGTTTTGTTATTGTTACTGTTATTGAGTTTAAAAATAGCAAGAAAGAAAAACTTTTGGAAAAAAAAATCTGTTGTTGAAAAGATCAAAATGATAAAAAAAGTAAATGCAAAGAAAAATAAATCGTTTTTATATAAGAACCTTCTTTTTGTTCCTAAATCCGAGCAAAGTAATTCTTTAGATAAAGATTCAACAGAAGAAGGATGATATTAGATGTTACGACTCTGTAGAGAGATAAGTACAAACAATGGAATAGATCTGTACTTATGGTTTTGCGAATGTAACTGCAGTGTCGAAAACAATAGCATTCCAAATGAATGTAAATAAAATGTTAAAGTAACGTTGTCATTTGCAATGGTTGAATAATAGCAATAATAATAAGCAGTTCAGTATTTATGATATGTGTATTGTGTATGTCATAAAAAAGGAGATTTGTCGGCATTCTTCAAAGCACATGTATAACATTATCTTCGAGAAATTCAATCTGCCCACACACGCAAACTGAGCGGCAACGTGCTTCTCATTAGACTCTCAAGCGCTAAGCAAAACTCAAATCAAATGCAATGTTGCGTAATCGAATCTCTTTATCTCTCTCTTTCTATCTTTTTCTTTTTCGACGGAAGTTTTAGAAAACCTCAAAGCAGCGAAACCAACTAAACTCGTTCAGATGACGGAACTCATTAGATCTAATTACCGTATCATATGTTCATCCTATTATTATAACGATAATTTTTGTTTTTATCAGTGAACAGTGTTACCATTGTGTGTGTGTATCAATGCGCTCGAGTGCATTATTACAGTGAAGCGATTGTATCGTTGCAGCCAGCAAATGAACGAACGAATGACAAAAGAAATTCCGCAAAATTGCAATTCCTTCGACAAGGTCGTTGTAAAAAGATTTCTTGTTGTGCACATTCGCAACGACAACGAAAAGCCTTTGTTAAGTTGTTTTGTTGTGAAGAGCTACCAAGACAAGACAAGACGACTTGTAGATGGGAGAAAAGAAAACATAAAAACAACCAGATCGTAATGCAAATTCGCCTTATAAAAAAATGACAAGAACTTGTTTTCTTGTATTCTACTCTTTCATGTCATATCATCAATGCTGTTTGAATCGATAACTCGCGCCGGTTTCTTTTTTCAACTCTTCGACCACGTTTTGTTTGTACTTGGTGTATTCCTTTTGGGCGTATCTCATTCGAAAGCAACTTATACGAGAAATGGGGGAAAAAATCAACAAAGCTCAGCTGACAACAAGAACGTTCTAAACGAAACATGCCGATTTACAGTTATTTACTGTTGCCTTGATTGGTTTCACTGCGAAAAGCAATAAATTGATCCAATCGATATTTCTCCAACATTAACAGATTTCGAAAACAACCAACTAAGAATAAAATTGAACATGATAACATAATAAATGGAAAGTGACTTACCTTTTTCTACCATTGGGACCAATCAAAACCAAAACAAAATGATAAAATCTCGTGCGATCGATTTTATAGCGAAAATTATAATGTGGCTTCTAATAAACGAAACTTGTGCATTTGCATCAATTCAAACGACATAAACTAAACTCGGAACTAAAGGAAACGTGCGCTTCTGAAATAATGAATAAAAAAAAGAAGAAAATAAAATAGAAAACGGTCATTAAACAATAATAATAAAAGAAACTTAATTGATCAAATGGGAAAAAAAATCAATAAAACAACTTTTGATGGTTGACGTTGAATGAATAAATTATTTATGTATGAAATTCGAAGCTTGGCTTCTGATGATGGTGAGCATATTCATCGCGAATGAAGCGTAGAAAATCAACCGAATTGTGTGCGAAATTGGAGAACAAACGCAGCAATCAATAATTCAATGACAATGGAGTTTTCATTTCAAATGGCAATATTTCAATGCTATTTTGTTGTGTGTTGTGTACGCGTGTTTTTTGATGATACAAATGAACACGAATGAAGAAAAAAAAGTGTTGAACCGATGTGGAATACAAAGTATGAGTATTTCCTGTAAATGGATTTGCAGATTTTTTTCCCCTACAACTTATGTGGACACGTGTGTCACATATAATTTATAGTTTATTCGCTGTTTTTTTGTTGTTATTCAATTTTATCCGGCAAGCTCTTTCGTCTCTTTAATATCATATTCAATTTTTTTGCTACTCATTAATTTGATGCACAAAGTATAGCGTGCGTCATACGCGTTGCCTGTTTAACCACAAACAGATAGAGAAAGAAAATTTTAATGCATACGAAAGTGGAATGCAAATCTTATGGTAATCATCTGAATAACGCACTGAGAAAGGCGAACGGCATTTGAGAAACGCACAATATTCAAGTACCATATAATAGCCGGAAGTTCATTGTGTATTTCATATTCACAATGATTGCATGTCTCTCTCTCTCTCTCTCTCTGTCTGTGTGTGTTTTTTGTTGTCTATGTTTTGTGTGAATGCATTTCATTTGAAGTCATACATGCTCACAGAGGGGGGCTGTGAGCCCGATATACCTCCTCTTAATCATCCAATACCACCCCTTTTGTATGTATGTTCAAATGTCATGTGAAATTCGAAACTCAGGACTAGGCTTAAACAATTTTACCAAAAATGTACTTAATTGTAGCACTACATCTTTTTAATTGTACCATACTCGTTAAATTGGCAAATGTAAAAATGGGCTATGGTTTTTAATGGGCGGTAAAATACCCCCTTAAATGTCGGCCATGCCGTTGTATGATTTGGAGACACACAGCTCAATGCGAAGTTCATATAAACGTGCCGATGGCATCCAATCAACATCGACACGATTATTATTACAGCAAACATATTTATCTATGGATAGAAAACTCAGAGCTATTTTTGAGATGGCATTCCATCCATTGAGCTATAAACAAAGTGCAATTTATTTTTCTCTTGCAAATATCACGCAGTGCACTTTAAATAACAATTTCAATGGTTTTCTCTATCTATCTCTCTCTCTCTCTCTCTCTCTCTCTCTCTCTCTCTCTTTCTCTCTCTCTCTCTCTGTATCTTTTAAGTTTGGTTTAAATGAAGCAGATTATACTTACACAAGCAACCAGCACAGTCAATCGCAACACGCTGGTACACAACCCATGTTTGAAACTCTAGAATGTTCGCATAATTGTTCATGCTGTAATCATTCGGTCTCTGTTGTTCTCAATTTGATCGGTTGATACTGCAATGTTTGTAAAAACAGCTCACTCCCTTTCTCTGTCTTTGTAGATAAATTCGCTTGTACACAATCCGCTTCTCTCAGTCACCTTTACATTTATTCCATTAATATCAATTGATGCGCAAAATTGCAATGCTGCAATTTTTTTCTCTGAAATTGAAACAAACAAATTGCTTATATTAACTCTCGAACCAACAACCATGATAGCATAAAACAAGTAAACAAAATTGTTGTTGAAAAGCGTGGCCAACTATCGTTCCCTCTGTAACATTCTCTTGAAAAGGAAATGGCGCCGATTTTATTGTCGAAATTATTTATAATTATACCCCAACCAATTCAAAGTGGATGCGTTACTCACTCATACAAATAAATTTCATATTCGCATTTATTACGATTCAATAAAAGTTGCGTTTGCCGTTGATAATTAAACGCATCAAATTAATTGGAGCGTCGAAAAAAGTTGGCGTTATAATTCAAGATATAAAAATCGCTAATTAAATTCCGTTTTTTTGTTCAGTCTGATTCTTCTGAACGACTGGCACTGGGCCGTACATATTTTCCATCAGGTCAAGTTGGATACAAAAAGGATAATTGAAATAATCTATCACCACATATACACCGAGCAACAACCTCCAACTTATTGGGAGTGTACATTAATTTCAGCGGTTTTTTGTTTGAAAATGAAAGTTCATTTCAATGAAACCGTAAAATATTCTATAATCAAAGTACTGCCCATCACTAGCCACTACTCTGGTTCTTCTTTTAGTCAGAAGACAAACTTCGGGTCGAAAGAATTCCTCGTCTTCATTCAATTCGAAAAAAAAAAACGTTACCTTCCAACTGCGATTAGCTTGTCCTGGACCAGGTATGCAAAAATTGTGATCCTCAGAAATAGCCCATTCTGCTTTTTGCGCACTGAAATTATGCCCCATAAAAGACTGTATAAAATGTAAAACTATAGCACCACTACGGACAACTATGGAGTTCTAGTCCATTGTTTACAACTGAGCCAATGTCTTTTCACTATTTGGCGGTAACTTAGTGTAGATAACACTGAATTCCGTCGTGGCGCTAGCACTGTACGGCTTTTTGTAAGTATTTTTCGATTTTTTTCTTTTAAAGTAGACTCAAATAGACTAATAATTATTGAAAGAGACCATTTCTATCAATTCAGACGAGTTTCAACATTTTTTGATTATTTGTCCTTCCGATTACATACTAATTACATCAAACAAGAAATAAACCCGACAAATTTTATTAGGAAACCTTTAAATAATAAAACATGTTTTGTTTCAACACAGTGAGGCGCACCAATTTATTAGGATTTCTGTTAAAATATTGCGATTTTATAAGGAAACCTAACAAATTCATTTTAATCTCTTGTGCGATCACCTGATGAAAAACCACGAAAATTAATGTATACTCCCAATAATAAAGTTTAATAAATATATTATAATTCAACGGAATATTTAATTTGTTTGATTAATAACAACACGCCAGTGTTTTTTTCAAAGTAAAAGTCATTTAATTCGGTTAGTTTTTTTTTTTTGCTCACGTGAAACGTGAGAATAATGTGGGCTTGGTTCGCAACACAATTATTGATCGCGGTTTTTTTCTCTTTCGATACGTTTTATACAAAGTTGTAATTTTCCATCATTCTCGGTATTTATAAATTGGCATGAAAAAAAGGCACCGTAAAGTTGTGGCAGTTTATGTACAGTAAATGGCACTTTGTAAATAAAATGTAACCAGAAAAGTTTTTGCTGGTTTTTTAAGTGAATAGCAATAGAGTGTAAACATTGTTATGATATTTCCATATCACTGAACATGTTTACAAATAAACTGTGTACATACATCGGCAGAGTTGTCACTTTTTCAACTATCGATTTGTCGCTGTTCCTCTTTCTCTCTCTTTCCCCGTTCTCGGTTGAAATGTATGCATCAACATTCTGTAAGTAGTGTCAGAACTCATCAATCATTCATGAGGAATGAAAATGTTGACACTTGTTAGATCCAAATTACTCACTACATATGTGTCATACTATATCAACAAAATAATGTGTAAGGGGGTGGCAGTGTTGCTTAATCTTGAAAAGTAATTCGGAGGTCGATATTTGCAACGGATTTACGATTATGTTTATTAATCAAATAAAGACTTCAAGCAATGACAATAACGCCCAGCAATGTGCAAAATCAGAGCAAACACATTAATTCGCCGCTTCAAAAGGTGAGTCAATCAAAGCACAGTATTTAGTTGATTGTGCCAAAGAGATAAAGTGTCGAAACGAAAACCAACAACAAAATGCGTCACTCCGATGATATGACAAAGTGATTCAATGTCACAGTTAACCCTACGCGATTATATTCAACGAGTATCACTTATTAAAACAGTTGACAGACTATATCAATGGGAGTTAAATGTCTCAAATTTAACTACGCAAAATAAAAGTAACGTTGCAACGTTAATTTCAATTTATATAGGACAAATGACTGGGGTGCATCGCTATAAGGAAGCACCAGACTCGACAGAATACACCAACAAACAAAGAATTTATTTTATTTGAACCAACTGTCTTTGTTCATTTATTCGGAACAATGAGTTTCGTCTGTTATTAAGTATGATCGAAATTGTATCCACTTTCTTTCTACGATTGGAATTGCTATGTGAAACATCTGTCGTTGCCGGGTCTACGAACGTAACAAACAGAAACAAAAAAAATACAAGGAGGAACGTTTATTTGAAAAGACGTAGTCGATCACGTGTGTAATAAAAAGTGCACTTCCCCTTCGCGGTAAAATGCCAACGTATTTTTTTTTATTGTATATTTTTTACTATAGGTATTCGTCTTCCGAGCTACACATTGTTGTTTTATATTGACGCGATGCAATTCCCTTGACTGTCTACCAAAATGTTTATGATTCATTTCAGAATTTATTCTGAAGCTGTATTCAGTTCAATTTAAATTATTCATGACAACGAGTCATTTCACCAGTGGAAAGAAATGAATGAAGTACAAATGGCGCTGAATAAATTCATTAAATTTTAAAAATTTGTATAGGAAACAATCGAATATTGTCATACTATTTTATAACATTTTTACTATCGTTTGACTATATGAATACAGTTAACTAGAGCTTAATTTGATTAAAAAATGTCTAATAAAGTTTTGTTCTAAACTCATCAATAAATTTTTTGCACATGGGTTTTTTCTATAGTTTCAAATTGCTTTTTATTTCTTCAATTCATATGCAATCAAAAATGAATAAATTCACTAAACGCATAGGCGCAAGTTTTACGCAGTTTATTTCTTTGACTTGAAAATAATTATGGAAAAGTCGTAGGCATAAAATGTTTTTAAATCAATGACCTTCTTATTAAAAAAAACTGCGAATCATCGGAATTATTCAAAAACGCACCTTCATTCCCAATAACTGAGGTCTAATTGAATTAGCATATACTTTTCTGTTTCAATATAAACTTGTTTCGTTTTTAAATCCTCTTACACTCCAAAAAAGGCAACAACATCTATGAATATCAATCGAAGAATAATAGAATAATTTTGTTCAAAAGTTGTTGTTTCTTTTTTTTTCTTCAAACAAACTTGTTTTGTTTCTTATTTAAAAATACAACAAAAGACGATGAACTGAACGAAAATGGGATGGAATACATTTCACATATTAACATGACCACATATATCGATCAAATATGTACATTGAATTTGACCAAATTCACTCAAGAACCGTGTAAAAAATTCTAATGAGCAATTCAAAACTTTATGGCATAGACAGTGCAATAAGAAAAAAAAACAACAGTTATAAAACTGATATTAAATTGATGCGATAACCAAACAACAACATCGACTATTCAGTTTTTAATTGGCATGATATTTTCGCCAACCAAAAATCGGCCACAATCGAATTAAAAAAAAGCGGAATTTCTTTATTACATTCACTTATGGACATTATACACGAACAAATAACCATTGGAATTTTGTTTTTACAATGAAAAATGTAATGCCATCATATAAGAAATACGTACAATGTATAAATCGGTTTATGCCACAAAATGAGCGAGCAGAGAATCAAAACAGAATCGCGTGAAAGGTGGTGAAACGAGCACTTTTAACACGTTTAAACTAACTCAATCGACAAACCGCTTGAGACTGATTGAGTCTGTTTTGCACATCGTACAAACTGTTTGGGTTGGTAAGTACACAAAAAAGTAGCATATACACACTGGTATCGGCTGTATTGAAAAAGACTTTTCAATGCTGCTCTATGTATATAGGATTTTTTTACGCTGGCAACACATACGATTCAGTCAGCTGTTGGGACATTTTGACAGTTAACACACGACCTTTTTTGCCATTTCGAATCAGACGTTAGCATGGGCTTTTATTCGCTGGAAATTTCTTATCGTTCGATTGATTTTGAATAAGACTTTGGACAGTCGTTTTATCATTATTTGGATCATGTGGGCGATTTTATACATCAAAACATCAAAGACGACTCCGATAGACGTAAAAAAAGAAAGAAGAAATGTTGACATTTTTATTTTATCTATCTTTATTAGATCATTTCTATACGGTAAAAATAGTTAAAAATTTATAAATTTCTTCACAAATTTTATTTACATAAATAGTTTCCATTTTTGGGCGAAATTTCGTTTTTCATTCTCTTACATTTCTTATTTATAAATTGATTCATAGACTTGAATGTGAATTTTATAGGTTTTTCTTTTGTTTTCAATTAATTTATCTATTTTGATTGTATCGAAGCATCGGTAACATATGTTCGCCCAAAAATTCGAGTATATTTGAGCATTTATATATTTATTAAAAAAAAAAAAAAATAATGTTGAGATGAAAATGTATATAGTGGATTGTTTACATTCAAAATTGATTAAAAGTTCGTTTGAAATTTTGAAGTATATACTCAAAAAAATGACTTTCAAACAGAAGTTGAACACTTTATCACGACATCATTTACTAGGTGGTAATAATCTAATCTAATTTAGTAATAGTATTTCACTTTTCAAAAATAAAAACCTCTATTGACACGAGTGATAAATGTCTAAATCTTTGTTTTCTCTTCATCATTCTTAAACAAACAAAGAAAAAATCAATAGACTATAAATTTCAACTAAGTGTTAGCAAAAAATCAATCAACTCAAAATATGTGATGAAAAATAAATGGCAATTCTTTGCTACTTCAATCTAATTTTCTACTAAAAAAAATGGGTTCGTTGCAGGCAAAAACGGTTATGGAAATCGAATGTCACCCATGTGCCGTAGTTCGTTGATGCTGTGATTGGAGTATGAGCGTTGTGGTGTTGAACGATTATAATATAAATTATGTTGAGATGAGTAACGATTTGGATTTGGTCGATAGATACCTTCGGGAGGTGTGTGTCTACGACGTGGTGTACTTTCATCGCTGATTTTACGTTTATTCGGTTCGAATAAAGAACGTCGACGACCATCGCTATAATAACGACGTGAATCATATAACATAGAAGTCTCGTGCTGTATTGGTTCGTCGTTTAAACAATTTTTGGTTGATGGTCGTTGTTCGGTTTCACGATCGTTGCTTGATCGTCGCTTTGGCATTATATTTGAATCATCATAACTGTAGATACGTCCAGTCATTGCTGGATTACGCCCATACATGTTGACAACGGGCTGAAATTGGGATCCATTCATTTCTGATGGTATTTTCCAGCTCATCTCATATCGTCGACGTGTATTTTCGTCTTCGATTGCTTGACGTTGTTGCGATTTATTGCTGCTACTCTCACTGGAATCTTCTCCTGACGTTCCGATTCCTTGGTCTTTTTCATCAATTCCGTACGTTTTGAACGGTGAATTTAAGTATGATTTGCTATTGAACATGCCCTGTAGGCCAAGTTGTGGATGTGGAATGCAATATGGATGCGGATATGCTTTTTCAATTGATGACAAACGTTCACGACCCATATCACCGCCCAAGTTATCCAATTGACGTTCATTCGTTGGATCTTTATTACATGAAACTGGACCAAATAATGATAATAACACTGGCAACAAAAATATACCGTGCAATGCACCAAACGAAATGACCAAGAATATCATTTTAAAGAATACCAAAAATATATAACTATCGGCACACAAAAGAGCGTAACAACCCAATATTGTGCTTACAGCTCCCTGAAAGCGAAACAAACACAAAGAATATTTTAAAATCAATAAATGTAAATTGACTGTAAACAAAATCAATTGATTGATGTGAGTACCGTACCTGGAATATTGGCATGCCCAATGAATGAAGTGCTTCACGAACTCGATCGTCTGAATTATTCGATTTTGATGTCATGTATGAGTAGCAAATATGCGCTGTAAAATCAATCGAATAACCAATGCACATGATTAAATTAATCATTGAAATTGAATCCAAATTCACGTCCCATAGTGCCATATAACCAGCAACACCCATTTCAATCGATACAATGCTAAATGCCACCCATATTGAGCATAGAATATTCGGAATGAAAATGAATGAAATCAACATCATAATTGCAGCACCGACAATCAAACTTTGCACTGAAGTCGGCCGAATCAATTCGTATTGATCGAAAAACACAAAGTACGGATGAAATATTGATGCATTCAATGATGAATCGTGAACAATTTTTCGTAAATCTTTGACCATCACTTTTTCATGGTTCGTATCGGTGATGTTTAAGGCTTGAATCAGGAAACGTGTCGCAATAACTTTCGTTTTATTTGCATTGAATTTTACATCTAGATAGTATTCGCTGCCAGGGAACATCCACTATTTTAGAGAGAATGAAACGAACAAGTTTAATATGTGCATTCAAAATATGCGTCAAAATTATTGCTCTTACTTCTCGAAGTTTTTCCATAAAGTCCTCTTCTGAAGTAATATTTGGGTGAACATCCAAGAACACTCGTAGCCAGTTTGAAGAGTATGCTGAACCAGACACATATGATGTACTCTCAAGTTCTCTTGCAAGTTTTTCGTATTCTTCTTGGACTTGCTGCAGAAAAACATTCAAGAAAACGAAAAAAATATTTAAACATTACAAATTAAGCATATTTAATCAGAACTGTTATAGTCATCGCTATAGTTCAAGAACGTAATGGTGTGTACGTTTTTTTGGGTGCCGGCACTCAGTTTCATACAAATTTTCAATGTCAACATTTCATAATATTCTTTATATTTAAAATTTTTTTGCACTTCAAATTTGTATAAAACTGGGTGCCGACACCTAAATAAAACGCACACTAGTACATTCTCGAGCTTTATCGTTGCCCATAATACTTGAAAAAATTCTGTTTTACTTACAGGGTCAAAATAGTTAAGTTCACCGGCAACAATAACTTGCATACGATATGGGAATTCACGATAGAATTCATCTTCAAGGTCGAAAAATTTCACCGAATATGAATCTTCTTTGGACAATTTTCGTCGTTCAAGACCTTCTTTAATTTGTGTGATGCCATATCCAGCGCCAAATAGATATGCAGCGAATATTAGCAAAATAACCATTTTCATATAACCGTTGTTGACGATGTTTGCAACAACGTCCTTGAAAAATGCCATTCCAGCATGATCTTTATTGTCAATTGGATTGTCGGGATCGTTTGGATTGATGCCTCCCGTGTTGAATGTTCGATACAACCATGAGCGATTCTCTATAATGACGATTATGGTGAATATTATTCACTGAGATTATTCAACTTATATTGAATAAATATCAATTTACGCTTTTTTGCCCATTCGAAAGCGGTACTTGAATGCGACACAGTCAACAAATATAACAAATACACACACACACGGCGATATTTTCTATTTTAAGAACCTAACATACGGTGTTTAAGGAATATATGCTATTTATTAGCGTCAATTGTTAATGTGTCAGATATTTTGTTTGTTCGCTTGCAAACCGCTAACCGTTCATTCATTCATCAGTATGGAATATGCAAAATACAGACAACGAAATAGACAGAAATACAATTGAACCAAACCGATTCAAAACAGAATGTTGAACTAAAAAGAAAAGCATTTTTTTTAAATTTGCTATGTGTAACGCTGTACGGTCTGACGTTCAGGAAACATTCAATTATTTTTTTATTAGAACGAAGTGAGTGTTTGTGCATATTTATGCATAAATATGATACTGATGTGATTTACCACATCATTTTATTTTAAACTCTGCTAAATATCGCAAAAATTTGACGTTTATGCGTTTTACGACAGCAATAACAAAGTCATTTGATGTTATATAAACGGACGGCTATTGAAAAGCTCTCGAAGTTTTCAGTTTGCGATTGCACCCAATTCATTGAAAAATTACCACATAAATGGTCAATAATTGGCCGATACTTGAAATCATGTTTACTACATTCACAGTTATGGACGAAACATTTTCTATCAAAACGACTGTTTAAGTAAGCGAAACTTGTTTCGATGTGAATTATCGTTGGGCGTAAATGGAATTAAATTGTGTGTGTTTTTCATTTATTTACCTTTGATGGCAGCTGACAACGGTGTTACTTTGTAGCCGAAAATTGAATGGTGATTTTTCTGTTCACTATAACCAGATAGTGCCATGCATCCAGCAAAAAAGGTGATGTGCCAAAAGAAAATGAAGCATACAGTCATGCCACTGTATTTACAAAATATTTGAATCGATGGGAATGGACTCATTATACCGATCCAAAATGAAATAATGTCCGTTAATGATGTGATTGTAATTGAAACGGCAGCATCCGACATTGTAATTCCCATACGTTCCGGTACACTCAATTTTATGGATGTACGACGCCACGCAGCGAGCATAACAAATGTATCATCAATGCCAATTGCTGTATAAAGAAAATTAATTATTTTAGTTGCGATATTTTTCAAAGGAATTTTACCATTTTCATTCTTACCAATCATAACGAACGGAGCTGCTAGATTTAAACCAATAAATTCAATTCCCAAATACATACAGAAACCAAATGCAGCCAATGTTGCCATTATTGCTGATAAATTGCCAAAAAATCCCAACCAAGGTTTTGAGCGCACGCAATCAAACATCATACATGTAATTACACTAAAGAAAAATATGGAAATTAGTTTTTTTTTTGTCTCAAATTGGAATTAAAAGAAAAATGCTACCAACCTAAAAACCAACATTAAAAGGAACGTTAATGTATAATATGGCACCACAGTTCTCGTATTTTTCTCCAATTCATGATCCAATGTTCGCGAAGCAAATCGGGCTATACGAATGTGTTTAAAGAATCCACTGTCTTCAATGTCTCCAATTGTTCGTAAAAATGTTTCTTCCCATTCGCCACCTCTGCAAATAAATTATATGATTTAGCCGATGATGAAAACAACAAACCAAGTGACAAACTTACTTTGCAAGTTGACGCGGTGTATCAACAGCAACAAAATAAACCAATTGCAATGCTGGTACACTCACTACGGTGCCCTCGGGTGAAACTGTTGTACCACCAAAAAAGACTGGCAATATGTGATAATCGAAAGTCTTTTCGTTGAACATTATTGGAAATGTTAGTGACATATTTCCTGATACGATCTGTGAGAAGGAATGAAGATTAAAGTCAGCTTTTAAAATGGCATGTATGCGTTGTTGGTGGAAAACTTACATCGTTTATAATTTCGTCCAGATTTAGGATGTCATTTTCAAAGCAATCTCCAAGCGATCGTGCGCAGATATCTTCATATCGATATATTTCGTCGTCGTAAGTAGCGGTTGCATTATGAATCAAACCGTCCAATGTGCGAAGCTCTTGAAAAATTTCGGGTCTTATCAAATTTCGATCCCCATCTTTAGTAGTAATAATAAGACGCCCGAATCGACCTACAAATTTAGACGTAGAGAAGAAAAAACATACACGAATAATCAAACAATTGACCTTTAATGTAATTACATTGTGCAAGATATTCTAACTGATTAAAAATAAGCGCAGGGAAGTTCCTTATCTACAAAAAAAATGGTGCCTTATGTTTCAATGTCTATTATTTCGTTTGATCATTATCATGTCTTTTGCATGTAATTGACCGTTTTACCAGATTTTCAACTAGTTATCATCAATTCAGTCTCCCCATTTTTGTGATGCAGATAACGTACTTCATTGGTCGAACAATTTATTTATAATAGAGAAACACTATGCTCAGCTGTTAATATAATGCGTTAATGAACTTAAATTCGTTCATTTGAATGAAAAAAGAGACTATAATTCGGGGTCAGTTCAAATCGCAGCCTTTCGTTGTCATTGTTCGGCCAATGTAAGCCAATAGCATTGTTGTAAACCACTTAATTTCTATGATAAAAATCACATAATTGTATACTTTTCTAACAAATATTATGTGTATTCATTTCGTTGATTGTGGAAAAAGGCTGCGCAAAAGGTGTGATGTTTTAACGCTGCTCTGACTCAACCATGTTCAAATTACACATTTGCACACATGCTGAATGAATTAATAAAACAAAAAGTATGAAAGAGACACATACCGTATGATGCATTTTATTTTCTAGGTGGAATTCATGATGATGCATTTATCGCATGACAGACACCATAGATAATAATTTTGCATAATAAGCTCAATTGTTCAAGATATCATTTGAATGCACGAATCAGTCAGTGATTCGTTTATTAAGCAAATAAGAATAATCAAAGTCATTATCATAGATTTTATTATGAACAGTATGCGTGCAATGCACACGCCAAAATGCAATCGTAAATATTTCGAAAAAGAAAACCAACCATTTTTTTTGCTTATCATTTTTGATTGAACCGGAAAAATTGGTTTTGCGAAATAAATGTCTGTAATCTTTCGTTAGTTGAGCGAAAAAAATTGTATGTGTTAATCCACTCACTTTGTTTTGTGCACTTAAATTGCTCTAAATTAATTATGTCGTTTAATTACATAAAATCAGTGTTGCTCACACAGCCATAATTTTGATGAGAAAGACAACAACAAATTTTTATTCAGCCGTCTTGTGTAACAGTTAATAACGGCGGATGAGAGCTGTGTGGCATATAAGCCTTGAAATTAAAAAAAAAACAAATGTTGTAACTGAATGGTATGTATTGAATGTGCCAAACGTAATTTGAATCGATAAAATACAATTTATTTATCGCTTTGTAATATTCGTTAGTTAATGGCATCGGCTGCATATTTTTGTCTTTCAAGCTACAGACAATTTTTTCCTGTTATGGATTGTATATTCGAACAAAAGGCGAACCAACCCAACTCTGATTACTTTTATGTTGCATTTTCAACTGTTTGGCAGATTCATACGAGCAGCAAATTGAAGCGGTTAGCGTGGTTCAATGCTCATTCAAGCAAACATAGTAAATTGGCATAAAACAAAATTCAGTGGTCAGTTGACATTTTGGTTGTTTTAGGCTGAAGTAATAAAACAATGAACGGTTTTACTACCGGATTTGGTCAAGGCGATAAAAGTGCGCGGATATTTGGCAAAAATTTCTATTGTTCCTAAGAAATGATTATCGGTTCAAAAACTTTATGACCGTAGTTCCTACGATTAAAAACTACCGTCATAAAAATTCATTTTATCAACAATAATAATAATCCCACAATAAACATGTGCAATTTTTGTCTAACTTAATTTTATACAATAATCGCTACAAGCGATTAGATATGATTTGCTGGAAGGATCTCATGTGACGAAAATAAAAATCCAACTTGAGCATAAAGTGCTTCAGTTTTGCAAACGATTGGCATAATTGATGTTTATAGCCTGACAACGCGCTCGTATTCGGTACGTTTCGTTTAGAAATTGCACAAACATATGTCATATGCTGATGTAATTGGAAAATAACGCGATCACAGACAGAACATTCCATTTTCATTGTTCATTTTTTTTATGATCGAGCATGTGGCTGAGATGAAAAAGAATGATAAGCCATAAACTAATCAAGCGTGAATGATATTTCGGGCATATAAAGTGGTGAATTAAATTTAAGTTTTGATTCTCTAAACTTTGATAACTGTACATTTCAAATGGCATTTGAATTTGTTTTTATTTCAATACTTTGGTACGCTCTGTTTACCTTGGACGGTTACATTTTTTTTCAACGCATGCGGTTTTTGTTTATTTTGATATTTTCACAATCACCAATTATATCCGCAGACAGTTTTTTTTTCCATTTCAATCAAATAAAAGTCTGTCTCATTTTTAAATTTGGAGATCCTTTCAATTTGACCCGTTTGCATAAGTTTGCATAAAATACAGAATTTTTTCCACGCAATATTCATTCGTTTTTAAATGCGTTACACAATGCGATAATGAGCGATTTTGTCCCATGTGTCATATTAGTATTTTCAACCAATTACCCAAATGGCATTTGAATTTGTTTTTATTTCAATACTTTGGTACTCTCTGTTTACATTTGGATGCAATAAAATTAAATTCATTTTTACAAGCAATAAATTAATCTTATCACTTTCAATTGACCTGATGTAATTGTTTAAAGTTTTACTAAGAATTTTACAATAAAGAACAAATGCGAAACATATGGCATTCTGTTTTTAATAAATGTGGTAAGTGTTGTGTTCTGGTTGATTCAAATCTGGTGTGAGCTCATTGTAATAAAAATATTCATCGATTAAAACAGTTCTAAGAAAATTGCGTATCGGCGATTTTTTGTGTGTATTCGAATTTAAAAAAAAAATGATTCTTTGTTGGTTGAACAAAAAAAATGTTTAAAACCGGAACCTTATAGCGTCCAAAACTTGAGAAATCGAGGAAAGGGAATGTAAATTTTGTTTTTGGATATTTTTGGAAATGATTTCAATTTATTACTAAACGGATTCATTCTGATGCCGAACTGTATGAAAATAGTATTTTTGTCATTTAGTTCGCCAAGAACTAATCTATTCGTTTTATCTATGACAATGGAACCGATTAAAAAAATGATGGTCATTGCTTAATTACACATGAACCGCATTCGTATCGAGTCGAAATCCAACTACAAGTGTGAACGACGACTTTTCTATATTATTATCGCACTTTTTCGTTCTATAGACAAATCTGTCACGTATCTGTCACCTAGAATTATTTCCTCTCAACTACAGTATTACTTGAGTATGATCCATGGCGAGTCAAAGCATCTTGTTGTAGTTTTTCAACCGTACTAAAATGATATGACGTGCAATTTTTAATTTAACGTTGCATATTCAAAAGACCTTTGAACTTTGTAATAACTGAATGAAAATCCAATCAAACATGTAATTTGCAAATTGTTATGGGTTTGTACAGTGGATGTATTTATAAAATGCAGCAAACACATTCAAATTGCATAAACCAGTCAATAAAAGAAACGCGTATTTGCCAATGCACACCGGGATAGCTATGGAAGAATTATTATTCGAATGTGACTTAAAATTAAGAAGCTAGTTTTTTTTTTAAAATTAATTATAAAGCATCATTCAACTTTTTTTATAGACAAAATCTGCATGTTATTTCACACTATATTTTCCATTTTGAACTTAATAACAATTTACATACCGGCTCGTGTGATGCGCTCAACACTGAAGCTCTTCGAATAGTTCACTTTAAAATATTCCTCAACGATAGCTCGTTCGTGTTTTCCGGCTCCATTTTGGGGTGAGAATAAATATTCGGGATCTATTTGATACTTAAGCTGTTGATATCTGCAAATAATGTCAAATAAATTATGTTTCAAGTAAGAAAAATGATTGAATAAAGATAGAAGAAAATGTGGATATTTTTACTTACCCTGTGATAAATATAATTGTTAAAAATATTGGAATTATAATAAAGAAACTTGGATTTCGGCCAATTATTTTTCCTAATTTATAAAATGATCTATTTAGTGTTGTGTCCACACATGATACACCGTTTGAAGACATCTGAAAAAAGGTAAATAATTCACAATGTTAGAGAATTCAATACTTCTTGGATTTCGATGGTTCAACTGGAAATGGTACATTTGAAAGAGGATGGAATTTTTTTTATGTCTGACATAGTATGTCATTGATCGAATCTATTATTAGTTTGAAAGGAACACATCGTACGAATTATAAATTACACGCTAGATACTTCAATTGATGTGATCATTGACTTGGATTTTAAGGTATTAATAAATGCTGTTTTTCAGGACGGAGCATACAATAGTTTTTTTTTCATTCTGTCCAAAAATGTGATTGCCGCTTATTATGTTTAAACATTGTCCACATTATCAATGGAGCTAATGATTGAAGCATTGAAAACATACACACTTCATGAATTCAATGTCATACTTGTAATTTCACTTAATTAAAGCATAGCTTTGTAGCAGCGGTCGTTTATATGGCATATATATCATCAAAATAAATGGTATGCCCTAAAGTGTAGTATGTTGCCGTAGTAAAAATGTTGTGCTACCGACTCGTTTACATGTTCATGACCGGGTCTTATCAATATCGCACCGAACAATAAATAAATACATATTTTCCATGTTCAAGTTTATTTAAAAGAAACACTTGACAAACAAAACAACGACAAGAAAAAATCACACAAACATGTAAATGTCAATTTTGTTTGTGTAAAAACGATTTACAAATCGTCTGACCAGTGCGATGAGCATGGTTACGAATATTAATCACAAAACACGAATCGGCTATCGATTGGATTTGCGATTTTTAAAATATAAAATTCACTCTATTCTGCTCAGTTGTGTGCATGTGATTTGATGGAAATTGTTGCGGCGCGACCAATTTCGACAAAATATGTGGCAAGAAAAAGGAGAGAAACAATCATGGTGCTCAATTAAGCCTTCTTAATATGTGAAACGTACAACTGACACGTTTTCAACATTGACCCAATTCAAACGATATACAAAACGAAACCATCGGTCATTAGTACCTGGTTTGGTTGAATTGCTTAGCTTATTATCTTCAAATGACTCATAACCGATGCGATATTGATTTTTCACAAACGTCACTTTATCGGATCAAATTCAATGGTTATTATCATGAAACCAAGATAAAAGCACATTTCTTTATACATTTTCATTAATTAATATTGTATTGAACGCAATTCGACACCAATGCAAATATACCATGACCGTAATCAATTCCATTGCAGAGAAAGTGTTATTACACTTAGTTTTTACTGTGAAGGAACAGCTTGGTAATTACTACACGTGCTTGAATATATTCAAAATGAATTATCATATTCGATTGAAAGAAAACACTAACTTTTTTATGGGTTTTAAATGTAGGTACCGTTGAACTTCTTATTTTAGCAACACGGTATATCATCAATTTATTACTGCAAACCACAAATTGTTTTGAATCATCAAAAAAATGATTTGAATCATTTGTTGTTGTTTCCTCTCAACTGATTGCTTTTTCTCTCGACACATAAATTATCTCATTTAAACTTTTTATATATATATATTTTATGTGATTTTGAAAATAGTCACAAATTAAATCTTTTGTTTTTAAAAATAACTTAAGTTTTGTTTCTGCACAATAAACAATACTTAAACGAACCTTACAATTGTTTAACTTTTAGTTTAATGAATGAACGTGACAACAATTTATTTCTGAAAGACGTTTACGCGCTCAAAATTTATTCAACACTGATTTGATAAGGCAACTGTTTAGTCAATTACAGATTTGTAACTTTGATGTGTGGGGATGACATCGTCTTTTACGTTTTGCCCCAGTTTGATCGGTGCACATTTGCATTTATCTCAACGTTTTTCATCTTTTCGCTTACGTCAAAGCAAATTCATTTGCAACATCACATTTTTTTCGTATCAACGGGGCTTTCCCAAGAGATTTGCCTCAATTTTAAACATTTATTTTTTTGTCATTTGACACATTTTAACAGGACCAACTGATCACATATAAAAAAATCACCTTTTAACTCCATAAACTTAAATCAATCTTTGATCCCTTCTGGTGATCATATCTCATTTGATTCTTTGATTCAATTGCCTTTCATTGGTGATCACATTTTATAGCAGATATCCGCCAATTAGTATTCACTGGCTCGGTCATTGATATATTGCCTGATATCACGCCCGAGACCTTATTTAAAAAAAAAACATCTTACGTTGTTGATGAGAAAATTATGAAAAATTGTTGGAACTTCATTTATATTTAATCGATTTTTATTATCAAAATCATCAATGAAGCTCAGTTGCGTTAAAATAATAAAGCGGTGTCTATAAAATCAGATGAACTTTTAGCGTGTCTATAAAGCAAGACGGATTAGAATGAAATAATGTTTATCCGAGTTGTTCGAATATTGTTACTCTAATGTTGACACACTGTCTGAATGTTTCAGAACAACTGAAGCTTCGGATTCATGTTGCATACTATCGTTTTCAAGCGGAGGAAGCAATACAAATAAATCATCTTAAGCCAAAAGTGTCGAGCGTTCGACTTAAAATGTTCGTCACGTAATTTACACTGTATGAAATAGCTGGTCTTATATCTGAATATATTTAATGATAAAGCAACGAGTAACAATAAGTTTGACGATCTTGACAACGACAAACATCGCAATTTGTTATTATTATTTTTTACAATTCTTTGGCAATTACTCAGTCGTGGATTCACAAGAAATCCCATTAAAATTCAACCAATATAGATTCTAATTATTGTTTCTTCGTTGAAATTCTTGTTTTATTGTTTCGGTTTGAGCCCTCTGAACTGACGTTTTTGCATTGAATTGACCGAGCAACGGAAATAATTTTGTGCAATTTATGTGAGAATTGTCATTAAGTTGACGGCCGCAGGATTTTTGATATATAAGACAGTTTACAAAACGAAATAATTGGTTTTGGCGGCTTTATTGAAAATGAATTTTCAAAGAAAAAAATAAATTTGTTTCTAATTTTCAAGTAATTTTGCGCTTGACCTTCAACGTCATCGTCGATTGTTGAATTTATTTATTTATTTTATTTTGGTCCAGTGTGCACGTAGCAATCAACAAAGAAATGATCACCTCTTCAGAAAATCGACGATCGTCTCTTCAACGAAACGATTTATTGTGTATTGAAATGGATTGGATTTAAACTTGAGCCGAATTTCTAAAGGGAATCGGTCATTGCTGTTTGCTCTATTGAGTTTTTGCAGTCACAAGTAACAAATAACTATCGGTTTGAGGACGCTTCAATGAAGAACACGTTCGTTTAATATAATTACGTCAGTTTATTTGCATGGATTTGTGTCGTCTCAAAAGACTATCAATTTATTGATTTTATTTATGTGTGTATGTGCGTATTTTTTTGTGTATTACGGAAACAAAAGCCATACCAATGACACGCAGACTGAAAACGTGTTATATGAACTCGAAATTTGCATAGAAAACCATCTGCATCGCTTGTTCAGTCTTATTAAGATGCGTGAGCATCGTTTCCTCTCTACAAATTGTTTCGATTCAGTCGAGAAAGAGAGACACACTAAAAATCGAAAGCGAAAAAAAAAAACATTTATGGCTTTCTTTACCCGAAACAAAAATTATTTATTCAACAAAAGACGTGCGCAAAGAACAAACAGAAAAAAAAAGAAAGACCGAAAAAATGTATGCGCCATGAAAAGTGATTTGTTGAATACGGGAAATAAGTCTCTATCTCCATTTCTCGTGTCATTTATTTAATATTTGAAAAGTGATGTTGGGATTATGATGAAATTCCCGTCGCCATAGAGTCAATATGAATCTTTTTTATTATTAATTTATATCAGACAAAACGGAACTTTAATAGCTTACGCTGTATGCAAATCGATCGGATTAAGTAATCACAATTAAAGAAATTTTACTTTCAAATGTAGAAAAAATATACCGCCTAATATTGTTGACGACGGCATAAACCACGACATCTTTATTTTATTGGGTTCGTTTCCTATCCATAAACATGCACGCATAATACTATTATGCATACCGTTGTAAGAGATTGTGCCAATGAACTGATGCGGTTAGGTATTTCTTTATATATATTTTTTTCATTTAATTTTAGGGTCTCGATAAAACAAGTGCCTTTTTATGTTCGTGGCATTCAAATATTTTACACATTTTTTCGTTGTTGAAAAATAAATAATAAAAAGAACGTGATTTTGTGCGTCGTGAAGGTCTGATTTCTCTGTGTATCGTTATAAAGCATTTAAACTTCCGATCCCATCTGATTAGCATAAAAACACATAGTTGTTAGTTGATGAGACAGCAATATAGTTTGGCATAATTTTGTTGACATGCATAAATAATACGGTTGCATACAAATTTCCACTTACAGTTAATATATCGATTGAAATAAAGAACCAATATTCCACTTACCTTTAAATCTAAAATAATCCTTAGACATCTCCCAAACATTTTGAGTGTATTTACTTAATAAATAAGCTTAACGAAAAAAAGGGAAGTGTGTATGTGCGTTTTTGTGTATGTGTGAGTGTTATTTTAATAGATCCCCGGTTGATAAATTTTGAAAGTTGGTTTTTTTTTGTTCCTATTTTATCATAATTGCAACCATGAACCCATGATTTAAAGACAAAACAAATGAAAAGCGTCCAAATTAGAACTAAAGCTGGATTCGTTGATTAAAGCCCAAGACCGTCTCATTAACTTAGCATAGTAACTCTGTGAAAATGAAAGTACTTAAAATTAGCCAAGAAAATAGAAGAAAAAGAGATTTATAAAATTGCCAATAAGAAGCTAAAGATCAAAGATAAATAATATATATTTAAGAATATTAGTGCAGTGCATATATATATTATTGTGAATTTGTGTTGAGGAAGGGTTATATTTCTGGGAACTATAAAAAAAGCATTGCAAGATCGATGTCCAGCGTCATCTGTCTTGACGAGTTCGCCGTGATCGTTGTTATGTGTCATTGCCGTAAGCATGTTATGATATGTGAGATTGCTAAACAATGCACAACGAACAACAATCGCTCGTTAAATGTATCGTCGACCACGAATATTGGTTTGAGTCATCAGTTCAATGTGTTTTATCATATAATTTTTTTCACTTCAATTGCATAATCGCCATTTTTTCAGCCAATCGTTATTTTATTCAAATCAATTTTCATCGGAATTTCATCGTTAAATCCCACCGGCACAGTGATTCTGCGAAACCCACTTTTTTAGCATAAACAATTCCATTGAGCATATTTTTTTCACTTTCTCCTTCTGAAATCCCATGCGCGGATCATTGCTCTACATTTTCAAATGAAAGTATCATTTGACATTTGATTGTGCGTAAACACTTTTATTTTATTATTATTTTTGGGAAAATCCCACAAAACTCTTGCGCTCAATCGCTCTCTGTGGAAATCTGATTATAAATTTCATGCCATTACTAATATGGTTTACATTCGCAAAACATGAAGAATAACCACTTAATTCAAAAGAGACGCTCGTGCAAAGCGTAAAAATTCAAAAAGATCCGCTTAAAAACGAAAAAAAAAAAAAAACCAGCAACTTTTATTCAAAAAAGCAATCGACAAAAAAAAACACAGCCTATATTTATTTGCTCAATCAACAATATATGAAATGTCATGTACGAAATCCTAGCAATATAATTTATACGATTCTTGTTTGGTTGCTATTATAATTGCTTTCGTTGGTATGTTTCTATTGCAAACAAGCCAGTTATTACAACTTTATTTTGTATCCCACTCTTGTGCGACTCTTTAGACACAACAACAACATCAAATCGAAACAAACAAAAGACATTTTGCAAATATGCCACTACCAGAGAGAACTGTATATGAATTTATGTAATTGCTTTATGGATGTTTCATGTATATGAGCGCTTGGCATCGCAATTCGCTCCCTCTCTATCTCTCGCTCTTCATCGCAACGATATAGTACCGATTTCAATGAATGAACAATTTCATTCACGTTTACAATTTAGTTATTCTTTCTTTTTTCGGCGATTGCTTTTTGTAATCCAATTGTGGTTCGAGGGTATTTCTTTTCGTTTAATCGCATCTGGTTTATTCAATAGCATATTATGCTTGAATTAAGTGGTTTGCTTGCAGCTTCTTACAAAAGTGCATAATTCAGTCAAGGAAAATTATCGTCGATGAATTACGCGTTTTATTTGTAGATTCATATCAATAATATTTTCATCTTATGAATGTGACATAATTGCAAATTTCCTACGTTACATAGCCACTGAATTTTATGAGAGAAAGATCTTCCATTATATGCCTATTTTTATGCACATGATCATAGTTTGCCTGTCATCATCATCATTCATTTTTTCGCATGCACCGTCATTTGCAGTGCAATTCTTTTGATCGGTAAATTGGATCGCATACAAACTGAAAGATGAAACTGAAAAATGAATCTTTTTTCTTTACAAATTACAACGGAAAATATGCGCATAATGATCATTGTGCACAACAGCTATTGCAGGTATTTCATTTGTAATTTGTACATGTGAATGTTCTGGTGTTCGTCTTGGGCTGTCGTTTGATATTTGTGTGCATGAGATTGAGTTGTCACTTTATCATTTCCAAGTAAAAACGTTGCTCGCTGTGATTTCGTCCGTTTCATTTTTGGGCGAAAAATTAAGTGTGCGTCTGTGCAAACTCCCCTTTCTGATACATCTATGGCCTAGAGAATATGTGTGACATATGGCCACCATTGTATTTGAATAAAAGACACATTAAACCGACCAAGTCAGCACAACGGCAGACAATTCGCAACGAAACCAGGCTGTAAAGTAATTACAAGATGAAACAAAATAATCAGCATATAATAAATCAACGGCATTCACACTATAAGGTAATATGGGAACGTGACCATAAAACAATACACGCTATAATTTATGAAAGAACAATATACCTCAACAATTATGCACACACAACGGCTAATTATTTCATTTGGCGCTTGCTTTGAACGATTTAAATCAAAGTTCTAAAATTATTTCACAGAAAAGAAGCAAGAAATGGTGTCGACATTTCGGCTGTTTTGCAAAGGGTATTAATTAGTGCAGTAATGTGCGAAGGGGGGGGGGTAGGAGGGGGGTTTTGGCCCCCCCCCCCCCCCT